GAAGATGAGTAGATGCCAACCATCACAAGTCAGCTAAAAAACACCAAAGGAAGCGTGGACATCCCTCAAGTCTGCTTTCGCCCAAGAAGAACGAAGGCAAACTGGCTAGACGGCTCGAAAACGAGTTGTTCTCAATCTCGCAACAGAACCTCAAAACTGTAAAGTCAATAACTTTTCTAAAGCTAAAGTAAAATCTTTATGTGAGGAGATTTGAAATTAGATCCAGACAACGAGATCAACGAGACAAGGATGAGGAGGATCATCATCCATGGTCTAAGACCTGAATTTAAGGGTTTTATGACTGCTACTTGTGGTTAGGCTACACAACCAACCTTAGACGAGTTAGAGAATATCTTGTCCAATGAAGAGACTTTGTCCAATGAAAAGACTTTGGACGAAAAAATGTCTAAAGTAGCTTTGAAGGATGATGAGAAAGCTCTCTTTGCTAAAAAGAGAGGATTTCGAAACGTTGCGAGAGTAAATGGTGGAAAAGAAAGGAGCAATCAACAAGGATGGAGAAAGCAAACGTGGAGACCATCACAGCAAGGGGGAGCAAGGCCAGGACAAAAGGACAAAGGCAAGACGAAAAAGACGACTGGCGAGAAAGTGATCGTTGCTATAAGTGCAACAAAAGAGAACATTTCGCCCGAGAATGTCGAAGCAAACGAGTAGAAGGAAACACAACATCAAGCCAGAACGAGCAACAAAGTGAAGAGGAATAGGATATTCACAATTTCTTTGTTCAGGAGGAAGAATATTCGCCACAGAAGCCAGTAGAGATGATGATGAAAGGACCCGAGCACGAGTTGTCATTAATATTTGTAAGTGATAGAATCAACTATGATGATGATTGGATAGTTGATTCTGAAAGTTCTAACCACATGACAGAAAACAAGGAGAAATTATCAGATGTATCCGATTATGATGGAGGTCGTGTTGTAGTCACAGCAAATAACATGACATTGTCAATAGTTCACATTGGAAAGACAACCATTATTTCTCCCTCCAGTGAGGAGAAAATGGAGTTACAGATGGTTTACCATGTGCCAAGGATGAAGAAAAACTTGCTCTCTGTATCATTGCGTCTCCTGTATCATAAGATAGCAAGTGCAGGTAATTATGTTTGGTGTTCGGTCCTGATAAATGTTAAGATTTATCGTACTTAAATTAATGGAGATCTCAGTCATGGAAGGACGGGGAGTTAGAATTCAAATCTACGTCATGTCAGCACAAGAACTATGTTGATAGAACAAGGAAGAGTGAGACAGTTAGACTTGTGGCACGCTTCGTCTGGGACATGTTAGTTATCCACAGCTTAAGGTGAATGATGAGAAGTCCATGCCTAAAGGTCTCCTCAGTTAGAATGCTGAGGAAGACACTATAAATGTGCTGATGCGCCAATTGGATGCCAATATGGAAAAGCTCACCAACTTCCCTTTGAAGAGTCAAAACATAGAGCCAATGTGCCATTGGAGTTAATACATTCAGATGTTCTTGAACGGATCAAGCAACCTATAAACAGTAATATGAGGTACATTATTACTTTCGTCGATGACTACTCGAGATATGTTTGGGTAGATTTCATGGTAGAGAAGTCGGAGGTTTTTGAAAAATTCAAAGCTTTCAAGAAGAAAGTTGAAAAAGAAGTCGGAAATAAAATTAAATGCCTTCACACCGACAATGGTGGAGAGTACACGTCTAACGAATTCACTAAATATTGCCAAGAGCAAGGCATTCGAAGGCAATTCACATGTCTAAGAACACCACAGCAGAATGGAGTTGCTGAGCAGAATGGAGTTTGCTGAGAGAATAATCGACACTGTGGAGAATTTGCCAGGAGTTTGCTCCATGCGAAGAATGTGCCGGCTAGATTTTGGGCGGAGTGCATGAAGATAGTTGTGTACGTCACCAACAGACTACCTCAAGCAAGACTGGAGTTTACATCCCCATTCCAGAAACTGTGGAACATTAAACCGACTGTAAGTCATTTTCGCATTTTTTGATGCGTGTGTTATTCCTTCGTTCCGGATGAACTTTGAAGCAAGTTTGACAAAAAGGCACTTTGCTGCATATTCGTTGGTTATGATGAGCAAAGAAAAGGTTGAAGATATTGTGATCCTATAACTAACAAGTGCCATATTTCACGAAACGTGGTCTTTGATGAGGCATCATCTTGGTGGTCATCTCAAGCAACCCTGCTACCAGATCAAGCAACCCCGCTACCAGACTCAAAGGAAATTCAAGAAAAGTTGAAAAAGAAAGATAGGAGAGGGAGAGTTTCATCCCAGCCCAGAGAAAGGTCAAGCAGAGCCATCTAGAGTTCAAGATAAATCGAAGAGCCCATGGAAGATAGGTGCATACGAACAACAGCAGCCAAGTCAAGAAGAACAAGATCCAGATTATCCTCTACTTCAGCGATTGGGTCGAGAAAGAAGGCCTAATCCAAAATATGCAAATGCTGCTATAGCAGAGATAAAGGAGCTAATAACTTATGAAGAAGCATAAAAAAAGATGGAGTAGACTACTGCGATGGAAGAAGAAATTGTTGCTTTGGAGCAAAATCAAACATGGGAATTAGTGCCAAAACAAAGAGATGTGAAACCCATCTCTTGCAAATGGGTCTACAAAATCAAAACTTGCCCAGATGGATCAATTGAGCGATACAAAGCAAGACTGGTTGCTCGTGGAAGAACTGGTTGTCGTGGATTTTCCTCAGCAGTAATGGCTTGGACTATGATGAGACATTTATTCCCAGTTTGCCAAGATCATAACTGTGCGTGTCAATTACTAGCTTTAAGCTAGTAAGTCATGGCCTTTGTGGCAGATGGATGTGAAGAACGCATTCTTACATGGTGAAGTTGATCGTGAAATCTATATGGAGCAACCACCAGGGTTCAGAAGTCATGAGAATCTTAACTACGTGTGCAAGCTAAGAAAAGCTCTCTATGGTCTAAAACAAGCACCGAGGGCTTGGTATGGCAAGATTACAAAATTCCTTGTCAAGAATGGATATGTTATGGCACTAGCAGACTCTAGTTTGTTTATGAAAGATCGGAAAGGAAGACTAGCTATAGTGCTAGTATACGTTGATGATTTAATAGTCACTGGCGACAACATCGAAGAGATTCAACTTATCCGAGAGAATTTGACTACTCGTTTCAAGATGAAAGAGCTAGGAAATGAAAGAGCTAGGAAAGCTCAGACAATTTTCCTTGGATTTGGAGATAGAAGAAGCCAGGAAGGTTTTTACCTTGGACAATAGAAAGTATGCCAAAGAGATTTTGCTGAAGAGGCTTTTGGAATGATGCAATGCAAGCCGATATCTACTCCCAATAGGATGCTATATCAAGTTGTGTGCTCATGAAGGGGAATGAAATCTCGAAGAATGCTACTATGTATAGACAACTAGTGGGAAGCCTTAAGCCTAATCTATCTCACTATGACACAGCCAGACATTTCCTTTGCAGTTGGAGTAGTCAGCCGATTTATGCAGAAGCCTAAGAAACCTCACTTGGAAGCAGTTTGAAGAATATTGAGATATATCAAAAGTACAATCGATTATGGGATCTTATACAAGAGAAGTGAAATTATCAAGTTGGAAGGATATTGCGATGCTGATTATGCAGGAGATCACGACACTCGGCGCTCGACAATAGGATATGCATTTAGTCTTAGTTCAGGAGTAAACTATTGGTGCAGCAAGAGACAACCTACAGTGTCACTTTCACAACAGAAGCTAAGTATTGAGCAGCAGTAACAGCAACTTAGGAAAGTGTTTGATTGTCACAGCTTATGAACGATCTGCATCAACCCATTGACTATCTGATTCCGTTGAATTGTGATAGTCATTCGACTATACAAATGGCTAAGAATCCGGTGTTTCATGTGAGAACAAAACACGTGGGGGTTCACTATCACTTTATCAGAGAGAAGGTTCTACAAGGAGAAATTAAAATAAAATATATTAAGACGGAGGATCAACCAACCGATATCTTTACAAAGAGTTTAAACGCAAATAAATTTGAAGATTTTCACCAACAGTTGGAAATGATGAAGAAAGAGAAATTAATCGTTGAGGGATTATCGTTGATTAAAATATCACCGATTAATTTAGAAAAGTCATCACCGACTTCTTTGGCATAAACTAGAATTTTCTAGATAACTAGTTTGCTAGGATTTAATAATTGGTATCTAAAATCTTCCACAATAAAAATCTACATCATTTGTGGTGTAGAATTAATTAGAAAGAAAAAATCTAAATATTATTAGAGAAAGATCTAGATACTAAAATATAAAAAAAATAATTATTGGTCTAAGATTTTTTAGACCTTCACCACCTTTTCACTAGTATAAATAGGCTAGTTCATTTGTGTTGTGTGTGTCCAAAAAAAAAAAAAAAAAAAAAAAAAAAAAAAAAAAAAAACAAACAAGTAATTAAAAAAAAAAAAAAAAAAAACAAACAAGTAATTATTTTCTTAAACTTGGTGAAAGTTTGCTTCTTATTAATACAATTTTATTTGGTGTTTTGTGTTAGTATTATTTTAGTTGTATTTCCTGTTATTATTTTTAGTATTATAAATTATTAATCAATCTTAGAGTTTATCACTCTACTGATATCCAATATAGTTATTAGACTTTTTTTTTTTTTCCCACTTAAAAATTAAAACGAGAGAAACACTATGCCTTTAATGTTAAAGAATTCTTTTGTTAATCTTTAAAAAAGTGATCATTCAAAAATTGACTGTGTTGGAAGTGACTTTTATTATAGTCATCGTTTGGAATAATAAATGAGTTAGCAAGCAAGCCAATTGCTAGACGTCAGAAGACTTAAAAAATATCAAAAAGTAAAACATGTCCATTTCCGGCTAGTGATACTGCAAATCCTTTAATCTTTGGGATGATTTTTGATTTTATCTATTCTTTAACTTTAGTTTCAACTGGGTTTCTATTTCAATAGAAAAAGGTTCAAACTTGCTTCGTTGCTCATATGGTTATTCATAAAACAAATTACAGAGTCAAATCCCATACCTAGCATTAACACATGCACAACATAAGCAAAACAAGTTTACTATACATAATCATATAGGAAACAGCAATATTTGTTTCGATCTCTATCCTTTTGCCTGTAATAGGCATTGGTATTTATCCGGATTTCGTTTTACCTGTGTTTGCGTTCCTAAAGGCACACTTCTCTTTCAAGAAAATCCGCGGCATGTCAAGCTATAGTAAGATTCTTCACTTTTCTAAACACAATGGACCGACCTTCTCGACATTATCTCATCAAACATAACAGACCCTTTTAGATGATTCGCATTTAGAGTCATTCCAGTGACCAGTTGCATTGCTATTGGGCAAATGAGCGCCTGAATGCAGAAGCCGACCCCTGACATTGTTAACAAAAGCAGAAACAATGGACTTCTTGCTCGCGACCATTGCTTGCTATCTGTTGAAATTAGGTTTGCAATCGGTAATGGCACAGTCTTGACATGAAAGTCATTTTAACAATTTGTGCCTCTGATCCTGTAATTTTAACGGCGAAACATAAATCGAAGGAGAAAGACCAGAGAAGGTCGAAAACCAATTGCTGTGTAAAAATATAATTATATATATATATATATATAAACAGATTGCTATTGCATAAAACTAATAAATTTCATGATTTTATTTGTTAAAATTAAAAGATTTGACTGAAATTGCAAGACAGCAAAAGCATCTTTAATTAGATTACACACTACAAAAATCTCAAGCATTGATACATAGATACATCTAATATTAGTGACATCTCAACGATTAGCTACACTTCTATTCAATTACCTAGTTGAAGATGAAGTAACATCCCATGGCGCTGTATTACAGTCACCTATAGCATAATCAAGCTCTTCATAATCTTCCTCATTAATGGTGCAAGAAGCTCCCTGAGATGCTCTAATCCCTTCTAATTCCATTGCCACTGTCTTCATTGTAGGTCTCTTCTTTCCATTTAAATTCAAACATTTTTGTGCAAGTTTAGCAATTGCAAAAATCTCATCTTTCCCTCCCTCTTTGACAACTTGAGCATCAAGAATCTCAAACAAATGTTTCTCCTCCATGGAAAGTAGAAAGTATGTAGCCAAACTTCTCCCTTCATCGGACCGTGTAAAAGAAATAGGTTTTTGTCCAGTTAAAAGCTCAACAAGAACTACTCCGAAGCTATAAACATCACTTTTTTCTGTAAATTGGCTTGATTGGAAGTACTCAGGATCCAAGTATCCAAACGTTCCTTGTACTCTAGTGGTCACATGTGTTTGATCAATTGAAATTGATTTTGAAGTCCCAAAATCTGCTACTTTTGCTCTATACTTTTCATCCAAAAGAATGTTTGAAGACTTGATATCGCGATGATAAATAGGTATAGAAGCTGCCGAATGCAGATAAAATAAAGCACCTGCAACTTCTGTAGCAATTCGTAACCGCATTTCCCATGTAATAGGAAACTCTTCATTTTGGTTGTGAATATACTGGAAGAGCGTTCCATTAGGGATGAACTCATAAACTAGTAGAGGAACTTCCGTCTCCAGACAGCATCCAATTAGTTTCACCACATTTCTATGGTTAATCTGTGATAAGATCACCACCTCATTGATGAATTGGTCAAGCTTGTCTTCATCCACTACTTTCGATTTCTTGATAGCTACAACTCTCCCGTCTGTCAACATTCCTTTGTAAACAGTTCCCTGACCTCCTTGGCCAAGGATCCTGTTAAGATTATAATAATCGGTTGCTTTCTCTAATTCCTTGGAAGTAAATAGTTTTGTTTGCTCAACATTAGTTTCTGTAGAAGACAGTTGTTGTTGTAATAACAACCCACCATTCCTTTTGAAGAACTTCTGCCTGAGCTTCATGGCCTTTCTTCTCTTTATTAACTTGTACAGCAACCATAAACTGATAAGAAATAACAGCAATCCAAGACCTGATGCACAGCCTGAACAACACAAAAGATTGATTCAAAGTTTATTCCATTCCCAAAGTTAAAACGTATTTTCCGCTTTTATCATAAAATTTTTCATTTTTTTTTTTAAAATTCATATCCAAAAGTAGTTAATGTTTATGACAAAGAAACTTGCATACCTATAATGATGAACTTGGCTCGAGAACTTTTGCCTGACCAGAAATATGGTGGCAAACATCTGATGCCATTGCCAAGAGATTCATACCCATAAGGACACGAGCAACTGTAGCTTCCTGGTGTATACATACAATACAATCGACATCTATAATTTTCCCGTGGATCTGTACACCTGCCAATATCTGTAACATATAATGCAAATAACATCAGGAACCTCTCGCAACATGAATTGGACTTGTAAACGAACAGATTTACATTGGCCAAAGTCATGGATATTTGTTTTAGATTTCATATAAGTCAGAATTTCAGAATAAAAATGTTTCATATATGCATATACATATATAATATTTTGTTATCCTAAGGAGTGAGTGTTTCTTAATAATGCAGAGGCTAAGGTAGGCTCAAAACCCTGATAGCTCTTATTTTATGCACCAGAAAAAAATAATAATAAAACGAGGTTTCAAATGCAGGAAGATAGATGTTTCCTTACCTTGACATCCAGCACAAATGCAGACTTGATTCTTTTTGAGCTCTTTCCAACAATATCTGCGGTCAGAGGTACAAACAATGTTTGGCTCTCGACTGATATCACAATAACCTTGATCAGTTGCCCAGTCAAGCGTTGCAGGGACATTTTCCAAACGGTTCAGATCATCAAGGTTTCTTGACGCAAACCAGTCTTGGTCAACTATGAAGGCGGACTTGCAGCTGCTGCTATCATCCCTGCTGCTAAAAGGGTTCGTCATGTTTGCTTCAAAAGACTGTATATAAGGAGGAATGGTCGCCTGGCAGCAGTTGATGCCATAGCACCCTCTTGTATTAGCTCCGCCACGACAAATTGACAGGCATCCACCAACTGTATTGTTTATATCCTGGACAAGCATAGCATAGTTGTCACAACCCCTGGCTGTGAACCTGTTAGAAGCATTTGAAAACACAAAAGGGCTGCCTGATAGGGAGACCCCTGTACGATTAAAGGCTTTGTCAATGCAATCCGAATAAATTATTGGATTGTTGACTTGAACTTGTCCTGATGTTGGAATGTCCAGCAATTCCATATTGATGCGAGTTAAGAAAGGTCTTGGAGCTACAAAAGAGTTATTACAAGTTACCTCAAAACTCTCATTCAGATAACAGCCTTTTCCAATTCCAAATGGGAATTGGAAATAAACATCACCACATTTATATTGACAAGGCTCCAGTGGCAATGATAGAGCTTGTGCTAAACACAGGATTAGTATAGAAATTATGTGAATCTTTTCTACTGGTTGAACAATCATCGTTCTCTATCTTTTTCTCTCCAAATTCTCTAGCAGTAATAGAGATCAAGTTAATCTATGGTTCAGGTGTTTAAGCCTGGAGGATAGGATATAATTAGAAGAGTCCCCTTTGATGTTTCTTTATTCGCGCATCTCTTCTATTACTTCTTCGTATCCAAATTTGCTACTGTATTAGTCCAAGCATGCAAAAGTTGAATTAGCAACCTAAATAGGAGAAACCAAAACCAAAATGAGGTTGAATTGATTTTAAGAGAGCTGTTATTTTCCAAACTGAAAATTACATGTCCGCTTAATTTTCCTCGTCAATTAATTGCAGTCTCTTTCTTTGCATTGTCGACCTATGGACCTCTCAGTGACTGCTAATATTGGGCCGGTCCAAACTGGTGGTGCACAAACCCTAATATGCGGCAAAAATTAAATTTTTATAACGGGACTAACTGCCGCTCGCCGGCTTAGCTATATAATAAGAGGAATCAAAATGACAGAAAGAACGACCGCGTGCTGCCATAGCCGCCGCGGGAAACTGTTTGCTTTTGAAGCATAGGGCATTGGCTCTCTAACTTCCATCAGTGTTTCGCTTTCTCCACTTTTCTCTGTAAGCTTCTGCTTCTTCCTTACTCTCTATCCGTCTTTTCTTTCCTTCCACTGCTACTGTGAATCACTTGCAATTGTCAAATCGTTTCACAGCGACTCAGTGACTGGAGTTTAAGTCGATTTAAAGAGGAGTACGTAGCAAAATTGTTCTGATGGCACTTCGTTTTGAGGTATGGCTTTTATCATTTTTTGAAAGTTTTAAATTTTTTTCAATTGCTCAAACTCTTGCATTTCTGCTGGGCAAGTGGGAATAAAACAAAAGTTTGATTCTCTTATAAAATTGTATGGAAAATGTTGTTGGTGATCTCCTATGATTTACTTCTAATACATGGGTTAGTTTCTATTTATTGACTTGATATTTTAGGATTTATTTTGCAACTTGTTTCTCTACTTTAGGTTCTAGGCAGGTTTAATCGTGCTCGTGCAGCTAAATTGACACTTCCTCACTTCGTGTGCCAGACTCCTTTGTTCATGCCTGTGGGTACTCAAGGTTAGAGACTTCAGAGTATATATAGTATACATATCACACACATTGTTCCTTCTCTACGTATTGTAAGATCCTGTGATATTTATAAGAGACATTTTTGGAATACTTGTTTACAGGGACGATTAAAGGTTTGACGACTAACCAGCTTGAGGAAATTGGTTGTCAAATAATTCTTGGGAATACATATCACTTGGCACTTCGTCCTACTTCTGAGCTAATTGATGAATTAGGGGGTCTCCATAAATTTATGAACTGGCCTAGAGCGCTGCTTACAGATTCCGGTGGCTTCCAGATGGTTGTTACAATGTTACCGTTTTAGTTTATAATCTGTGTTTTTGAGTTTCTAGGTTGTCTTTCTGTTTTTTCTTTTGTTGTCATTTTGGTCCTATGCATGCTTGCTCAGAATTCTGCATCTCAAACCATGATGCTTACCGAAGTGTATCTATTCATGGTCATCTCATTAAATTTTATTTGTTTAGCTCTCTCTCCTTGGATTATTTTATAGCTTCAGTTTGTTTCAAAAAAATAACATGCACAGTCTAAAGCCATAATTGTTTTGTCCCCTTTTCATATTTCAGGTGTCATTATTGCATTTAGCTGATATCACGGAACAAGGTGTGACCTTTCAGGTATTTGTTATTAGATTGTTTCAAAATTGAAGAGCCATCTGAAAAATTGCCATATATTCCACACTAAAAAGCTAATTTTTACAAAATTAAATTGGATTCTTCAAATTGGTACTGGATCATGATCCTTCATGCAATTCTAAAATTGTTATGAATGAAATAAGTGAAATTTAGTTTGGGCTAAATCACCAAAAAAATTCTGAACTTTGACATTTTTAGTCAATTTAGCCAATACTTTTAATTTTGTCAATTACTACCTTAGCCTTATTTTTCTTTGTCAATTATAGCGTTCGTTCAAAGTCCGTTAGTTTGTTGATTATTTGACTGTTAGTTGGCCTTATAGCACGTCAGCTCACATTCACGTGGCTGTTCTTTGGATATTCATCCTTACTTTTAGAATCTATAAGTTGGAACATTGTGTTGTTGAGACAACCTTTTTTTCATCCCACCACAAGCTTGAAAGAATTTGGTATGACTTTACAATTAACGGACTCTTGATGGACCATCGGCGAGCAACTCACACCGTCAGCAATCCCAAGGTCTGCCAAGTAGGTTTGTTCACTCCCAAAACTACATCACACGAATGCACCCAGTCAGATTTTTAACGGAGGCCAGAATTGACAATAAAAAAATAAGTACAGGATATTGATTGACAATTAAAAGTATTGGTAAAATTTAAAAAAACCTCAAAAGTTCAGGCTTTTTTTAACGATTAAGCCTATAGTTTATGTGTTTTGTCTTGAGTGTGATGGTTTACTTGATGATTTCTCGATGCCATCAATCGTGTTTAAGAAACATAAAGGACAAATTTATTTGTATTGGATATGTGCTTAGTTGTAGAATGTTAAAACTACAAATTTAATGTACTACTGTTTCCTGTTTTCCTGCTGGATTTGAATAAAACATATACGCATTTAGAGATGTTCTTTAGCATATAGGAACACTGTCTCGTCTGTGCTTTACCTGTCTCAACTTGTATCGGTCCCTTGTCTTCCTGTCTATACATCTTTTACTTGTTCTTCTTAGAGTAATTACTTTGTTATCGCTCTAAGAAGTCTTCCTTATTCTATTTTACTTGATTTTTCCTCGTTTCACCAAGAAATAGGGTACACATTATTTTAATTTTGCTTGTAAATGAGGCTTTCTTTCTTGGTTCAGTCACCAGTTGATGGAAAGCCAATGCTTCTAACACCTGAGGAGTCAATTCAAATCCAAGTAAGTGCCATCGGCTCGTGCTTTCATCGGACCATACAGTACTGGAGGCTTTTATCTGTTTTACTTGTCATGTTGTCCATGTTTCTTGACTGCACGTTTACAGTTATTTTTTGGGGAATTCTTCAAGCTTCCATTTCTTAATTCCATTTAATTGTTTTTTTCTTTTATAAAAACAACTCGGGTCTAGAAAATCTCAAGCAACTCTTAAGTTTTTGTAACGTGTTTTGCAGAATAGAATTGGTGCAGATATTATTATGGCTCTTGATGATGTAGTGAAAACCACCATCACTGGTCCACGGATTGAGGAAGCCATGTATCGCACTCTTCGGTGGATAGACAGATGTATAGCAGGTAATTTTGCATCATACCAAATGCCAATTATGTGTCTTACAGAAAAAATTAACTTAAAAAGCTTATCAATCTAATTTGATATGTTGATAAATCAAGTTTTAACTAGTCATGGTCTGTAGTAGTCTTATGAATGGCTTAGTCTTATTGAGCTAGAATAACTTTACTCTAGCATCTACCTTGTGTTGATTATTCAAAAGCTGATGCAGGACCTTAGGAAAAGAAAGCAAAAAGAACAAAAGGAATCAAATTTTCTTAAATTGTACTTATATATGCATGTTAAAAAATAGACCCCGCTGTGATAAGAAAAGAAAATTCCCTGAATATCTCAAATAACTAAATGCTATCTAAGTTTCTTCCAAAATAAGCAGTCATAAAATCTCGAAGTGGTAGTCTCACATCAAAAGCCCTTTTTAAAGTTGAATGTAATAGCTATTGATTTTATTAAGTTATGCCAGGTTCTTGAATTTAAAACCTAATCAGTATTAACCCTGTCATTCCTTTTTAGCATTTGAGTTCAACCTAATAGCCACTGATGGATGCAATAGTTCTTTGCTCACTTTGCTTTCCCGACTTTATTCGTGTTTTCTTCTCTAACCATTCATCTCTTCTGCTTTTGGTCTCATTATTTACGGGGTTGACAGATTACCTTCCTTTTTTTATTTACTCATCTTGTTGACAGCACACAAGAGACCAAATGAGCAAAATTTATTTGGTATTGTTCAAGGTGGTCTGGATCCTGTGTTAAGGTGAACCCTGTTTAAACTGCAGTCTTCTGCTATTACTATATTGAGTATTGTTCGAATTTTTTTTCCTGTTCTCATTACTGTTTTCACTGAACTATTTAGATCTTAATCAGGGATATATGTGTTAGAGGCTTGGTGGAACGGAATTTACCTGGGTATGTTCATTCTTTCTTTTGTAGATATGTAAATAGAGATTACTGATACTTGGGATACTTATCAATGCCAATGACCATTTTCATTTTTGGACTGTCTATAATTATAACCTTGATACCTGTTTTCGAATTTTGTCAGTATACGTGCAAACCAATTTCAGGGTTCCCTTTGTGAATTGCTATGCAAATAAATAAATAAATCAATAAAGATAAAAATAAAGCATGGCAATTTCTGAAATATCATTTACTGAAGAAACAGATACATTTACAGAAAAATCTACTACTGGATAATCCACTTATCCACAGAAAAAGATGATACAAATGCAATTGTTCATTCATTAATTGGGCATCACTGTACAGACCTAAGTATAAGGGTTAGATGTAGGTTCTTGTCTGCATATCAAATTCATCTGATTCTTGAATCTCTAAATATAAATGTGTGGCCTTTTCATATACTTGTCTGTATCTTGGTATTAATGAGATTGGTCATTGTGTTGGTAATATTCATGAGATAGGGATATTATATTCCTAGTTTTTCCAACCTTACATGCTTACCGCCTGTCTTGTTGCCTATTATAGCAAATTTTACTTGTTTATTTTTTTTTGACAAAAATTCTATTATTTCTGCTATTATACTTTAGTGATCAAGAAAGCATCTTAATTTTCATCTAGCACAGCTATGCTATTGGTGGGCTTGCAGGCGGTGAAGATAAAGATTCATTTTGGCGTGTTGTTGCTCAGTGCACAGCTGCATTGCCTGAAGACAAACCACGATATGTTATGGTAACACGAGTTCTTTCATTTTCAATCTCATTCTTCAAACTACTTTGAATCCTCAATTCATTGCTGCTTCTCTTTTCTAATATTTTTCTCCATTGTGATCACCAAATATATTTCAGGGCGTTGGTTATCCCCTGGATATTGTTGTTTGTAGTGCCTTAGGTGCTGATATGTATGACTGTGTGTATCCTACTCGTACCGCTCGTTTTGGCACAGCTCTTGTACCTGAGGTGATAGGTTATTGTTTCAAGTTTTTTGAAATATGCAGAATTGCATTATTTACTTCAATCATATGTTGATTACCATTGGTTAGACTGATTTTGATGCTATTTCAGCTTACTTATCTGGTCTCATTTAAAGTACATGAATGAAAAACTGAGCCTGCCATTTCTAGATGCTTAAACTATTTGTTGTCTCTATATTGAGCGCTGGTATATTTACTTCCATGCACTCAGTCAACCGAAGTTGCTCACTCAAACTTCTTAAATTTTTATGCCCTTTGATTCTTACTGGTTTTGGTCAAAATTTTTGCTTTTGTAACTGTACGTGCTCACATGAAATCATGCATACTATGACAAATAGACTTGTATTTATCGTAAATTATATATGCTCATGCCAAACCTTTAATGCAGGGAGTGCTGAAGCTAAAGCACAAAGCAATGGCTGATGATTCCCGTCCAATTGATCTCACATGTGCCTGCATGGTTTGATAGTAAAAAATACTTGTTTCCATGGGCTTTTCAGTTTACTTATTGCTGTTGCAATGCGTCATTGGTTAAACCAGTTGTCATTATAGGTCTGCAAGAATTATACAAGGGCCTACATCCATTGCCTTGTCACAAAAGATGCCATGGGATCACAGCTGCTATCATATCACAATTTGCATTACATGATGAAGGTACGAAAAATAGATAATAATTCTCTCTGCATTTTGTTCTACTTATAATGGAGAAAAACATATGCTTTCTTGCAGCTTAGCAGAGATCTACATTCATCAATCGTTGAGGGAAGATTTCCAGAGTATGTTTTCTTTGCCCTATTCCATGATTGTATAATTATGCTTTTTAAGTTCATAGTTGTCTCTATGCCATATCATCGGATTCTCTTTTGTCGTAATTAAGTTTCATGCACCCTTTTTTCTTTTTGCAGATTTGTTTGTAATTTCCTCCAGAAAATGGTACTTCTTACACCTAATAGTTTTGTTTATATGTGCTTGCATGTGTTTTTGGAAACAGTGGGAAGGGAAGAAGAAACCTTCATTTATAACTTGTTAGCTTTGCAGAGTGATTTAATATTTTTATTTATGGCTCCATTGAGTTAATGTACATAAATTGAATCGGCTATGGAGAGATTAGGCACATGGTGTGATGTTATGCTGTATAATTTCTTCAGTTGATCGAACTGCACTCTGAGTTGTCATTCTGGCATAATCCCTTTCCTGTCCTTTACAAGTCAAAAATGCTAATGGCAGTCACCAGTAGAGTAAGTTCATAAACTGCATTATCTGCTGTTCTGTCCACCTTTCTGTAACTTGGAATTCATCTACAAGTTGCCATACTATGTCAATTGTTATGCATTGTAGAAGCTCCCATTTACACTTTACAGCAAATTTGGGAGTCGGAGAAAGTTGGGGGGTGAAATTGGCTGAGTGGATGGTAATTTCCCCAGTTTGGGAGACGGGGTGCTAAGGAAAGGTGTGAAATTTATCACCTAGTCCCACTTTAGGCAATCTCCCCAAACTGGGGTAAAAATGAAGGAACATGAATTGATTTTTGTATTTTAGCAGTTAAATCACGTATATATCCCTCTCTAACTTTTCTTATTTCATCTTTTAATCTACATTGTTTATAATTGTAATTTTATGTTTTAATATTTTTGACACTTTTTTTTTTTTGAGTAGTTTATTTTCTCCCCTCTTCATCTTTACTGGAGTATTTTTCACTCCTTATCCACCCCATCATTTTCACTCCCCTTTTCCCAAACAAAGCATTGGAGTGATAGTTGAAGTGTTGGGAGGTCTTGGGGCAAATTTCCATGGAAATAAAAATAATTGAAAAAGATATGTGATGCTATGTAATCTTTGCATATATCTTTACTATAAATGTTTGTTATTGTCTTACAGTTTCCGAAAGGTGATGTCCCTGAATGGGTCTGCAATGCCATGGAGGTTGCAGGAATCGATATCTCATGCTGCTGCACTCTATTCTCTCACCCAAAAGATTAACATAGGAAAGAGTATATCAGCCAAGAAGTGACATTCCAGAAAATTTGACTTGAGAAATTAATTATGAGCAAATTCAATCTATAGTTGACAACACAAGGCAGCATAAATTTTGCATCTCTTATGCTGCGCCTACAGGAATTATACCCCAATAGGAGGTCTCGTCATTTTGAGAGGAATTCTTTTTATTTTTTAATTACACCTTGCAAATTGAGGAGAATTTTATTTTATTTTACCTTTTCCAATATGATTTGTTAACAAAATAAAAAAAAAAAGACCCTTTACAGTTTTTTTTTTCCCCTTTTTTTGGTCTTTGCAATTTGTGACACAGTTGGCTGGCATCTGTGATGCATACATTAATAATTATAATTATAATGCATAGACAGAACTTGAATTGTCATTGAGATGCAGAATTTGGTTATGATTAATCTAGAGATTGTATTTGAGATTAGTTGATGCTAAAAGTGGAAGCTCTGCAATGAGGAATTCAGTGCAGGTCTCTTTGAAGTTTGAATTGTCCAGGTATTGAACTAATGACTCCACTCCATCCCAAGATTATGAGACTTAGAAGCCAAAAAATGCAGCAGTAGAAGATTACACTTTTGCTTTTTCTTTCCTTGGTTTCAATCTGAGATTATTTTGACATTTTCCACTGCAGAGATAAATGGCTTTTATGTAGCCAGCCATCTGCCTAACTTGTGGGTCTGTTGACGATAAAAGCCAGAGTGACAGAATGAGAAAGCTCACCAATTATGACATTTTGAAAGTATGACTTAATGGGTATGAAAGGTACCTTTTGTGGGCTGGACAAGAAAGTCCAAGGCACAACGTATATTTAAAGCAATGTGAATTCTGCTTTATATATCAAAAGCACTTCCCTCTAAATCATGCACAAACTTTTGAAATTTTACTCACTAATCACTTCCATAGTTCATATGATTAGATTGAAGAAGACAACAAAATCCAAAAAAATATTCTATTTCTCTTGCTTTCTAGCCTTTATTTTTCTCCTTCTCCGAAGTAGGACAGGGACCATATTATAATTTAGAAAAAACTACTAATTCGTCTAGTGATCCAAAAATTGTCCAAACGGTATGTTAGCAGGTATTATTTATTTTTAATTGGATTTATCATAATAACAATAATAATGATAATAATAATATGATGCATTAAATATGTTTGTGAGAAATCATTAAAAATTAGTTTAAAAATAAATTGAATACGATTTATCAAGACCTCAGTATAGTTACATAATAATTATCCATAAGAAATGACCTAAATAGTAAGGTACATCTGAATTCATCAATTGATGTCTGAAAGATCAATTATATTGCTCGATAAGTTTAATCCTAAAAATGTGTTTTTAATTGAAAAATTATTTGTTAAAAATGTTGATAAGAAATCATTAAATTCTATTTCAAAGTGAATTTCATAAATTGTTATTATGAAAGTTCTGAAGTAACTAAAAAATTCGAAAATGATTTTGCTAACTGCGTTTAGAGTTAGTTTAGTGTTGTAATTGAAATCGGTTTTTAGAAAAACGCTTTTAAAATGTTTTTTTCTTTTGAAACTTATTTTAAATGTTTTTTAAGAAAAAGCAATTTTGGAGTATGGCATGTATAGAGTTCACCATAAAAAGAAACTTTATTGACCTTCGATTAATAATTTTAACAAATTATTTTTTTTTTTCTCTTGAAAGAGAGTGCAAACACGTGCCTAAAATGATACTTTTTGTAAAAAAAAAAAAGAAAAAAAAAAGGTGATTTCAATCTCAATAACAATCAAACTACTTGGAGTTTTATTGTTAGTTTCTTTGTTATTGAGATGACATTCTTTTTTTTTATTATTTAAAAAAAATTATGATTTAAAAAATGATGAGATTCAAGAAAGAAGGAGCAAGGCCGTTAGATCCACCGTTTCAGAAGCTTCCATTAATCTACATTTTTTTTCGTCCGAACAACAAATAAAGAACATGGATAATCTCTTCCCATCATCCCTTTCCCTATAACTTTGGGGAAAAAAAAAAAAAAAGAAGAAGAAAGAAAAGAAGAAGAAATTCTTGACCTAAGCATGATTATACTAAAAGATCGAAAAAAAAAAAAAAAAAACCCCAAAAAGGAAACCCTAACGCATGATCTACTACTAAAAGATCGAAAAAAAAAAAAAAAAAACCCAAAAAAACTAATATCTCTATCCAAAAAAAAAAAAAAAAAACCCCAAAAACTAAATATCTCTATCAAATGTCTTGTAACTAAACTTTACTTTATTTGTAGAAAATTTGTAATAAATTTATAATTAGCTAGCGTGGCCGGCTGGCTGCCATTTTTCATCTAAAACTCGTGGATTGACTGCCGACATTGTACTACTTATGACAGGTGTCAGATCCTTAACTACTGTAACCTGTTACTTGCTAAGCAACAGGAAGGTCGGTGCCATAGTGGAAAATTTCCACTCCTATTATCCTCCGCTGCAGTGGAGGATTTGGCTTCAGCCGATCCATGAAGACGATACTGCTGTTAAAGGATATAAATATATTGTCAAAAGTCTTTTATATATATATATATATATATACTGACTGTATACATTTAATAAATTTAATAATAACATGTAAAATAAATACGAGCATGAAAAAAAAAAAAAAAAAAAAAAAAAAAAAAAAAAAAGGAGAACAAGTTACAAGAAACTATGTAACAGTTGCGGGGCAAAAACAATATTTACATGTACAAGAACGAGAATTGAAATTATTTAGCACTTGCTATTTGGTCAATGTACCAAAAATCCATAATTAAATTGCCACTAAACTTCAAATTTATAAGCACTATTTCATAATAATGAAAATGAGTCAGTAAACAAGAGCGAGAAAAACCTCAAAGACGAAGAAATACACCAAATATAGAAGCGATAAAAATTCGACTTGGGTCGCTAAACCACCTCAAATAAAAGTGTTTGACATTGGGTGACTATATAAACGAAGTTCACATGATTAACTGAGCTAAAGATATATTGCAGCGAAAACAACATATCCAGAAATAGCTAAGACTTAAATTGAAGCAGATACTTGATGTTTATGCCTATTACAAATATATATGATCAACTGCGCTAAAGATATATTGCAGCCAAAACACCATATCCAGAAATAGCTAAAAGGCTTAAACTGAAGCAGATACTTGATGTTTATAATTTTAAGCCCATTAATGATATTTGTAAATGTATTTTAATTCTACTACTACTTTATTATTTGCATTTTTAAACATAGCTAGGGCATAGGCCTTCTAATAAAAAGAGTACATGCCCAAATTAACTAGCCTTAACATCCTTGAAGAGTTGAATGCATTAGGTATAATGTGTAAGGGGAAAAAGAAGAAGAAATGGAAAGGATCGTAATATGTTAATATGTTAAATAGACCTGCAAGTGCATGTTATTCGTAAATGCTATAACCTATGTTGTATAGAAACGGAAACAAAAATTAAATATGTGGAAACACGAAAATCATATAGAGAAACGACATTTAAAATATAATTTTACACGGAAAAATAATATTTTATATGAGAAAATGGATACTGAAAAACAATTTTAGAACTCCGAAATGCCTATAGCAAAAGTTTTCGTACATTATACCCCTGATCATACCCCCCGGTCCTAAAGTCCTGAACTCTCAATTAAGGGCTCACAGAGTGACATTTCAATGGACATTTCCATGTTCCCAAGTGTCCTATCTTTCATGGTGAAAATTCTCAATTGAACAAGTTTCAGGAATGCCATTCAGATTTTCTTTTCAGGCTTTCATTTTCACACGATTGAGTTACAAATATCAAGAAAATTACGCAATCTAAAGCAATTACCTAATCAAGCTGCAGTTGTTGACCTCTCACTTCTTTCTGATCTGAACTTGGAAACCATCTGCCTCTTCTCTTTTTGTCTTTCTCCTCATTTATTGAACACAAATAGTTCTTAACCCTTTAACTAACTAAAAATGTAATTAACGAACCACTCATTCTTTGAAGTCAAAAACTAATTAAGCATCTTCATTTTTATTCTTGCATTAAGATCATCGTGTCGCCATTCATTGACAGGATAACAACCTCTACATCTTCCATTTTCTGATTGCTGACCTCAAAAGAAAATGATAGTACGTAGAAAGAATTATTTAGAACTTAGTTAACGAAGAAAATACTATCCACTAATGTAATTTGTGGGGTTGTTCGTTGTTGTTAGCTTGTTCATTCAAGTGATGATGATACCTCCACAGTATAATCGAAGTACAATCCAATACAAAAATCCAAATATTTCAATTTGTTACTTATCTTTTTTGATCATCCATATCTTTTTGAAACTGTGTATGTGTCCATCTCTAGTTCATTGAATCTTGTGGTGGGCAACCTTAATTCAAGTAACAACGGGGTTTTAATTTTGGTTTGGGATATGTTTGCTAATATTAACTGTTTTGATAGTTATTAGTTGTTTTATTTTGATAGTTGTTAGTTGTTTTATTAGCGTTTATTTATTTGCTATTTAAATAGTGTTTTTATAAAACGGTAAAAGTTAAACCTTACATGATTAACTTTTCACAAGACGCTATCTTAATCTCTAAAAGCTAGTTGAATACTATATTACCAAATATTATGATAAATAATGTCAAAACGCTAAAACCTATTATGTAACGCAAGTTTAGTGAAAACCTAATATGTATCTCAAGTTTAGTGATATTGTAACAGTTAATTTTGGTAAATCATTGCCTATTTACTATATTTAGGAAGATGTGACTCCATTAATAAATTGGAAGTAAAGAATTAATGAATTTATTTAAAAAATATTGAATTTGCATCAGCCATCACCTTCACAGCACATAACACTTGAAGTTGCACTAACAGTATATAACTGTGTATTGTGAAGGAGGTCACAGTCTCTTGCCTCTCTCTCTCTCTCTCACACACACACACCTATATTTAGGAAGATGTGACTCCATTAATAAATTGGAAGTAAAGAATTAATGAATTTATTTAAAAAATATTGAATTTGCATCAGCCATCACCTTCACAGCACATAACACTTGAAGTTGCACTAACAGTATATAACTGTGTATTGTGAAGGAGGTCACAGTCTCTTGCCTCTCTCTCTCTCTCTCACACACACACACTCTCTCGCTTTCTCTCTCTAAGATATTGCATGATTAGACAATGATTAGCTAGAGAAAGGTTTTAATTACTGTTACTGACTCCTTAGGTTTTTGTCTGCTTTCTTGAAAAGCTTTGCTCATTTCTAAAAAGTTTACACTACAGTGAATGGTGATCCGCTGATTTTCTTTGATCGGCTTGTTAAAAGAGCAAGAGAGTTAGCAAAATTAGTAAAAACTTGATAACCCAAAAGCACTTTCTTCGTTATATCACTTCCCATTCTTGCTCAATACTTGGCCACAGTTGTCCCTTCTTATGCCTTCTCTACAGTAACACAAGGTCTTTTCTTGATTTCTTGATTTCGAGTTCCAACTATGAAGCGGTTCAGTTCCTCCGATTCATTTGCTGATATATTCTCCATTTCTCCTCCTTCCAAAGGTAAACAACGATACAACTTGTTATTGAAAGCATAATTATATCATAATTAAGCTCATAAACGTCATTTTATATTTCAAACCCTGTTAAAAACAGAGATGAAGTCTCAAAAATCAAATCAAGGATACACTAGAGAGTTTCAAGCAATGTTAGATAGTCTAGAAGAAGAAGATTACGCTGAGGAAGCCATTCATACCACTACAGAGAAGAAAAGAAGGTTAAATCTTGATCAAGTTAAGGCCTTGGAGAAGAATTTTGAAGTTGAAAACAAGCTTGAGCCAGAGAGAAAGCTGAGATTAGCAGAGGAATTAGGCCTGCAACCAAGACAAGTAGCCATTTGGTTCCAAAATCGCCGTGCTCGTTGGAAAACTAAGCAATTAGAGAGAGATTATGAAGTACTTAAAGCTGATTATGAAGCTTTAAAACTTAACTACAGTAATATTGAAAAAGAGAATGAATCTTTAAATCAACAGGTATTGTTGCCAATAAAGTATCAATTTTTTTAATTATAATTCTACCTTAGAATTATTTTTTCAAAATTTTCTTGTTTGGTTCCTGAATTTTAGGTAAAGGAATTGAAAGCGAAGCTAAGAGAAGAAAATGCAGATAGCAGTCACTCTGTCAAAGAAGAGTGCCCTGTTTCAGAGTCAGAGAACAATTTTTCAGTGCAAAGCCAGAGCCACGAATTGAGTGACAATAACAATTTTCATGGAACCATTAAAGACCAGATCAATGATTTATCTTCACATTCATTAATGAGTTGGATTCAATTATCTGATTCAAGATCCATTTTAGGAAATGGGTTTCAAGTATATCATGAACCTCATCTTGTGAAACTAGAAGAGCAGAGCATGTTTAATACAGAGGAATCCTGCAATTTCTTTTCAGTTGATCAAGCTCCTACCCTTCACTGGCAACTGTCTTAGCAGTAAATAAATCTTTACCTGAAGGCTTGGAGAGGAATAAATTTGGCTTTGGAGAGATTGTAGATTGGGACTTCATTTTAGCTCTTCCATTGCCATAAATGGGCGGGAACAGTGAAGTTTCTTATATTATTACATTATATGTTCTCTGCTGTAAAAAGACCATTATCATAATGTTTAGCAAAAAAATCCAGTTCTAAATAATTTTCTACGGTGGTCAAATTTCTATATTAAGTACTGTTTTTAAACTGTGCATTAGATTATAAAGAAGCTGGTAGTTGAGCTTTTTGCATGGCTAGTGACTAATAATATATAAACCTATGTGCTTTCATTAGGGTGTCCTCCACCTGTTCTTCTTCCTTTTTAGTCTTGCATGTACTTTTTAATTATGTTAATTTAATAAGAGTTATATAAATACAGATAATAAATGGATTGAAATCACATTTTTTTAAAATAACATTTTACAAAATACTTTGAAAAGATGATTCTCTTACCAATATTATGCTATCTAACATTGATAAACTCAATGGACTGAAATTTGCAAAAGCTGAAGATTGTTTGAAATTGAACAAAAAGGGGTTTGGTCCCTTTTTCTTTTTAAATTATGGGTTGGTTTCCTTCTGGAACACCCCTGTCAACCCATGTGGTTGGTAAGGGGTAGATCCTGACCTGTAGCTAACAACAATGAATTGGCATTTTTTTTTTTAAATTTTAGTGGTACAACTCTTTAGACTCCATATCCTAAAGGACATAGCTCTGCCCAACATTGTAGACCCCTCCATACCCAACCTTCTCTATATTCTGGAAAGTTGATTGTCACTCATCCATCACAAACATTTCAAACACTTATTTTTATCTGTGAAACTTACAATTCCTTTACCTTACACAAATTCATGATATCCACAATCAACTGATAGATTTATCTAGATCTAGCCATTGCCTCACTTGTAAAGCAAACTAGTGAAAATATAAATTTTTGTTGAATCCAGAGTATTTTTGAATTAACCTAAGTAAAATTGAAAGAGTTTTTGTAACTTGATAAAAGTATTTTAGGGTAAGACAACAGAAGGTGTTGTCTTGAAGGAGTGGAGGAGGAAAGGAAAGAAGTCATTATCGAGGTATTTGTAGTTATTTGAGTGGGAAAGAGACAGAGCAAAAAGCTGCAGTGACTCTTGGCTCTACCAAGTCCCTTTCAAGTCAGAAAGAAGGGACCCCAGAGTGTCACCCATGTTTGACTGCTAATGCTCTGCGGAATCTAGCTAAAGGCTAAAAGCCTATATTAGATTGTCATATGACGTTTTTGCTCCAATCCCTAGAAAGTAGAAATCCAATCCACCAACTCCTATAGGGCTATACACTCAGCTACTGCCTTTCTTTGTGTGAGGCACCCGCCACTAGCACAACCACTCCTCGGTGTTGGAGAAAAACTCGCACAAGCCTCCTGTCAACAAAGTCCATACTTGTGTCCTTGTTTAACCCCTTTTACTGTATTTATTTTTCTTTTAAATATTTTTATATACATGTTGTTGATATTAAGAATATCATTGGATTAAATTGCATTAATATTCGTAAAGAGGAGAGTATATAACAATAATAATATGCTTCCACCGTCTCCTAACTGGATTACATAGAGAGGGAGCCCAAATGGAGATATGTGGATAAAGATAGTGAACTATATAAAAGCAACTTGCAAAGACTAGCTGGTTAGGATTAGAAGACCAGGATCTATCCACAATTACATGCACAGAGCAATTTTATTACTGATTTCTATATGCCCCCACCTATATGTTATGTGCATTTGTTAATCAAAAGGGTTAAAAGGACTTATTTTTCTTTTCTGTTTTATAAATTGTTCTGTATTGTAGAAAAGTGATAAGTTTGCTGTCCATTTATTGCTCTAATTTGCAAAAAGCTAAAAGCAACAAGATCCAAGGTGGAGCTATGGGCAATTGCCTCCCTCTCTTTTACAAAAGAAATTATTTCCTTTAGTATTAATAAGTCTCAAACGTTATTCATCTTCATTTTAACGAGCTTTCAATCATCTTATCCATCATTTTTGTATAATTTTCTTCTAACTAAATTTTATATTATTTTGTCCCCTGCAGATCCTGTCTCCGCTCTTAATAAGGAGGATTAAAAGTTTGTGGAAAATAGAGAATATGATGTCGACCCACCAATCCATCATTGAAATAGGTCATCGTAAATAAAAGATTTGGTACTTGACAAATCCCGAAGATGTTTTTGTACATGAAAATAAATTGGCATCTTGTTCAGGTCGAGGAATTTTCCAAATTATATATTTGGTCCACGACCCAAACTACAAAGAGTTTGTGCAAGGGCCATAATCCAGGAGCAGAGGACATAGACAATAGAAAAGGACCCACTTCTACCTTGGTAATTTTATGAAGTAGACTCTGGGCCAAAGCCCAGACGATTGTGCACTATAACATGAGATTTCAAACTTAGCATTTGTGACGCTGGGTACCCATTGATTAGGTAGCACGTACTATTTGAGATGCTGTATATTTTTTTTCCCAATAACTGGGAAGGGGAAATTATATATTTTTTTTCACAGCCACGGAAATTATATTAATTTAACTTGCATTAAAATAGTAGAAGAGTAAAATGAATCCAGTACAACCAACACCAATCAAGATATATGTATAGAAGAAAATATGGTTGTTAAAAGAGCCTAGCCTGTAAAAGGAGGCGCGAGGCAATCACCTATCATGGCACGGATGCTGGATAAATTTGCCTAGACCGAGTTCATAACTCTATCCAATTTTCACTCCTTGAAACAATCTCAGCTCTGAATTTAATTAGTAGTCTACAAACTTTCAAGACAGCTTATTTGCGTGTTCTATGGTTCCTTCTTTTGCTTTCAGCTCGAGCGCTATGTGTCTCAGTAGTGTATTCTGAAGCTGCTAAATAGAGAGGGAGCAAGAACAAGCAGTATGAAATCTTGCTTGTGTTAAAGCTGCTATTAATATTATCCTAATCCTAAAAGAAGATGAGCGTTTCTGGCATTGCCATTTCAAAGTTCTGTGCTATCTAGATGGAACTAGAACTACTTTAATAGCGACTTCTGTTTGTTGCTTGTCAAACTGATGAATTATTACTTGATTGTTCAACAATAAGCGCTTGCTTCCAGATATATTATATATGTATGTATTGTAGCGTTAACTATGCATACCCAGCCAGCGTTACATACAGAATTGAAAAGCCGTGTGAAATTTAATAGCTTTGCATGCTTTCTCCCCTTGACAACTTCGGTGTTGTAGCATGTTGTACTGTAATAACAGTTGGTTACTACAGTATAGGATACGAAAGTATTTCTAAAATAGCACTGTACAACTGTGCTGTACTGAAGAACATTGACTTTGGAGCTAAGCCAGAGTCGGTTCTTTGCAATGGCGACTGGGGAGAGTTGATAAACTTCGATAAAGTGCAGAGCTGGATGTAACATAATCATAAGCATATCGGCACGTGATTTTTTCTTTTTTTTTTTTAAATGTGTAATTTATTGAAGAAAAAAAAAGGATTTGCCTAATAAAAGAGGAGCATCGGGATTTGGTTTTAAAGAAAATGACAGTTAGCTAAGTAAGACCCATAACCAGAAGAGCTTGCTTGCTGCTTTATTAATGTTACAGATGGAGAATGGGCTTTTTGTTGGCTATAATATTTGTAAGTATACGCAGAAGCTCCACTGTCAACCAGTGGACTTTCCACGTTCTAATAAAAACACTGTCTAAGATCGGTAGACAATAATACTATACTACAATCTTGTTTCCACCAAACTTTCCTTAATTAATTAGGACATTACTCTTTTTTTCTTTTTCTCTTTGGCTTTCTTTGAATATTCTTGTTTTTGGTTTTTTTTTTTTAATATAATGTCTCAAACCTACTAATTCCCGTGGAGTTTTTTATAATGTGTGAGATTTTTTTTTTCGGCTTTTTTGGCTTTTTTTTTTTAAAAAAAAAAAGAGAGAAGACTAATTAAGACTAAACATTAAGTAATGTAAAATGTTAAAAGGTCTACACGCATGCATGTTTTAATAGTACAATTCTTTTTCCTTTCCTTTCTTTATGATGACTTGTATATGCAGTTATTTTACGTTGACACGGCACGAAAAAGAAAAAGGGCACTACTAGCTAACGTGGCCGAAATTGATTGGAAACACCAACAGTCTACTTAAAAAGTGTTTTTAGGTGTGGTACTTTTCATTTCCGTCGTAACTCGTTCGTATAATACGGCGCCGTTGCAATCTATTTGATTTTGTCCATCTTCACCTTTTACAAAAGACACAGTACAGCAACAAACAAGCAATCGACTATTCTCCAAACAACTTTTTTTGTAAGGTTAGAAAATTTTTTGAAATTTAATATGATCATTATTAAAAATTAGAGCTTTAAAGTTTGAAACTATCGCTATTTGAAAGGTTTTTATATTAATAGCTAGTCTAAATATAAATTAATCCATTTGAATGAGTGCATATGGTAAAAATAAAAAAAATAAAAAAAACAAGTAAAGTTCAATTTCTTCCATAAGCTTGTTACTCAAGAAAAACACTATAAAACAATAGTTCAAATTATAGTCTGATTTTATAATTCACATGCAATTTGTTTTAAAAATTTAAATTCGGATGAGAATTTGGATATGGTGTATAAAAAATTGGAAAAATTACAAATAAATTTTTAAATAACAAATTTAGAAGGTAAATTAGACTTTATTTTTAAAAAAAATGACTCGGTACAAAAGAGCAGATTTTCCACGCCGCCCCACAGAAATTAATTCCAAATTTTTTTTTTCCAGTATACAACGCTTCCTCTACGCAACACATCACAGCCACCGACTCAATGGGCCCACAAATCTCTCCTTGCATCGTGACCGTTCCAACATCTTGGTCCTCAGCCCAAGTTGTCGTCAAATTTCTTTCCTCTCGTAAACCGTCAAAACAACCATTTTAAAAGGAAGAAATCCCAAAGAAACATCCCATGAACTATCATGGAAAAAACACCAACCCTCATTTACATCTACATCTACATCTCTCCTATATATATTACACGAAACCCAAATCAATTTGCTAATGCCAAAATAGAAAAATGGGTTACTTAAAAAGATCAAAGCAAGAAGCTACGGCTACTAAATCTAAGCCAGATGGTAAGTGCAAAAAGCATCCAAAACACAAGCAATCGCCAGGCGTTTGTTCTGTTTGTTTAAATGAAAAGCTTTCTATGCTTTCCTCTTCAAGTTCACGTACAGCAGTAATGGATTATGCTTCTTCTTCTTCAGCTTCTTCGTTGTCTGCATATTCGACTACTTCTTGTTCTTCTTGTTCCTCTCCAATGCATCGCTTTCGATTTACTACAGAAGGGAATAATCACAAGGGGTCTTTATCTTTCTTATTAATAAGTGGCAAGAATGTGCTTACTAAGAGTAGATCGTTGGCTTTTGTCCCAAGAAACAGAGGTAATAAAGAAAGAGCGAGTCATGATGATGATAAGAAAAAAGGTGGGTTTTTCTCTAAGTTGCTACGTCGACCAAGAACTAACAAGAGAGCAGAACAAGGTTTAATGCACTCTAGGTCTATGAGAGAAAGGGTTATGAGCATCTCGAGGGTTAACTGATTGGTTACGATGATGCATCTCTAGTTTCTTGATTCTTTTTTTTGTTACCGTTTGTTCTCGACTTTTGTGAGATTATTTAGATTTTGGTTTTTAGATTTTTATAACAAAGAAGAACAAATGAAAATAGATATAAAAGCAGAAAGATTGATACTTGATATGCATGTATTTTTTGTTTATACGTGTGTGTATGAATTAATTAATTATCACACGCAAAATCAGTACATATATGCAGAAAAAGATAAACTAGTTCTTGTATTTTGATTTATATTTATAACGATAATAATATTTTTTTTCTTTTATTTATAATTAACTCATTCATGTTAAGACTAAACAATGATTTTTTTTTTTATACTGAAACCTGAATGTTAAAATAACGACTTTTAAATCATTTCATTGTGTGTTTACTGATAATAATAATAATAATTTAATGCATACAAACTATTTTTTATTTTTAAAAAAATTTTCGTTATTTAAAGAGTAAAAAATAATTAGGATTTGCACATGATATCATGCAGTCCAAGTTAAAAATTGGACCAAATGTCATGGAATTTTGACAATATAGCAGCAGTTTAAGTTTGTCTTTCTATTCAATAAAAGGCAAAAAATTCCAAATATGAACAGCAGAGAGACATGCTGGCAATTAGGCTGTCACAGATTTTGATGCTGTATAATATTATGATGGTATGGCTTAATTTGATTCTCCATCTCAGAAATTTCCTCCAGATCACGGTAAGTTGAAACTTCAACAACGTTTACTTTGATTTTCCAAATTTGTTTCCTGAAAAAGCTGTACAGTACAATGCATATGTATGTGACAACTGGTAAACTTGGGTCCAGGTTCCGGGCAGCTTCCTGTGGGCCAAAAAGTTCAAAACTGTTAAGCTGGCACAAGAAAATTGAAAAACATAATTCACAACTTGCCAATTTCCCAGATCAAAATTCCCCGCAATTTCCTTTCATTTAATTCTCTCTATATAAAAAAAAAAAAAAAAAAACACAGATTTTGATTGACTGATATACATATTATTAGATAGAGTATGGCTTAATTTGATTTCTCCATCTCAGAAAAATTTCCTCCAGATCACGTAAGTTGAAAACCTTCCGACAACCGTCTTACTTTGATTTTCAAATTTTAGTTTCCTGAAAAAGGCCTGTACAGTACAATGGCATCGATGTTACTGTGAAACTGGTAAAAACTTGGGTCCATGGTTCCGGGCAGCTTCTGTGCGGCCCAAAAAGTTCAAAACTGTTAAGCTGGCCACAAGAAAATGAAAAAAAATTAATTCACAAATTGCCAAATTTCCCAGATTTCAGAAATTTCCCACGCAATTTCCTTTCATTTAAATTCTCTCTATATAAAACAAAAAAAAAAAAGGCAAAAGAAAAAAAAAAAAAAAAAAAAGCAAAAGGGACGTAATTAAATTCCGATCAGATCATCATCAATACACATGATTATGTTGAAGAATGACTGGTATGCTTTATAAATTTATTTATTTATTTTTATATTTTAAGGCTAATGTTACTTTCCACGTAATGTCGCTTGTTTTGAATCAAACTTTTTGACATAGTCATCACACCAATAACATTATTTCCATAGTAGGACTTCCTCTTCAAGTTAATTAAACAGTAATTAATTAATTAATTAACATTCCATGTATAAGTAGAAGAAACAAAATCAAACTTATCTATGTGTTTTTCAAAAGTTAAATAGATTAAATTTTCTTCCAACAATTAGGAATATTCCCCGCGTTTTGAAATCCAATTAATATAATAGATTATGTACATATCAACTATATATATATATATATAAAGGTTATAAAGGAATATTTTTTTATATCATCTTATAAGATTGATATAATTCCCACATCGTAAGAGACAATAGAAGGTTATAATAAGATGAATTATTGCTAATTTCTATTAACTAACATATCACAAACCTGTTTGGAGGAAATGAAACAAGCAGCAAAAGAAACTAAGTATAATTTTTTTAAAATTAATTAGTCTTTAAACTCTAATTATATAATTTAAAATTGGATATGATGCTAATGATAATGAGCCAAGACTCGTTGCTAAACAAATTCATTTTAGTGTCTTTTTCACAATGAATATGGCATCAAAACCAAAATGTTTTTGTTTTTGTATAGTACAGTAGATGTATGCAAATTTTAATTATCTTTATATATCATGAAAAATATATATCTATACGTAGTGTATGGTATGTCTTATACACCAAGTCAATGATTAATTGTCATCTCAAAGAAATTTTTTTATTTGTCCTTTTTTCCACCATGAAATGTAAATAATACTCTCATTTTCACTAAATAATTTTATGAAATTGGCTTGGTGCATGGTCAACGTATATAGTAAGTGTAGAAAAGTTATCTATCATTGCCTTATTTGGAATCAAGAAAACAAACGGGCTACAGATGTGGATACTTTTAGCCCATTGGCTTATATTGGGCCAATCATTCCATTTTTTCTCTTTCACATGGGCTGATTTATATCTGTGTTTTTTTTCAGCCCAATAACCCATGTTATAAATTTTAGTTTGATGTTGTGTCGATTTTTCATTTTTTGCAAGAAAAAAGCATCTCACAAAAAAATTACCGCCGCTCGATCAACTCCGGCTTTCATATATATGAAATTGGAAAAAACATCACTGATGTAAACCAAGAAACTGAGAAAAAAGGAACTATTGTCCCATCACACTTATCATCATCATTTTTTTTTTTAGTATTGGAAAAAAAGAATTAAAGTCTGAATTTATTATCAGATCGTAATGCACTTACCACTAATCTTAGTGTGTACCCTTGTCATCATCAATTAATTATAAAAATAAAGCATCATTTTTTTTTTCTATGTTGATTTCCGTTTGTAGATATTGATATTATCTTGATTGACATTCAAAATACACTGTGGATATGCAAACATAATCCTGAACTGAACTTGAATTAGATCAAATCTACATCGATAGTAATTTTAGTTTACAATTGCTAATGACTCTTAAAGAATTGGATTATGGTTCAATTTTTTTCTGCAATAATTTCGATCTAACTCTAACTTGAATTGCATAAACAAAAATATAAAACGAGTCAACAATTTCATTGAAAATCTCAAATTTAGGTTCCAGTTTTGATTTTTTAGGTTATCTCAAACCGAAACTTGTAATTCTGAAGGGTTAGCTATGTGTTCGGAATGGATAGAATATTCTCTCTATTTGGTCATTTATAATAAAGACATAGATTAATTGTTTTCAAGTCCATAAAAAATTATTGATCTATTACTATACTCTGCTGGCACGAATGCAGTCTTCCATTAAAGTATAAATAGAAGTTGCCATGAAAACGAAATTAACCTACCTCACTTTCCATTCCAAAATAATGATAAACTGAAGCCCCACAATACAAATCACATGTTTCACATCTTTTTTTTTTTTTGGCAAATTTGCTGGTTATTACCTTATTTATGGAGTTTGGAATTAGGTGAGCTGAGGTTATGAGGTGTAGTGTCCCGTAAGTTGTTATGTGTCAATTTAATTCCCACTAGAGAAGCTCATTGCCGCTCTCTCTCTCTCTATATATATATATATATATCCACTTAATGAGAAACATGACTAGTTTAGCTTTGTTGCTTCTTCTTGTCAAATATGTTTCCCTTCAATGATTTCGATGTTTAAAAAAAAAATTTAGTGATCCACTAACTAATTTTCCCCATAGGCCATAATGGTATTTATGAGAACTGTTAGTTAATTAAAAAGTGAGCAATGCCAAATAAACATTAGTAGCCGTTTTCATAGACTTAAGTAACCTCTACGTCTCTATATTTTTAACCTATATATTTCTAAGAAGGAAAAAGAAAATTTATATTTTCATGCGATTTTATCTGTAAATTACTCATAAATTTGGAATAACAATTATTGAAAAGCTTTATTTGGATGGTTGAAGCTAAAAATATGAATTTATGAGAATTATTTTTTGGTACTTGAAAAAGAAGAGTGAAAAATGTCAAATTTCTTGAAATAATATTTTTTTAATAAAATGCCTTAGACTTGATGTTGATGATGATATAAGTGCTCCAGTTGACTCAACTTCAACTTAGTTTATGGGCTAAGCTAAGTGTTGACAGTAGACTTGAACAATTTCCAATTCTTGTTCATCCTTAATTAATATAAGAAGAAAATGACATAGGGTGAAATAGATTGATATATATATATATATATATATTTTAATCAGAGATTTCGAATTCGAGTTAAAAATATAGGGTTTCTTTAAATAGTCGGTAGAGAATGCTTTGTCTTTATTTTATAGGTCTAACCGGTACAAATCCAAATTATTAGAATCGGTGAGATTAAAAAATCAAGCAGTGAATATATATATATATATATATAAGAAGAAAATGTATTTTCAATCAAAATTTTGTTGACCTTATTTGACGGATGACGCCTTAAATCAACATCAGTAACAACAATTCCACTAATGCAACAAATTAAGAAAATGTATTACATAGAAAAAACAAATGTCTCATGAAATTGAAAGGTGTATATATATATATATATATATAACTTTCCTTCTAGTCCATGGAAGGTGGCCTTACTTATGCTGTCCGGTCATTCCTGTTTAGTGAAGGAACCAATCACATGCAGACACAATTCAAATTTAGTGCCTCAAGTTTAAGGCTTGTAAATTGTAATCAATATGTGCCCTTGTTCTTTCCTTCTTCATTGCGCTTACCCTCCGCCAACAAACCCAGAAGAAAAGCAAAACACGAAAGGATCAGAGGATCTTCTGCCACGTGTTTTTTAGTAATTCTAACATTAGGGTAAATAATATACAAAACAATTCTCATCGTCGGGAAGGATGAAAAAATGAGTAATGATCCGTAAATACGATTCACTTAATATGTAAAATAAATAGATCAGGTCACAGGTCGGATAAATGATCTATTTATTTAAGTGTATAGATACTCCAACTAAAATTTTATTTGTTGTATTAATTTTTTATTTTAATTATAAATTTTGAAAATTTTATGTATTTTATGTATGAAAATTTATTTTTAAATATAATTTGAGATAAATAGATTAAAATTTAAAAATATCGTAAGTAGGTTTAGTGGATTATATACAGGTCAATACAACTCACTTAACCTGCTTATGGTATTATGCGAATTTCACTTGTCATCTCAATTTTTATATGGTATCGTATTAACAAATTTGACATGATTATTAAATAGGGTATATCCATATTGACCCTAGTTGTATCGTTTGTTAAACTAATTCGCATCGAATCTAGCACGCTAACCCGTGGTTTAAGAGTTATAGCTAAATATTTTTTTAATCTTTCATATTCGGTCATAATTAAATATCATCTCTTTTATTTGATTAATATATTTATAATTTCTAAAGTTTAAATTTATTAAATTATTTAATCATTTCATTCAAAAATTATTATTTTAGGATATTAAATATAAATAATATTTAATTATATGTTCTTTTATATTTAATATAGTATTATTATTTAATTTCTTACTTAACATAAAAATGGCATTGGAACTAAATTTTAGAGATTAATCTAATAAATTTATAAAATGAAATGGATGCAGTTAAAATTAAATAGTTATTTATAATAGAATTATTAATCGAAGTAGACAGGTGAGATGGAATCATCTAAAGCTGAGCTAAAACGACAAATTAAAAAAGAAAAAGATGAAAAAAACCAAAAATACCTAATAGTGCATTGGCTGTCTGATTCTCAAGAACTTTAGCTGTCTAGCATTATTAATTCTTCGTTTGGTGAAACTACTGTTATCACGTGTTCTTCGGTGTTTCCTTCATCTCAAAAGCTCTGTAAACGACAAGATAACAAAATTATTTGCCCTAATAAAAAGGAAAAAATTATTTAGACAAAAAATTTGAGAGAGAAAGCTAAAGCTGAGGTTTGTAATAACAGAAAAAATTATTTATAATTGTTTGTGGTTTCTCTAATCTTATCATGAAAGTTAAAGTAACAAGTAACATTATTAAACAAAAACGAAAATTATAGAGTTTTATTATTTATTTAAAAGATAGTTTTAAGGGTTTGAACATGAAACAAATACATGATTTACTCCATGTTTCTACTGTACCTGCAACATTAATTAATTAGATAATAGTGTGTACTAAAATGTAAACCCCTGTCTGTCCAACTATAATTCTGTTAGTCCCCTCCTGCCTCCAACTTATGGTCGGCCGGCATCCAAGCCTCATTTTAGGGTTGAAGCATGAGAGAATCGTGAGACGCCCTTGTCTTTTCTAAGTCCCTTTTCTCGCTCTTTCTTTTCTTTTCTTTTTGTTTATTTATTTTGTCTTATGGCGATCAATTAATTAATAAATAATATTTAAATTGTACTATTATTATTATTATATAAATATTGCCAATTTCATGAATTAACAAAGATTTATCTTTATTTCATGGTCTATAATATTATTTTGGTCCATTCATCTCTAAATGAATTAAAAAATATTATAGAATACCCTTTTTTTTTAAAAAAAAAAATACTATAAACATTCTACTAAACTACTAATTAGATCCATTTCTGAAAGTGGTGACAAAGGTATTTTTAATTGCATTTGGATTTACAATGTAAGAGTTCTCATACAACCTTATGTATGTGGTTGCCAACTCACATTCCTAATCCTCAAGTCACATGGCTTGTACGCAATTGTCCTTCTCTTCCTTCCAAATTCATTTTTGTCATGATGAACAGTGCCTCGGTAAACTCAATCACTCCCCAGTTTTATCTTCAATGAAAAATACCAAAGCAAAGATTCATGGCTTATTTCACCGACATCAATATTTGTCTCCATGCATCAAAATCACCACTGGTGAGATGGAATTGGTGGAAGTGATGCTTCCAAGTTCTTTAACCTTAAAGAGAAGCCTTTTATTACTTCATTTGTGAAATCAAAATGCCTTATATTTGGTTTTCACTTTTCAATAGAAAAAAAATACATCGTTTCGTAATTAAATCCAATTTAAATATTAAAACATACTACTAGTTTGTAAAGATGAGAGAAATATAAAGTTTGTAAGTAATTGCATGCATGGAAAGAGTGATACCGCATTACTAGGTTTGAACATTTAACAGATATCTTATTTTTATTAAATTATCATTTCAACTCACAGTTATGACAATGTGATATTACCGTCTCATTATATAATTATTCACAATATATAAATAATTGTATTTTTGAAATTGTGAAATTACCTTTCAAGAATTATTAATATGTATTTAAATTTAAATTAAAAGATATTTCATTTTCAACTTGAAAAAATGGTAAAGACCAGTACAGATATGAACACTTCCAACTGCATGCCTTGACAAATCTAAAATCTTTGTTTTTCTCTCTTTCTCTCTATGTGTCTTGTAATTTTTTTTTTTCCTTCTTTGTTTTGAAAATTGAAATCACATTGAAAATAAAGTACAAGTGTGAATTCAACGCTGTAGAAATCAGAAATCAAGTAGCTAGGGCACATTTCAATGCCACTCATTTTATCTTGAGATCCACACTGTGCACCGTCTATTCCGCCAATTAAGCAGCTTTCTTAGTATAAATTTTATCAATTAGATCTTCCGTCGAATTTGCAATTACTCGTTCAACCCATAGAATTGACTCCAACAGAATCTAGTCAATGCTACCCATAAAATTAAAGTATATCACAATTGACCATTCTATGCTTGCTTATATATGTACAAGGAAAAAATTAGGCATCAGTTAGATGGAATTTGACTTCTTTTATATACTTATATATATATTGATCCTATTAATTAAATTTGTTAAACATTGACTATAGAACAAAAAATTTTTTAATTTGCCACCATATTTCAAGCATATTATAGAACTTATTGATACATTGATCCAAATTTATTATTTGATCCAATTTTTACGGTCTACAAGACTCTAATATATATAAAATATCAAAAGCAAATGTCCTTTTATTTCATAACCTTAAATATATTCAAATGGATGTTTAGATATGAAAATGAGATCAAGAAATGTTAATAATAGAAAAAAGATAGAGAAAATGGGATTATAACGTAATATCTGATATCACCAATTTGGAGTGCTGGAAATAATTTTGAATTTTAATTTTTTATATGGTCCCCATTAATTTTTAAAACTGTAAATTAATTACTCAATTCATATTTATTCTACTTTGTTGTTTCTTTTTCTCATTTTTCATTCACAACAATATTTTAAAAATTATCTTTAAAATCTCTAGTATCCAAAATTTAATATCATATTAAAATACAATTCTAATCAATTAAAATATTTAACATAATAATTATATTCACTTCTGCTCGTTTAATTTTATATTGATATAGAAAAATTGCACATTATAAAAATACATTTTTAGTATGAATAATGACAATTTTGTACTTAATTTTACCATTGCAAATTTTGAAAAATAAGTTCTTAAAAATTAAAAATTAAATATAAAAGAAAATTCCAGAGTAATTATTATTATAGATAACTTTCCAATTTTATACAGTGGTTTTGGAAACCTTTTATCAGTTGTACATTTGAAAAATTACCATACCATAATTATGAAACTGCGGTTATAGCTTCGAGTCTTTTCACCTTTACATAAAACAAATCCAATTAGGCGTTAATACTTAATCAAATTCATTAATCTCAGTCAGTGAGCTTGAAATGAAGGTAATCACAAGTAAATCGGGACCCACCTTTTCTACAACACAGTCACTCGATCACCGAATTTAATTAAAATTAAATTAAATTAAATTAAATACTATTAAATTTAAAACTTTAATACTGATCGCTTTAATTCCCCCACTCTCTTTCTCTCTCAAACATATTCCCTTGTTTTGCCAACCAATGGGTAGCGCTCATCCCAAGCTTAAGTGGCATCGCCAACAAATAACCGAAAAGAGAAAAACCAAATAGCCGACCCGTTTTAGCGCTTGCTCACACAGAAAGAGAGGCAACGATACATTACTTGCACGACATTGCATATACTGAAGCTCCATCAACCTTTTCTCTAATGCCTATCTGCCATTCTCGGTCCTTTAACTGATCCTTTGTTTTTCTTGTATATATATATTTTTTATTTTTGTTTTCGGGAGAAACGGAAAAGTGAAGATGCAGAAGCGGAGATGGAGGGCGGTGGTGGTGATGAGGAAGTTGCTAACGTGCGCCATATGCGCAATGACTATGGTCGCACTGTTTTCTGTACATATACGAGTGTTCCCTTCTACTAAAGTTCCTGACTTGCCTGATCCTTACAAGCTGCCGGCTACTACCACTCAGGTACGTTGTAATTTTTGTATTCTCTCACTCTCGCTCTCTCTTATTTGTAAAGAATTCCGATTAGGGGTTTTTTTTTTCTTTGTTTGCTTTCAGAAACTTTTTTGAATCTTCTTCTTTTCGTCGCTTGATTTATTTTCCTGAATCTAATTCAAGAATTAATTTTGCTGATGTAAGTTATTGATTTGTTCATAAATTTTTAATGGAAGAAGAAAGGAATGATCTGCTTTTGAGTATTGTTATTATTATTAGATTTCCTTTGAAGTATGCTGTTGCATTTCACAATATATTTCAAATTCATTTGTTAAATTTTGTCATATGCTGTTATTTTTCGCCGTTGTAGGATTACATCTGTATATTTCGGATTTGTCGTAGCTGCTCGAATGAAAACATTGCTTTCTTTTGTTTTTTTTAAATTTACCAATTTGACAAATTTTTGTAGCAGCACGAGATCAATAAATATTCGAGATTGGAGAATGAGCAAGAACAAAACTTAAGCAGAGAGCTCACTCCGCCCCATTTGTCTAAACCACCTCTTCCTGCCCACAAGGTCTTTATATTCCTATACTTTTACATATTTCAATTGCTTCTATGCAGCAGCTTAAACACAAGGGATTAGTTCTACTGCTTAATGTATTTCATTATTTTGTCTGTTGCTGTCATTTTATTACTTGGCTGTGGAGACAAGTGGATAGAGTCCCATGGATATATATTTATATATTGATACAAAGAAGTCATGCATCTTTCATGTTTTCACTCCTTTAGATTTGACAGTTGGGTCGTGCTAGGGGAAATTCGGATTTCGCCAAGCTATGGAAGCCTCCACCAAATCGGGATTTTTTGCCGTGTGTGGACCCTAGTTCTAATTATACAAGTAAGTTCAACTGGAAGTTCAACTTTCTTTTGCATCTGCTGAATCTCTGTGTACTTATGTTGCAAATTTTTTATTGTTTCTCAGCTCCTGGAGAATCAAGAGGTTATCTTCTAGTTCATACAAACGGTGGCCTAAACCAGATGCGAGCTGGGGTCTGTATCTATTTTTCCCTCTATGTGAAATCTCTCTGTTGCTATTTTCCGGTTTGAGTACAATTTTACCATACATAACTAAAATTGAAGTTGCCTAAATAGTTTGAAGTGATAATAGTTGGTTCTGTTCAAATTCATAATTCTTCCCTTGTTCTTTTTGTAGAATCATTGTGCTATTGGTAAATTAAAATTGTTGCTTTGCTAGTTGTTTTATTATTTCTTTATGCTAATATATTGTCTAATGGTATGCATGGGAAACACTGAAGATTATTGTCCTTTGCAAGACCTTTCTGTTAGTGCTTTGATTAGATGGAAGGAGTCTTCTCCCAGTTATAGCATTGTTTTGATAGGTTTCTGATTGCTTATTTAAACAAGTAATAGATCAGCTTCCTCCTCATTCCATATGTAAAAGAATGGATTTGAAAGTCCTCTACTTTCCATTGCACATGCAGAGATGTTCAATTAAGCTGGCAAGTTTTTCAATGGGGTATTGCATCTTATAGTGTCCAATTCTCTGTTCAGCCATGCTATTAGATTGACCAAATATACAATTTAGTATGCAGAGTTTAACTTGCCTTGAACCTGGAAGTTCCAGTATGTAGTTTTTGAAGCCTGCACAAGGAATGGTTCAATACTGTCACAATTATGAAGCACTCTTGTACTATTTCAAGTATAGCTGTTGCTTGACCTTCATATTAATTAGTTTTGGCATTTGTCAACTAGTTTTGCTAGTGGAGAGACCTATTATGGTGATATGTTTCCATAAATGAGTCTCAAGCAGCATCCTTGATCATTAACTACAGCAATCTTTCCTCAATTATTGTATCCATCAAGATACCGCTTCTATTCTTATAATTTTCTTCATTTTATTATAGTCACCAGTTGATCTTGGAATACTACAATCACCATAAGAAGTTTCATTTATCAATATCAAATTGGAACTTTTTTCCAATTGATTATTGAAAAATGTGTAATATTCAGTTATATCTATTTTGGAATAAGAACGGTGTCATTGTTTAATTGCAGATTTGTGATATGGTAGCTGTTGCACGAATAATAAATGCCACTCTTGTAGTTCCAGAACTGGATAAAAGGTCATTTTGGCAAGACACCAGGTAACTTTATTCTGTGCAAATTAGATTAACACCAATATGCCTCAGGTAATTGTGGTGCCATAATTTGGGTTCTTTTTTTTTTAAATATCTGCAGCAACTTTTCTGATGTTTTTGACGAAGATCATTTTATCAATGCTCTAGCCAATGACGTAAAAGTCATAAAAAAACTTCCCAAGGAAATGGCTAATGCTGCCAAAGCGGTTAAGCATTTTAGAAGCTGGTCCGGTATGGACTACTATCAATTGGAGATAGCAAGCATGTGGGAAGATTATCAAGTATTAACAATCAAAATACTTCTTTTCCTTTTGCTTTCTTCTTCCTAATGTAAATGTGAATGGAACTGTGTTATTTGTTTGTAGGTCATTCGAGCTGCCAAGTCTGATTCTCGTCTGGCAAATAATAATCTCCCTCCAGATATTCAGAAGTTGCGGTGCCGTGCTTGCTATGAAGCCCTCCGTTTTTCACCTCAAATTGAAGCAATGGGAAAAGTAAGAACAACACTAATTTGCTCATGTTGATATTTGAAGTGAATATTTCTAAGTGCATGCGTGATAATTGTCACTGGAATTTTCAAATTGCACTGGTGTTTTAGATGTTGGTGGATCGGATGAGGTCTTATGGTCCTTACATTGCTCTACATTTACGATATGAAAAGGACATGCTTGCATTTAGTGGATGCACTCATGGTTTATCAAGTGTTGAAGCTGATGAGTTGAAGAAGATCAGGTACTATATATTTGTGCCTTGTCTTCCATTATGGTGAAGTTAATATTCAGGCTTCCTTTGTATTTAACTTAATTTGTCACTTGCAGGGAAGAAACTGTATACTGGAAAGTGAAGGAAATTGATTCGAGGGGGCAGAGATTCAAAGGTTATTGCCCCTTAACCCCAAAGGAGGTTGCTGTGTTTCTCAGTGCGCTTGGATACCCCTCAAACACTCCCATATACATTGCCTCTGGAGAGATATATGGAGGTGATGCTCGCATGGCTGATCTGCAATCTCGCTATCCCATATTAATGAGCAAGGTATGTGCATGGAGACATATTTATAAATTTGCTGTTTTTATCCGAGCACGTAATTGCTTTGCACTTGGGGCACATTCCAGTTCATCCGATGGTTTGTCAATTGCGAGCAGTGAACATTGCTTTATAGATATTATATGTTATTTGTGTTACAATGCTGTTGTTTGAAAACTAGTTATATAATGGAATTGAGGAGAGGTGTTCTTAAATTAAGATAAAACATTTTAGAGGCAGCAGCTATCATAAATATGCAGATCAATTTAAATCATTGTGAACTGATTCCATGAACTGGAGCCATTTTACAAATTGAATTGTCTTGTGGATTTGTAGGTTCAGAATGAACTCTTCTTTTAAAATTATTTCAAAGCTTCTTCTCTTTATAGTGTAGACATGCATACATTCTTGTGTTTCGGCTGGAAATAGGTGAAAATTACTGCATGTTACCTCAATCAATAATTGAGCTATTTGGGTCTTTAGATGGATCCTTTTTCTCTATCCAACTATTGTATTTGAAGGTCGAAATATTTATGTGGTGACTTCCATCTCAAATAACTTTTCAGGAGAAATTGGCATCTGTTGAAGAGCTTGAACCATTTATTAATCATGCCTCTCAGATGGCCGCACTTGACTACATCGTGTCTGTTGAAAGTGATGTGTTTATTCCATCATACTCTGGGAACATGGCGAGGGCAGTTGAAGGTCATCGTCGTTTTCTAGGACATAGAAAAACAATATCCCCAGACAGGTATTGGAACTGCCCTCTTTTTTTGTTTGGTTCAATAATTGTTTGTTTCTGAATATCATCCTTGATTTCTGGGATATAGGAAATCGCTTGTTCATTTGTTTGACAAAATTGAACGGGGCAAAATGAAAGAAGGTGAAGTTTTATCCAAGCGGATCATTGAAATGCACAGGAGACGGTATGTGATTTTGGTAAAATTGACTGTCCGTTGATAGTTCTGATCAGAAAATTTTGCTTTTTAGAAAGTAACTCGTTTGACAATTTCATATTTTGAAAATTGACTGGTTGGATCTTCTTGATTTTCAGCAAGGATAAGTGTTCTATTTCTGAATTCGGTTGTTTTGTATTCCATTAGCAATTTGCTAAATATTGTGATCTTCATTTGGGTCTTCCAATGCTGACTGATTTGCAGGCCTGAGGTTGGAAACGGCACATTCTGAGCCTTTAAATTTATATCGTCTTCTTCTTCTTATTCTAATAAAAATATAAACTGCTGCGAGCATATGAGATTTTGTGAAGAATCTGTTTTTCCACTTCAATCAACTTGTCTAATTCATGTTGGTTGCGCAGGCAAGGATCTCCGAGGAGGAGAAAAGGACCCATCTCAGGAACAAAGGGCATGGATAGGTTTCGTTCAGAAGAAGCCTTTTATGTAAATCCTTTACCAGATTGTTTATGTCAGAGGCAATCATCCAATGTGAACAACTCTCTGGTCATCAGATAGCTAATAAAAATTCCATTTGAAAAAGGCAGCTGATGATTGCAGGATACTGACAAATTTGACAGTCTCAGTATCTGTGGAAGCTGTTTACAGACTGGACATACAATTGTAAGAGTTAGGAATACGGATTCTGTACATCTTGAGTTAGATAGATGGCTGATATGTTGGAGATCTAGATGAAGATGATGTAACTGTTGGCTCCAAGGACGAAGAAGAAAGAGGAAGAGGAGGGAGAACAAGAAACATGTAAACAGGGCCTTGCATTTCATCAAAAAGGGGATCTTGCAAGATAATTTTTTTACTTGCACAGAGGATGATGAATCGTTGGGGATACAGTACTTGTATAATTGTTAATCACAGAAATAACGTCTCTCTTTTCCTCCCCCTCTTTTTCCTTTTTTTTTTTTTTTATCCTTTTTTATTCATTGTCATTCAATACAATAAAATGAAATCATTATTTAAAATCTCTCGCTATCCTTCTCATTAGAGAATATAAAATGCAACTCTCAGGGCCAAGAGGGGTATTTGGGCTCCCATAGTGCCCGATTGCAATACCTAGGGGGTGTTCATAAACTGATCCAGACTGCTGAATCCGCGAAAAATTGTGGTTTAATGCTTTGGATTGGTTTTGAAAATTTTATTGGTTTATCGGCTCTAAAACCAAATCAAATCAACTTGAATATATATATATATATATTGAAGGAATTAAAATGTATAAAAAAAATCAATTTAAAAACTTCGAAGAATTAGTTAAAATCACATGTATTTTATGTTACTATATTAATCAATTCATTTTTCATGTTTAATATAATAAATTATTCTTTTATTATCATCTAGTTAACTAAATTGTAAGACAAGTTCAAGTATTAAGGAGAATAATATGAATTATAATAATTGAAGGTTAATTTTTACGTGTAGAGTTTATTTTCTCCTCCCAATTCGCTTCAAGCTGCTACATCAAACTAAATTGAATTAAACTACCACTAAAGTTTTATTTTGAATTTTGAATTTTGAATTTGATTTATTTTTTCAACGCGTCAATTTTTATTTGATTTGATTATTATTTTAAATCAAACCAAATCGGGCCCTATCAATCACAAAACGGATACCCATTCTGGGAATAGGCCCAAATCAAAGAAACTTCAGGATCCCACCTAAATACGATTTGGATAACGTAATACACACATCCGAATATCTGATATCTCCTAAATTCATGAACAATCATGCACACTCCACTCGTATTGCCACATAGGCCCCTCCCTCTTATATCCTCTTTTGTCCAACATTAAGATTTCTCTCCTCTTGAAGAAGGCGTGAAAGCAATTTATGGAGGTGTCTTTCTTCTCAACTCTCCCTTCTCTGGTTCTAAGCAACCACAAAGCTGCTACTCATGTATACTCTTCTTCTCGTCCTGTAAGTTTCTCCTCTCTTTCCTTCTCATTTTTGTTGAAATGATTGTTAATAATAATAGCATTTTGAGTACAGTATTTTTTGCACATTTTGAACAGGCTTCCGTTCCCATTCGTTGCAACAAAACTGAAATTGATTTTACTAGTGAGGATGGTTTCAGGCGAAGAGACGTCTTGAAATGCTTTGGGGCTACCGTTGGCATGGTAAAACAAATGATCTCCTCCTTTTTATTGCTTTACCGATGTCTGATTTTACTTATAGTTGTTGGATTCAGAATGGGAAATGTGATTTCATTTTTTTCAATATTTGTAAATTGGTGATTTAGAATTATGTGGTGATGAGTTTCTACCAGTTGTGATATCACCTTAGGAATTAATAGCAAGCTCAGGATCATTTGTTCAAATGGCCAGTGCTGCTGATTTGATCCAGCGCAGACAACGTTCCGAGTTTCAGTGTAAGCTCTTCTTTTGTTTGCTTTTTTCTTAACAAAAGATTTCCATTTTAAAACTAGCTAGTTATAGTGTATGCTCAAATGGAGTTGCTTCTTTTTCACAGCAAGTATTAAGGGGACTCTTTCCACAGCTATAAAGGTAGCATACTACTGCCATTTATTATTAATATATTTTCTTTATCAAAATTAGCTGTGGGATGCTTTATGTAAAGAATCCATATCTTACCCTGGCATGTTTTCGCTGTATGCTGTGAATTGTGATTGCATTTCCATTTATGTTTGTTGCAGGGAAAACCTGAGGTTATTCCGTCCCTGCTAACTCTGGCACTGAATGATGCTATTACTTACGATAAGGTCAGATAAGGATCTTACTTATTACAATGTGATTGAAGTCCTTCACTTTTATGAGAAAAAATAGGGGAAATGATCAAGAAATATATTGATCTCCTTCTGATTAAGTTTGTAGGCTTCAAAATCTGGGGGTCCAAATGGATCTATTCGGTTCAGGTATCCATTATTTGAAGCATTATCTCACATTTGAGTTAAAATGTTATAATTAAATTTACTATGACATTACATTCTTTCCCTTTCAGCTACATTCTAATAACATTGGAATTATTCATACTTTATGTCAACAACAATGGCCTCGATTAAAATTCTCTGTTGAGGAATTAACATAGAGAGTTCTTAGTGAAGCAACCTGTTGGATTAGTTTGTGATCGAAATTATTTGTTAATAAATACCTATATTTTCGAGTTCACAATTAATCATTGCTTCACGGATTTCCAGTTGTTTTTGCAACTTGAAGAATGATATAATTTCCTTGCTCAATTGCTATCTTAATTATCTCTTATAATTTCTTGCCTGAAGCTCAGAGATAAGCAGACCTGAAAATGAAGGACTTTCTGCAGCTCTGAATTTATTAGAGGAAGTAAAGAAGGAGATAGATTCATATTCTAAGGGCGGACCAATTTCCTTTGCTGATCTTATCCAATATGCAGGTTATGCATGTCAATAATCAATCAGTTTGAACCATGTGGCATTTTATAGAAATCTTGCATGTGCTAATTATGCAGACAAGCAAAAAGAAAACAGAAAGAAAATTTTATCACTATGGAAGAACATTACCCCTGACTCTACCTTTTTCATTATGTGTAGCACAAAGTGCACTTAAGTCTACATTTCTGGCTTCTGCTATCCGCAAGTGTGGTGGTAATGAAGAGAAAGGAAGTTTGTTATACACTGCATACGGTTCTAGTGGGCAGGTAAGTTTTCTAGTTTGGTTGCCTTGTAATTGAGTTAATCTACAAGCATTAGGATAAATAATATAATTAAAGATTTAAGACTGTATTCAAAGACATGAAAGTAATATTAATTTGGTTTGTGCTTGGAACAAGTAGAAATTCATCAGGTTAAACACGTAATGGGTGCATTTCTTCTTGTTGAAACAGTGGGGTTTGTTCGATAAGCAATTTGGACGAGCAGACACCCAGGAGCCAGATCCAGAGGGGAGGGTTCCACGATGGGACAAAGCAACCGTACAGGAAATGAAGGAAAAGTTCAAAGCCGTTGGCTTTGGTCCTCGCCAGGTGTCTTCTTCTTCTTCTGCTTCTTCTTCACAGAAACAGTCGCTCATTTAGGTTTTTTTTTTATAATTATTACTGGACGTACAAGTTACCTAGGAAATAAATCTTCTTGTGTTTATTCAAAATAACCAAGTAAATTCAGTAAGGACTTTCTTACTCTTGACCAAATTATAATCATCTAAAGGAACTTGTTGCGTATTTCACTAATCCATACTCTATTGTCTCCTTTTACGGTTGCCAGTTAGCTGTTATGTCGGCGTTCCTAGGTCCTGATCAAGCAGCTACTGAGGCCTTACTAGCCACTGATCCAGAGGTTTTACCATGGGTCCAGAAGTACCAACGCAGCCGAGAAACGGTGTCTCAGACAGATTATGAGGTCAGTATTAAGGGAAAAAAAGATTAACTCAACTGCCAAAGTAGGACTGTGAAGCTGAATCGCATCTTTGTGTTTCTTCTATTTCAGGTTGATCTGATAACCACTCTCACCAAATTAAGTAGCTTGGGCCAACAAATCAATTATGAAGCATACACATACCCTGTCAAAAAAATTGATGTGACCAAACTCAAATTATAGAGGAAGCTAGCAGTTTCACAAGACCGGCAACAATTCTAGCAATTAAAAAGCTAGATTAGTATCAAATGAATTTGTTTCCCAGTTTGGCATCATTGCTTTGTCATTGTCACGTGTCAGTAATAAATTAAGAATTAGTGTCAAATGAATAGTAAATTCTACAATCTACTTCTGTGAATGATTCTAGAAAAAGCTTCAAATGGAATTTTTTTCAAGATCAATTTTAAACTTGTAAAAAAGCCACTTCTATGTCCACGGAGACGAAACGATGCTTCCTACTATTTTATCCAAATTGATAAATAATAATGCCAAACAGGTCCTTCATCTCAGGATGTATAGCTGAAATTATGTCCTCATTTCTCGAAAAGGCTGCTTAACATTACAAGCATGCTGATGCTGATAAAAGCAACCAGTTCAGGAGGGAGAACTTGGGGTAGACATTTAAGCTACCAAATTGACAGAATCAGACCACAGAAATTTGGATTCTCTCTCCCCCTTAATATCATTTCCAAGTCGAACTATGTAAATTAATATAAACAGTTCAACCACACTGTAAAATTCAGTTCCCCTTCAAGGTTATTTATACAAACACTTGAACGAAGCAAAAATATTTTTTCCTGCTGAACAAAAATGCTCGCCCTTTGGTAAGGATATGTTTGACATTTTCTATGGTCATTAAATTATTCTTTCAGGGCATTAATATGTGAAAAAATTGTCAACAAAGATGTTCTAATTGTATGCTTCCCTCAAAATCAAACATAATAATCTACTTATCTTCTGAAAATTTCAGAGCTATAAGTTCCAGCCCGCCCATGAATGGCCTCAATGGCTCAGGAATTATGACAGAGCCATCTTCTTGCTGGTAATTCTCCAATAAGCATATTATCATTCGTGGAACTGCACAAGCTGTTGCATTTAGTGTGTGAATGAACTTCGTAGGAGCAAGGTTGCCTTTACCCTTCTTAGGACTTGTTGATGTAGGTTCAGATGGACGATATCGAATTCCCAGTCTGCGACTTTGATAGTCTGTACAATTTGATGCACTTGATATCTATTCAAAGAGAAAAAAAAAAAAAAAGAGATGAGGCAAAATCCTGCATGTGCAAGGGAACAGTTTTTTTTGGGGAGAAAGGAATAGAGAGGCAAGATTCCATACCTCACCGTAACGTCCTAAGCCAGGCATCCAAGCCTCCACATCAAATTTGCGGTATGCAGGGGCACCTAAGTCCCCTGAAGCCATATCTAACGTTCTGCCAAAAGCTTAACATTACCACAGGTACTTGGAAGCGAAAAAATAATGAAGATTGACTGTAGCACCTACTTATAATATAACCCTAATGATATTGACTGTAGCACCTACTTATAATGTAACCCTAATGAAGAGAAGAGGTCTTCTTCAATTTTGATAAGCTCCTGATGGTACGATTCACTCTCCTCTGGTTGGCATAAAATAAACATCTCCACCTTGCTGAACTGGTGTACTCGGTAAAGACCCCTGCCCAAGAAAGCTGTAAGTTCATCACTTCATGCAAGAAAGTCTAAAAACAACATTAATTTAAATATCCATAGATAAGACTCCTAATAATCCTAGATGAAAGAACTGCATGTGAATAGACAACTTGTGTTAAGTGGTACAAAAGCCTTCCATAATACAAGGCAACTTAAAGAGATTGAGAAAGAACAATCACAAATTAACAGATTTTGCCACTTGTAATGGAAAATAGGACAGAATCAAATATTAACAAGGCAATAGTCCAAGATAATGATGACGAGGAGCGTGTACTCTGTGTTTCCTCAGGTGCTTGAATGTAGTAATCTCACCACATGAAGCATTCAAGATTAAACTACCTCATAAAAACATTTGGATGTGATGGAAAGCCATATTATGAACATTCTAAAGTTGATATGATGCTCAAAAATGATTTTAAAGAAACATTGGTAGAGACTGTTAGTATGAGGTCTTTGAATAAATTAGATTATTATAATGAAATGAGGAATGCTCACATAAATACCTTGTTGCTGTACCCGCAGCACCTGCCTCTGTTCGGAAGCAATGGGAAAATGCCACATACTTTAAAGGCAACATTGACTCAGTGAGTATAGAGTCCATATGAATTCCTCCCACAGGAATCTCTGCAGTGCCAATCAGGCACTGGTCACTACCCTCCACAGAGTAAACCTGTTAAACATCACCAAATCATTATATTAAAACGAATTTAGACAACCCAATGCTAAAAAGATTCAAGAGCTATCTGTTGATTGGCTCTTTGACACTGAAGCTAGTCACTTAAGCATGGGGTATAAACAACCCATCAATGAGGTGTGATCTAAGTAGTAAACCTGGTATAATCATCATTCACACCATAAAGCATCCACTTTATGGCCAAGATGTTTAAGGATGTTCCATCACCAGCTTCATTATTGCAATCCATAATCAAGTGCAAAAGTAATGGTAAATGCATTTAGCATCATTCGGACAACGGTCATAAAAACTTAATGGTACCTGGGTATTATCTCCACGAGGTTGAAAGCCACATTTTTCAACAACAGAGGATCTTACAAGTTCCGGGGTTGTTAGAGGCATAAAGCCCCTTTTCATGACTTCAGAGAGAGTCCAGTTGATAAGGGCCATCTCTAGCATAACTGCTTCATTCTTCAGGTAGTAGAATTTTGATCCACTAACCTGTACCAGCAAGCAATATTAAGTTGGACCATTTTCACTAGTCATGGTGAAGGCCTAGCAGCTAAAACCTATATAATATTATTGAAGTTTGATCAAAGAAACTGAAAAAATCTTGCATGTGAAAAATGCTGCATCTTACAATTTGAACATGCATGAGAATAACAAAATTGTGCTGCAGTGATTAATATAATTAAAAGCCAGACAATATCTAATAGCCCTAATTCCTAGTAAATGCAACTACTATTGAAAAATTCCTGTTATACCATAGGCTGTTAATGTTAGCTACTTTCTTTTATGGCTAACTAGATCAGCAACTTTTACATGAAATTTATTAATGGTCTGATAAATATCTATAGGAAATGCTTTAATACCTTAAAGTAAACAGAGTGAGTACCTCAGCAGCTGCATCAAAATCAAAGAGATCTAGTTCTTTTCCCAGCTGAAGATGGTCCTTGACTGGGAAGCTAAATTCTCGTGGACTACCCACCTGAGAGCAGACAGAAAATGTAAAGAAGCTATGCTAATAAAATCAAATGCACAAACTTGCCTAACAAGAACAGAAATATTAAATTTCAGGAAGCAGCCCAAAAATATTATACCGTCTTTCTCACTGTTGAGCAATCTTCTACTCCAATTGGAACATCTGGATGAGTCATGTTGGGTATACATTGTGCTTCCTGCTGAAGCTCATCTGTAAGTTTTAACAGATCTTCTTCCAAACTCACGAGTCCTTCCTTCAGATTCTTTCCTGAAAGAGGGAAGGAAAGGGCATTATGCCAATAGTACATTAACCAATCAACAATCAAAATAATACTTACAGGCAGAGTAAACCATTTAAACTGTACCTTCCTCAATGAGTTTTTGACGTTCTGATGGCTCCAGCTTTCCTTTCATCTTGTTTGCTACAAAATTCCTTTCCCCACGAAGCCGTTCAACTTCCTGCTATCTGGAAGTGACAATTAGATAAAACTGAGAAGCAAACTAATTTTTGTCATTTTAAATTACCATTTTGAAACTATTTTTTCATCTTCATCTTTATTTTGATTCCAAACGACATGTATTCCGAGTCTGGAGCTCACTGGTGCAAAATACACTGGTTGACAGAGCCCTTGCATTTCACTGGACTCTTCTAACAGGTTTTTCATCCAAACAAGAAGAATGGCGATATTTCACATAAAAATCATTGAATTTCGTAAAAAAGAACCAACTTTTTTAATAAAAGGAAAATTTTCCAGGAGCCAAATCCGAGCCAAATTCGTAATTACAACTTAAAAATGAAAATGCCCTAAATTGATAAAATCTGACCTTTTGGACTGCCAGCATTTTCTCGTAGAGCTCAAGCACAAGTTCCAAATTAGCATTGGAGTTCCTGTTCTTTATGTTCAAAGCAACCGCATCCTTATTATCCCTTATCCACTTGAAATCTATTGCCGCCTTCCATTGAGGCTTCACCACTAAACCCCAGAAAATTCAAAACGATTAACAGCAATAAGAATCACACTCCGACTTTCGGCTCCAGAAAAAATGAAGGAAAATAAAAAAAAAAATTACAGAGACGCAAATTCACCCACCACTTTTGTTATCTATGCTCTCAGTAGGAAGTGCTTCTTGTACAGCAGTTGCAGAAAGCGCTCTGGTTAGAAGTGTAAACGGAGGTCTTTTTAGAAAGTTATTTTTATAACGGAGCGAAATGGAATTTAGGGTTAGGGTTTTGGACATTGGCTTCGTGAAAATGAAGCGTGAAGAAGAAGACGAAGCAGGAATTACAGCCATCCTTAGGGTTTGTAAGGTCGTCCCGCCAAAATAACCCATGCGGCGTGTGGCTCTGTTTCGCTTCAGTATTTGCTTTTGTTTGTGGTCAGAAGAATTTTGAAGAAGAGATGTCTTTATTATTTTGTGACAAGCCAAACGGGATTGGGCCTCGAGTAGGCCCTTAAGACGGGGTGGTTGGGGATGAATCATTAATCCGACACCCACTGTAAAACGCGCATCTTAGCCGTTCACTTATGCGAGAGAAAACACAATAAGACGGACGCATAACCGTCCGATTCCGTTCAGATAAAAGCACAGTGGGAGTCAATCGTGGCCGTACGTTAGTAGTTCATACTCCGCCCATGATTGATTGCCCCTATAAATAGCGGCCAAAATTAGTCAAATTGACCCTAAACATCAAACTTCTTGTTGGAGATTTGAAGATTCCCTCTGGTTTATCAAGGTATGAATCTCTCGCCTTCCCCTCTTTCCAATTCTAGGGTTTCTTGTTTTCTTTTTTGGTTTCATTGTTATTGTATTTTGCTCATTTAAGCAGCTCCCGTCCTATCGATAATTTCCCTCTCTTAATTGTTGTATTTTAGTTTGTGAAAAATTGAAGCTCTTATTGTATTTTTGCTCGTTTAAGCAGTTTCCATGCTATCGATAATTTTTCTCTCTTAATTGTTGTATTTTAGTTTCTGAAAAATTGAAGCTGCAAGTCAAATTCTCTTAAGAAAGCCCTTGTTTAAAATCAAGAGAAACTCCCATTCTCTGTTTAGAAGAACCCTTACTGATAACTTCTAGGGCGTTTCCTTTTGCCTCTACCCAAGTTCTTGAATATACTGTAATTTCGTGTTTCTTGTCTCTTCTTGGTCCGACTGACTTCAGATCTGGCATGGTATCATAGGGTGTATTCTTTCCCTAGTCACTCCTTTCTGACCTTGCTCCGTTTTGGGTTCTTTGATTTTTGTTAAAGTTTTTGAGAGTTTACTGGTTCGAGCTGCTTTCTTGAGAATGGCTGTGTTGGGTCTTGCTGGTGGAGTATGCTGTGATGCGCTACTTAGGCTTGTTTCTCATATATCCTCGGGTTTGCCCTTTGTACATGGTCTAGAGAGTGGTGCCCTATGAATTTGGCCTTTGAAAATTACTTTATTAGGTTTTTTCTTGAAAAGTTCACAGTGTTAACGTGGTCAACTTGGGTTATTGGTATTGATGCAGAGACTTCTAATAGAGAATTCCTTAGGCTTACTTTAACTGGTTGCATAAAATCTTGCCTAATCTGATATTTGTAGATGGCACGTACCAAGCAAACTGCTCGTAAATCCACTGGAGGCAAGGCGCCGAGGAAGCAGCTTGCGACAAAGGTAACCCGTTCTTTCATAGTTATTCAACTTCGTAGCATTAGAACATTTAGGGTGTCTCATAATTATTTTTGTGGTTGTCTTGAATTCTGAAGCAAAATTTTGTTGCTGCTATTTTGTTATAGGCTGCTCGTAAGTCTGCCCCAACCACAGGTGGTGTGAAGAAGCCCCACAGATATCGTCCTGGAACTGTTGCACTTCGGTATGTTGTTGAAAACCTGTTCTGCTTTTCAAATAAGTATTTCTTCATTGGATTTTTTGTTTTGTTTGAAATTCTTAAAATTGACTTTATATTAACATGAAATTTCAGTGAAATTCGCAAGTACCAAAAGAGTACTGAACTCCTTATCAGGAAACTCCCATTCCAGAGGCTTGTTCGTGAAATTGCTCAGGATTTTAAGGTATTGCTAGAATCAATATTCCTTATTTATTCAGAGTATGTGTACTACTTTTTAGATCATTTTCAGATATGTTAGCTGATCATTGCAACTTTGTTTTCTGGATGCAGACTGACTTGCGATTCCAGAGCCATGCGGTTTTGGCCTTACAAGAGGCAGCAGAAGCATACCTTGTTGGATTGTTTGAGGATACTAATCTGTGTGCCATCCACGCAAAGCGTGTTACCATAATGCCCAAGGACATTCAGCTTGCCAGGAGAATCCGTGGTGAGAGGGCTTAAAAGCTCAATTTGCTACAAGGTGGTCAGCTGATTGTTGATGATTGTGTAGCGGATGTGTTTGTTGTAGGATCTTACTCTGTCTTGTCAGTTCTTGTTTTTGAATGTGAAAGTGGATGATCAGTAGGGTCAGACTGTATTAGGGTACTTTAAGTTGGGGATGGCTGGTACAGTGGAATGTTGCTATTAAACCCTGAACAACCTAACGTTGTTCGTTAAAAATGTTTTTGCTGTTCATGAATTTGATGTGTTTCATCTATAAATTTGTTTGGTATTATGAATATATGGTTTGTGCAATGCTACTGTGAAATCTTGCCAATTTAACTAATTAAACAGTTAAAATCTTTAAGTTAGCGAGCAGTTGGCTTTGCTGCTTCGGCATCCATAGGAATTTGCTGTTTTCTCTACTGCTTTGGCAACCACGAGAATTTGCTGGTAATAGAACAAAAGTGGCAATATTTGATGGTTGCATTAGAATTAGGTGTATTACTAAACTTCCAAGACTTCCCGCATCAATTTATTTCAATACCTGCATGTTCGAGTGGGATCTTTTAGGGTAAGCAAGCCCAAGCGTTCTCCTGTCTGGTCATCTCTGATCACGACAGTTCTCTTTAATGGGCTCCATCATTGGAGGGTCCAAAACATTCATACAAATTTCGTGAAAACTCCAAATCGATCAAAAAATATAACTTTCCAGCAAACAAGCCAGACAATAAAACACAATTGAGACATCAGTTCAAGGATTCCGTGTTCATCCATGACCAATGATCATAGATGAGCAAAACCAAGAATTTGGATAACCAGAATATAGGTATGACACTAGTGAATGACCAAATCCCAAATAGTGAAATTGTCAATGCCTAATCTTGGATCAAATGACCAAGAATTTGATTAGGGCAATCAAGCAGTATTACTTTATTATGTGAAAAGTAACAATGATAACAGTTTTCTTTGACGTCCAAGCGGGTAATCTATAACCACTACAGGACAGTTAAAATAGGGGCAAAATGATGGAGAAAGAAGCTTCATCTCAATGACGATGAGCAATAGCTGTCTTATAAGCAACAACTTCCTCTGTCGTCAGACTGAACTATAGTTCTAATAGAGAAACCAAAATTTCTTATTAAATAGGGCATTCCCGAAAAATATATTTTTCATCAAAGAAATTCATTTGGTGGTGGAAACATGGATACAGCAGGAAACAAGCAGCACACGAGTCTCCATTTGAGAACCATCTACAGGTGCTTCGGAAAGGTTCCATTCTCCCTTTGCTCATTCCATCTCTCTATCTGGTAACCATAAACAAGCCAAAAATCAGCTCAAAAAGGTCACTAAAGAACCCCAAAAAAATATAACAATGATGCATAACTCAACAGTATAAAACTAATAGCAAGCAGCACATGGTTACAGTTCAAGGTTTTGGACATCTAGAAATTGAGTAATCATCTCAAAAATCAAATATCCAAGTTTATTATATCATTGGTCTTAACATATAGAGAATACATGGGAAGCTCACAATTTACAATGATAGGCCAACTAAATAGAGTTCACAGGAGCTATTCATAAGGTGCCATATAATGCACGAATTAATCAGGTGACTCCTGAATGCTTGGACCTATCAACAAAATAACCTCTCTCTCTCTCTCTCTCTCACACACACACACACACACACACACACACACAACACACCACAACATACACACACACACACACACACACACACATGCCATTTCAGTGGGTTGGTCTGGTATGAGAAGTTATGGGAAAGAGTATATTACAGCATCTCTAATTCGTGAATTTCTATTTTCCTGGGAGTTTCAGGGTATTGAATGATTCGTTTGGAGGTGAAAGACGTTAATGCTAAACGATCGGGGGCCAAGAGTGTGGTCCGGCAGAGAGCTCTTCTTGCGCGCGCACGCTCACACACACGCACACGCACATGCTCACACGCGCGCGCACACACACACACAAGCCCAATTCTGCTTCATCAGTGGAGACAATTGAAATAGAAGACAGTGGATACAGAAGAACTCCATGCAGGGGCAGGAGGTCCAAACAAAATAATAATGATTAATAGTTGCTAGGGAAAAATTTTCAAAATTGTTTGAATATAGCAACTCTTGCATAGCTCAACTAAGTGCAGAAGATCTTCAAGAGAAATGTGTTTGATTAGAGATCAGGGTCAATTAAGCATAAAAACAACTAATTGTAATGATTTGTACAAGAGGCAGCAGTAAGATGTAACATATTGCTTAATCACAAGAATTGCATGCTAATGCAAAAATAATAAGAGGTTGAATTTAGCAGACTACAAATACCAAGCAGAGTTGAGAAGAGCTACCAATTGTCTTTAATCTCTTTAATTCTTATCCAATTATAATATTTACAAGTTCTTTCAAACTTTGATCGATCATCTCATCCTCAGATTCATTTTGGTCTCTAAAAAAATGTCATCTTTTATTATCATTTCAATCATATGCAACTATTATATAACTACTATCAGAAACTAAAAGTCTTACGGCCTTGATTCTTGATAAACTTGTGAGAGAAATCATTATGCACAATAATATTTCCCCATCCTTCCATGTCAGCAATAACAAAATTGAAACCCATTGCACCAACCAATGGGAAGGAAAATTCTATGGGCCACCTAGACTAGGCAAGATTTGTGGGAACCACACTAATTGTGTGACTCTCTCTCATATGTCTTGACAAGCAACTCATGCCAGCAATGTCAAATGCAAAATCTATTTCAGCCAACTTTTGGAGAGACAAAGACTATGTGAGACACGATAATCTCTCTCTCTCTCTCTCTCTCTCTCTCTCTCTCTCACACACACACACACACACACACACTCAACTCTCTCTCTCTCTCTCTCTCTCTCTCTCTCTCTCTCACACACACACACACACACACACTCATACTGTACTTCAACATTTTACCAACACATGCATAATTTAAAAAGGAATAAAAATGTAGGTCTACAGCCCGATGATTACAATGTTTTTTAATTGGTTTGACTTTATCAGATATGTAAAAGCATTGAACAACTTCTAAAACATAAAAGGATAAAAAGGAAGGAGCATTTCCAATCCTCAATTGAGAATTAAAAAGAACTACAATACTACTCAGGATATCAAGAATCTGGAAGATACTTACCCATTCACCAGGGCAGAGAGAACGATAATATTTGGCAAATTTGTCACACTCTGGAGCTCCTTCTCCCTTGGCAGCCACACAACTGAAGAAGATCATAATACTTAGTATTACATCATGGAATTTGTATACACTAAAAAGAAGTAAATAGCAAAGAAAATTTGATTACCGATGATACTCAATATATCGGGCAAAACAGTGCCTAGTCTGATTTGTAGTTGGGAAACGAAAATCAGCTGGTGCTGTCTCCAGCTGGATATGAACAAGGCAACCCCAACAAATAAGTAAATCCATAGAGAAGTTGCATTAAGAAAATGTAATTAGGCCATTAAAGCAAAACTTCCAGATAAAAGGTCATACCTTTATCTCCGGTTTCTCATCAGCAGCTTCTTGTTCATCTGAGGTTTTCTCTTCAGTAGTTTCATTGCTTTTTGTATCAACAGCAGGAGTATCTTCACCGCTGTTTTCAGCAGCAGAATTATTTTCTGTGCTTTCTTCAACACCAGCACCAGCAGTATCTTCTGTTTTTTCTTCAACAGCAGCTACCGGTGCTTCCTCGGCTTTCTCGGCTGAAACATCTGCAGATTCTGGTTTCACATCTTCCTTTACTTCCTCAGGCTTAGAACCTACATCTGTCTTCACCTCGTTCTCCTTCAATAAATATTGCTATATTTAAAAAAAAAAAAAAAGGTTATATCAGCATTACTGAATAATAATGTCAGCTAAGGAAAGGAAGAAATGCTGAGTACACTAGATGATGATGGCCTGAAGGCATAAATAGCTATAGCAGGATAGCAAAAGGATAATTACATGGGTCAAAGGCAAAATTAACCAGACAGTCTCCAAGCAGCTAAAGCTTAATCTATTTTTGTTACTGAACCGCAAAGCATGTAAAATTTTAAAAAATAAAAAATAAAAAATAAAAAACGAGGCTAAAAGATCATAAGTTGATCAAATCCATTCACATCTAATATCTTTATTCTTTAGCAATTAGACTGAAAAATAGAAGCATACCCATACAGCTCAGTGGATGCTAAATTAAATCACAATTTACATGACAATTCCCTTCATATTATGCAAAGCATTTTGATTTTCATATTTCTCTGTCAACTATTACTGACATCAAATCAGGCCAAGCATGGCTTTAGCTTGATTTAGTAAGCAATTGAGGTCCAACTCAAAGCATTAATAAACTGAAAGTAAATGACATGCCTAGGTTACTTATTTAGCGAAGCAAGACTAATTCTGAAACAGTTCCCTTTCACTCAGCAGCATACAGAAAAATCATGTCAAAGCCAATGCGTCTCCACTGAATATTTCTCATGGAAAGGGAAAAGGAAAGAAAATTTGAATTAATGCCAAAATCTAAAGTTTAGGGACTAAAAACATACTTCCTTTCTTCTTTTTGTCTCCTCCATTGAAAGAAAAACAAATTACATTTCTTACAATACTCAAGAAAAATCATAGAGGAGCTAACTCACAATCAATCGAACCAATATATTCCCTCAATCAATCAATTTCTCATAAGTCGGAACAAATCAAAACTTTAAAAAGAAAAAAAAAAGTCAAATTAATTCCTCACAAGTCTCATTTCGCCAATAATTTTCAGTAACTATTACAACCAATTTCAATAGAACAAAAATCGAAGATCCAAAACGAATAAAAGCAAAGAAATCAAAAGAGGGAAACAGATCTGGCATAGCAATCGACTCATACCATGCAAGAGTTTACGAGATAAAAACGGTACCTCAGATAGGGTTTGGGTTTCACTTGTTGCAGCTTCCGCCATTGCTGGAAAAGGAAACGAAAATGGTTGCTGACCAGTCACAGAAGGGCAGCCTCCAGCTAAATGATGAGGGAAGACGACGAAAAAAGCAGAGTTCTCTTCTGGTTTAGGTTAAGACAAAGAAGATTTACTCTTTTACTGTGGAGGTAAAAAGTGAGTCCACTCGTTGTCATTTCTGAGCCACGTTTCAATTTTCTGTTTGGTGGGAGCTAACCCATGGGGTAATTTTGAGAAGCTGCTGGTACTGGGCCTATAGGCGTCGAATGTTAAGAAGCCCTCAGAACTGGGCCACACTTAGAACCATCAATTTGGGCTTAGAACTGAGTTCAATGATCGGGCTCAGTTCTAAGCAGTATTTGGTCTGTCGTTTATTTTTTGCCGTCCGACGTAAAGGACATTCTACAAATCAATGCTTGTTTGGTTGTTTGCTTCAGGGAATCAAAGTCGTTTGTCCTTTTTTTAAAGAAACGACCGTCTGTGGTGGCGTTTGATCTGTCTCTCTCAAACCATATTTATTTTCTTCATTTACAGACAATTAATCGAAATTTGAAGAAAAGGGCAAGAATAATGTTATGGATATGGAACATAAGTACTACAAAGTCAAAGGTTGGTATTGTTAAAACAATTTTACTTTAATTTCACTTTCGACCAAGTGTGAAGACATATGTTTAAAAAAAGATTTGAGATTGAAATATTTTATTTGAATTGATTTTGAGTAATAGAGTAATTAAAATGTTAATATGAGGTAATTTATATATAAAGAGTCAATTCTCAAGCTAATGGACCAAATTATATTGCTGATTTTGAAACATTATCAGAATTTTGATGAACAAATATTGCATTGAGAAAATAAAACATTCACGTCGGCAGTGAAGCCATGATCTTCTAGACATTCATGTTCGAGAGGACATTAATTAATGTTTACTGGTAATCCATAATCAGTTAGCCCAATTACTTATCCATCCAAATTATGCATCTAAGGCTCTTCCCTTCAAGAAGCAAGTCAAAGGCTTTGTTAATGTCCTTGAAGCTCAGTTCATGTGTTATGAACTCCTCCAAATTAAGCTCCTATTAACCAAACACCAAAGAGAACAAATTAATTAGATTAACATGTAATTATATGTAAAAAAAAATAATAATAATTAATGGCTATTACCTTGTCTAGATATTTCTTGGCCAAAGTGTGAATGTCAGATTTGGGTTTTAGGCCTCCAATTAGTGCACCAGCCACACTTCTGCCTTCGAGCATCTCAAATGGATTGAAGCTCACTGGTGATCCATGCATTTCCACTCCCAATATCACTGTTTTGCCCCACCCCTTAACTCACATGTTAATCAAATTAATTGTGGAAATTGGAAAAAATAGAAAAAAAATATGTAAAATAAGTAATTTTAAAAACAATAGACTCGATTAAAGCTTTTAATTTATAAAATTGATGATTAAAAACTCTTTTTTTTTTTTTTTTTTTTATATTTTTAAAAATAGCATGATAAAAAAACTCTTTTTTTTTTTTTTTTTTTTGAGAAAGAGTTTTAACTCTTATTTATATATTTTTTTTTTTTTTTTTTTTTGAGAAGAGTTTAACTCTCTATTTATATATATAGCCAATGTTTTGAGGTTTATAATTAAGATATATATTAAAAAATAATATAGTGATAATAACATTCTAAATCTTTTACATAATAATAATAATAATATAATGGATATTGAAAAATGAATTTTTGTAAAACATTGTCATTGCCAAAGGTATTATTAATGAAATTTAGAGTTAAGTATTGAAATAATTAAAAAAACTAAACAAATTAATAAACCAAAATTTAAATATAAAAGAATACTTAATCAAATTCATGTGATAACCTCTCTATTTTTTAATATAATCGAGAGATAAAATCCTTCTCGAGCAGTAAAATATATATAAAAAAAAAATTTATTCTCCTAACAAAGTTACATAAAATGAAATATTATATGTAGTTTATGTTTGTCACTTATTATCTAGCTATATTGGAATGTCAATATTGAATCTTATTTATTTCCAAATTGTGGACAGAGTTATCTATTAGTCCATGTGATATTGAATTTTTAATTAGGTTATTATATTTTACTCTATAAATCTAAATAATACTCCTAACCTTAAAATCAAGGTAAAACTTCAAACCTGTCGGCTGCTTCTGAAAGCTTCTGTCATTAATGAGGCCAACCCAATACATTCAAAGCAACAATCAGCACCTCCATCTGTCATTTCCTTAATTACCTAATTTTAAAAATTAAAACGTAAACCATAAATATAAACTACTTTTCATAATTAATGCAAATTGACAACCCTCTATTGTCTTGTCCGTTTTCCATTTAGAACAATTAGCTAATACTGCTAAATTAAGCTAATTAAGAACATTTGCCAACCGTTTGTTGTCCTCTTCACTTACTGTCTTCTTAAAAAATTTTCTAATATCCCAAGAATTTAATTACCTGGTTGACAGGTTTTTCCCCACAGGTTGAAGGGTTGACGAACTCTGTAAGCCCAAATTTTTTTCCTGACAAAACAAAACAAGCAATTGAATTTCTCAATTTAGTTATATTTATGGATGCATATTAATGTATACCTATCTCAAACTTTTCAGGATTTAAATCTACGCCTATGATTTTAGAAGCTCCGCGTAGCCTAGCTCCTTCTGCAACCTGACAAATCATCCATGGAAAATCGATATAAATAGCTCATCTTTTAATTAAATTCACAGCGCAATTTAAAGTAAATAAAAATACCGCAAGTCCAACAGTTCCCAGTCCAAAAATAGCCACAGTCGATCCCTCCTCCACGTCCGCCGCCTTCCACGCTGCTCCTACACCTGCACTCAGATCATATTATTTTATTTTTTTGAATTGAAGTTCATAATTTTATAAATTTACCAACATCATAATTAGACATGGAGTGACCAAGTAAGTTTCACTTATGGTGATGTTTGAGGCCCTGTTTTGCAAAAACATCAGTATACCATAAAGTTATAAATAATAGAAATAATATTTTAATTTAATAAAAAAAACTAAAAATTATATTAAAAGCTGGTGTCAAGAATAAGACAAATCCATCAAACTATTATTTACCATTTTGGTGAAATATTATCAATCGTATATTATATTAATTTGAGGTAATTTTATAAGAAATATATTATAATGTAAATATAAAATCTGACGTAATTTTAATAGACAAAGACTTTGAGACAAGTTGACTTCCATGTTGTGCTTTACTTTTCATAAATGATCAAAGCAACAATATTAATTGGCTTGAACTTCGTTAGACTAACAACTCTTAATTGTTAGGTTTGGGCATTTATTAAAAAAATCAGCAGTTAGAGTATTGTTTAAAAAATTCAAAATTATTTCATAAAAAAAGAAAAACTTTATAATTAGAATATATATATATAAGCTAAACTTCTACGTTGTTAATTAAGAAATGGAAGGAACAAATCAGTCTGAATGTTAAATAACTGACCTGTTGAAATTCCACAGCTTAGCAGACATGCCTTATCAAGAGGGATTTGAAGGCTGAGCTTAACCACATTGGCAACATCCACCACAGTATACTCTGTGAAGCTAGACACACCCAAGAAATGATGCAACGTTTCTCCTTTCATGTCTCTAAATCTACTTGTTCCATCTCTTGGCATCCCAAACTCACCAGCACCTACTTTAAATTTCGAGCAATTGTTGCTCTTGCTCGATTTGCAGTCCCTGCACTCTCCACAACTTGGAGCAAACACTGGTAACACGAACTCTCCTTCTTTTACTTCTTCTACATACTCCCCAACACTCTCAACAACCCTTCAAAAAAAGTTTTTAAAAAATAATCAAAACATATACAGGAGTTGATCCATCGTCTCCAGGAATATAGTATGATGACTGAGAGACTTGAATTACCCAGCAGCCTCATGTCCAAAGATTCTTGGGAAGTTTGAAACAGGACCCTGTAGAACAAGTTATGTAAATTTACAATACACATATTAATCTAACACATAAAGGGATCATGAAAGATAGTTATATATATATAGTATAGTATAGTATAGAGAGGGGCTTAATAATTACCGGGTTCATATTCCAGAAGGTAACATCACTGTGGCAAAGGGAAGTGCAAATGATCCTTATCCGAACCTCCCAAGCTTTTGGTGGGTTAACTTCGATCTCTTCTATCAGCAGTGGCTGTCCAGGGCTTCTGCATATTGCGGCTGTATTTCATATATATCAGGTGGCTGTCCAGGGCTTCTGCATATTGGCGGCTGTATTTCAATATATATATATATATATATATATATATATATATATATTCACGAAATTACAGGAGAAAATATTCACGAAATTACAGGAGAAATTAGTAATATTAATTTAGGATTTATAGGAAAATTACAGAGAGAAAGTTAAAGAACCTTTGCATCTTATAGTTTTTCCTGCTGTTGCAGCTATATTGTTGCTCTCCATATGTGAAAAAAGAGACACCCTCCTTGTATCAGAACAGAGATAACAAGAAATTAATCAGATGTAGCTGTTCTTGCTTTTAAATCCTTGTTTCTATTGCTTTGGTTTCACCTACTGTGGTGCAACTAATTAATTATATATACAAAGTCAAAACAATTGTGAATAATTAATATTATACAACAATAACAACCACCAATCCTGAATTAATCCCCAAGGAAATTGTAAGTCACAAATAATTGATATTTTTTTAAAAGAAAATTCTTTATTAAATAATTAATAAAATTGTAACAACAAATGTTTAGATATTTATTTTTTCATCATTTTTTTAGTGGCTTTTAATCTAATTACATGTTTCTTTCAACCAATACTTTTAAAAAAGCAAATTTTGTATTCGAGTTGGTGGAAATTTTCGGACACCCAGTACTTTTCCTTTAGTGGAAAATTTATGATTTCTTATCTTTTAATAGATTCTCTCATGCCACACATGTTTCTATGCCACAAAACAAGAGCAAGAAAGCAACAATATTGTTGAGTGAGCCTTTTCATGAGTCGTTGCATTTATTTTTCCATAAAACGGTTATGTATTATCTTGGTGTGGCAGCTAAAGCTCAAAAATTTTGAAGATTAACTTTCTTCAATTCAACTAGCACGACAATTAAATTCTCTATTGGCAGCAGTTATAATAATTTGAAAGCTCATCAAAGGCAAAGGCAGTCAGTCTACTGGGGGAAAGAATACAAATTGAAATTAAATGTTATATTATCAAAAATTAAATCTAGAATTTTTTGGTCCTCAAATTTAAAAAATGAGTCAGATGTCTAAAAAATACAATATAAAAAAATTCAAACGATAGTCATAAATTTTAAAATGAAATTAGATTTAAAAAACCAAATTATTTAGAGATCAAGTTAATTATGGTTGAGACTGAGGTCTTGAACCATTAAACTGGTAAAAAAAATATAACATATAACCAGACAAATCACGCATTGAAATTATACATATGATTAAGTAAACATAATGGGAACATTAAAACATATGATTAAAATGTCAAAAACCATAAGAAGCCAATTTTTGTGTTGATCATCTCTCTGAGTAATCTAGAAAAAAATGGTATGGGAACTATGGGTCCTCTTCAAGATCTTTATTCATGAATTGTTCATGATTCTTGTGGAGTGAGTATAACCTATCCTAAAATGTGCACGTAATTCTGGAGTTTTGCTCTTTTTTTTAACCAAAAAAAAAAAAAAGTCAGAAACCACGATCTAAAATGTAAAAATCGGTGGGTGCCAGTTGCCCCACTGTAAGTCCGTTCCTCCTGCATACGACAATGCTTGGCTCTGCTTCAGGTGGCTGGACAAAATTGCTTGGCGTCGTTTATTACCAGTCTTGTAGTGGAGTTTGCTGGCCCGAAAAACAACAAAACCTGATCATGTTGGATAACATGATTCAACATTGTGCACTTCCTTTTCTGCCACATTCATTATTTGCCATATGTTAGGCTACGTGTCGTACTTGTAAGAAATTACTTACCTACTATGGAACAGCTCCTACACCAAGCTGAAGAGAGATTCAGATACCTACAGTAAACTGAATTATGTTAGTGGGCCTAAATTATGTTCTTTTCGTTTAAAGTGGGCCTAAAGTATGTTAGTGGGACTCATTGGGCTTCGTATCAAAACGGACTACTCCGGTCTCTTAGTTTTAATACCATATAAAAATTCAATTGTTATACATATGTTGAAGAAGAAGAATTTGTGTCGCTGATACGAGTTGATTGGCAATCAAGTTGGCTAATTCTACACGATATTATTCATTAGATTACAAAAAGTAACAGCTGCAGTGTCATTAATTTCTGATATAGGTTGCTCTAAACATGCCAAATTAACAATAATTTTAAATAAATAAAATAAATCAGAAAGTATGGATTTGGTCACAACACAAAAAATTTGGTATAGAATTATATTATTTTATAGAAAAACCAACAATGTTTATATTGTTTAATATCTTGATTTACAAATGAAGACAAACAAAATGCCTGCGCTAGCTGTACAATTTGAAATCTACTAAACATGATTGCCTAATTGTACTACTTGAGGAATGAACCTTATTGAATTTTTTTATTTTTTCATTTTTTTTTTAAATGCTCACAAATTCTGAAAAATAATGACCCGTGAGCAGATTAGCTTCCCACCTTCAGTAAAGGAACTCTCTAACCTTAAATCTTTTTCTTTATAATAAACCTGTCATTGCCAAGCCAACCCACAAGAAGCAGTCAAAGATAAAGAGATAATAATTAAAATAAAAATAAAAAATAAATAAAACACTGCACAAGATGTTCATAGAATATTCAAATGATAGACTTTTTTTTTTTTTTTTTTTTTTTTAATGATGAGATGAAGCCTTGACTTGACATTTAATTCTCATTTTATCATTTATTTTTAAAGGTCTACAAATTTCTAAGAAAAATTATATGAACCTGTAGCAGATTGAGCTCCTTAACCACACTTCCAGTAAGGAACTCTCTAAACCTGTAAATGCTTTTTCTTTATAATAAACCTGTTCATTGCCAAGCCAACCCAACAAGATATCAGTCAAAGATAAAAGATTAATAATTAAAATACAAAAATAAAAAATAGAATAACAACCACTGCACAGAGTAGTATCATAGAAATATCAAATGATTAACTGTATTTTTTTTTTTTTTTTTGATGGGTGGGGGATTGTTCTATTTCATGTTTCTAGGTCTTCACTCCTCTATTTCTTCAAGTGCCACAAAACAAATCTGTTGATGTTGACTATACTCTGTTCCCATGAATAATGCGCAAAATGTGCAGCGTGTAGGGATAATATAAGTATATTTAAGCTTTAGAGACAGATACTAATCAAGTTTTTTTTTTTTTTTTTTTTTTTTTGTGGGGGGGGGTTGTCTTTTCATGGTTTGGCTTCACTCCCCTTTCTCAAGCACAAACAAAACTTGATGTTGCTATCTTGTATGGTTGCATGTGCATAGATATGATAATATAAGCTTTAAAAGTCTAAAGTATGGTCGTAATTAAGAATTTATTGTTCCATACCAATCAGTAGTATTTGCTTTTACTAGAGGTAACTAACAAGTGGTCCATCAACCTGGTTTAAGACTGTGTTTTGAGCTTAGATATCATCTTTAAAATTTCATATCTTATGGACTTGCGTACCAAACTGTATATATTATATCATTCCTGATGATATTAGTATTGTTTATTTTGAATTTTTTTAAAAAAATTGTTTGTATGACATGCTCGCCTCATTTTATCAATAGTTTGAAGACAATTTGATTTGTTGCACTGTTATTGTTGTTGTTATTTTGTGAAAATGAAGGGAAATTTACATTGATTAGTCCTTGAAATTTAGCTAATTAAATTATTTAATCACTTTGTCAAAATATTATTATTTTAAAAGGTTAAATATTTGATAATTATTTATATAATGTTACTATTTAGTCTCTTACTCAATAGAAAATGACATTTTTTTAATTAATAACTTAATCATTTAATAAAACAAACTTAAAAATTAATTAGTACGTTTACCAAACAAGTAAAATGAAGTTATAATTAAGGACAATTCGAAGAATTAAATAATTATTTACTCTTAATAATATTATACTCTATCCGTCCACTTCTATTTATCCTTCTAGAGATTTTTGTTTTTATCCAAAATCATTTATTCCTTTAAAAATATTAAGTAGTACTATTAATTAATTTTTTCAATTTTTTTTATGTAAATTACCGGTATCCAGATTCTATTATCAGGGTCCATCTAATTCAGATTCATATATGTTTCATGGAGATCGAATCTAAAAGTTCTTTCCACATGTCTAGCATATATCGTCAACTGAGCCTCAATTCATAGATTTTTCAATTCTAGTTTTATCTCTGCTAAAAATGTAAAATGAGACTATGGACTATATGTTGAGATACTCATAAAGCGAACTGAATGTATGATCTTGAGAAAAAAAAAAACAGGTATAACATAATTTAGTTAATTTAATTTCTGTAAAAAAATCTTAAAAAACATATAAAAATTAATTTTAGGGAGGGAGAACTTTTACTCTACAACGACGAGTCTTAGAAAAAGGTCCACTGTTCACTGTCCGGTAGAACGAGAAAGAAACTTCAAAATGGTAGATTGGAAGAGAATGGTTATGCTGCTTCTGTTGCCAAAAATGCTTGGAAGAAACATATTTATACTCCGGGACTTGAAACCCTTCCTAGTTCTTAGTCATGAAATTAATTATAACATATTTATTTTATTACTATTCAAAAGTGTCCCACATTACATTATAATTGTTTGATTCTTTATGGTACAGCTTGTTTGTTATGGCAAAAAGTGATGCTAACGGGCAAGAATCTCATTAGGCTGTTTAAAAGTTAAAACACACTGTTTTGTTGACTAAAACAGTGACAGACACAATTTACTATCATCTTTTGTCATTATTTGAAAAATTACCCACTTGTGGCAGTAAATTCATGTTTTCTTGTGTTATTACAGCTTCCTTCTTAATAATAATGTTATCATAAAATGCGGTTAAAGCGAAATTCAAAGTTTAAAATTGGTTTCACGTTGAATTTTAAATACTAAATTATAAATTTCAGTTTAACCATTACGAAAAAAATAGTATTACAAGTAAATTTCGAAGAGAAAATAATTACTCAATGGAATGGGAATATGGGAAGTAAAATTAAAGTCAAAATTGGGGAAAAAAGAATTAAACTTTGAAATAAGTTGGAAAAATAAGAAGGGTTTCAAAGCCTCTAATAATCACATTGTTGAAATCCGTTATTGCCCTTAATTATTTCATCATGTTATTGCTTATGAGAAAAAGAAAAAGAGAGTCACTTGAGCCGGAGGATTAGTCAACAAGTTTGACCAGAAGACAAAACACAATATAAGCTGTAATCTAAACCGTTGATCTAGAAAGTATATAGTACTCTATTCCTCCTATAAAAATTAGACTAAAACACTTTTACACATTAAAAAAATATAATTAATATCGTTAATCATAAATTTTACCTATTTTTTACTGTTTCATATTAATATTATTCTATTTAAACTGAAAAACTCATTAAATTATTTTTAAAATTAATCAAAAATTATGGAAGTGCATGTATTGATTAACGGCATAGTTATTGATAGAAGTGCATTTTAACCTTGAATATAACTAGAAATTGCAAAGATTATTTACCCTTAAAAGGAAAAAAATGGAATTATAATTTAGGAAAAAGCGAAAGTGAGAATATTTTTATGGAAGGAAAGCGCAGGACACGATAAAAGGGGAGAAGCCAAAACAGTACTTGCTGGAATCATTAATTGGGTAATTTGACCAGAAATAAACAAATGAAAATTGCAGACGCCGAAACACGTATTACTAGTACTTGTACTCTCATACAGTGACAGAATATATTTGAGTTTGAGATATGAAAGAAGGAGAGGAAGAGGAGCAAGAAGAAGAACAAGAACAAGAAGAAGATAAGCACGAGAGATAGAGAAAGTGAGGTAGCCTTCTTTTACGGGTCATGTTCTTTCTCTTCTTTTAAGCTAAGAAAATAAATAAATAGTAAAAAGAGCGAAAAAACCAAACAAAACACTACAGTTTTACAGAGACAGACATATTCTTTCTTTTTCAATTTCCACCACACTTTCTCTCTCTATCAAAGACCATAGCTTTAATCTGAAACTCTCATTTTGGACCCTACTCGCCTGCCTAACCATTGAGTCTGCCATAAAGGAAGAAGAAGAAATCACATCCCCACCACACAAAACCGGAGACAGCTCTGCTGTTTTGCCCACATATAGATAGATATTTAGTGGATCATTACATTAGATCTAGAGAGAGAAACACCTGTTATTCTGTTTGGTTTGGTTTGGTTGGGATTTTGTTTTTTGGGTTTGTATAATGGATAAAAGCTGTCAATCCTCTGGCGGAGAGTCTACAATCACCACCAGTAGCAGCAGTAGCACCAACACTAATACTTCCAGAGATCATTACCTCAAAAACCTCAATAAGCTTTCTCACAAGATCTCTAAACCCATCATCACCAAAAAATCCCCTTTTGATCATCAAAATCAAAACTTCAATCACAGTAATATTAATAATCAGCAACAGCAATCACAATCACAGCCTACCCAGCAGCAGCAGCAGCAGCATCAGCCGCCGGTGTACAATATCAATAAGAATGATTTCAGAGACGTGGTTCAGAAACTCACCGGATCTCCTGCTCATGAAAGGTTCAGTACTCCTCCGCCTATTCACCCACCAAAGCCTCCAAGCTCTCGCTTGCAGCGTATTCGTCCTCCGCCGCTCGCGCATGTTAATAATCGCCCGCCTCCTTTGATAAATAGCGCCATCCCTACTCATCATCCACCGCCGCCTGCAATTAATGCCAGCATGAATCCTCCCGTGCCGACCGCAACTGCAACCAACAGTTTTATCCAACGCCCATTAGCTCCTCTCTCACCGTTACCGCCGTTTCCGGCGGTTCATGCGGCGGCGGAATCGCCGGTTTCTGCTTATATGCGTGACCTTCAGAACTCAATCTTAGCCGCCGAATCAAATAAGCATTTTTCAGGATTCTCGCCTCTTGCCCCACTGGTTTCTCCTCGCTGGAATAATCTACCTCCACAACAGCCTCCGCCCCAGCAAAATCAACAACCATTTGCACCTCCGGAGCAGGGGGTACTTCCCTCACCGACATCAGGTTTGGGTGGTTCGCAGCCGCAGTTTCACTTACCACCTTCACCGCTGCCGTTTGGGTGTTTCAACTCGCCGCGATCACCTCGCCCTTTGCTATCCCCAGGTCTGTTGCTCTCGCCTTCTCCATTTCCGCTATCGCCGACATTGCCAGTGCCCAGCCCTAGATGGAGAGATCTATGAGGCTGCTTCTTGTTTGGTCAGGTAAGTGTTTTTCGATTTTTACACAACGCTGTCGTTTATAATCCGGAACATTAGGGCATTAATGCATATCTTTTGTACATAGTTGGGGCTAATTGGATTACCAGTAGTTGGATTGATCAAATTTTCGACACTGGTTATTTAGATGTTTGTTTGTTTGTTTTTGTAAATTGATATCAAAACATGTGAAACAGGGACACCCCATATTTTGTTTTTTCCTTTTATTTTCTGTGTGCTGTTATTGGATATTCTGGGGCAAATTATCACTAGTTACTGAACTGTAGTTGGACTATAACTTGTTATCAGTTAATTTTAACATGTCCTGATTCTGCACAATCATGTGTTCTTTTGGGTAATTCCGTATTGGCAGCATTTCCTATCAGAAAGTATTATTTACCTTCTAAAACTGTTGAAGTCCAAATGGATTAATGATGCGAGGAAAGTCTTTTGCCGTGATTACCTTTAATAGGTCTCTTTTGCATCTGTATTCTGTTGACATAATTCATACTAATTGTCAAAGATTTGATGGTCTTGTTTCTTCCCAGCATAAAGTAATTGTACAATAGCAGTTAGTTTAATATAAGCAGTTTAGTTTTTCATATTTTACAGAAAGCCCTGCGCTGTTTAATCAGTTTAATCATTTAGCTACATCTGTTTAATGATTGACTATTGGAATTTCCATAACGAAGTAGAATAAATGACTGCGTGCAGATACTTGGGGAAATTCTCAAAATCATTGGTCTGTTGGATTATCAATATGCATTTTCTTAAACTTCATCTGCTCTTTTATTTGTACGAGTTGCCATTCTGCTAAGTAGTTATGCATTCAAGAATCTTTGACGTTGAGTATGAACTACTGGGCCAGTATGCATGAAGAAAAATGAACGTTATACATCTAAATGAATAGATTGTAATGGTCAGGATGTTTGCATGTTTATCTATCATGAAGAAAAGCTAAAAAGCTTAGTATTCAATTTACCATCTTTGCTGGGTTACGGGAAACATCAATCTTCTCTATGGACTCTAGGGCAAATCCCCCCCTGCTCTTCTTAAATGATAGATAGAGGCGATGGACATGGAGCTTAACGTTTGCTTGGTCAGAACGAAAAAGAAAAAGGAACTTGTTCAAGTGCCTTATTTGTATGGAATTGACAGCACTAGCACCAACAAAATTCCATTTGGTGGAATGAGATCTTACTTTATGTAGTTAAAGTGGGAACATCCAAAAGCTGATATTTTGTTTCATGCTAGATCTTGCCTAACTTTTCTTACAATGGAATATTTGTGTTCTTGGTTGTGACTTGTGCCCACATTTATTGTCTTGTTAAGTCTGGGTTTTCTTATTTTGGATGAATATAGCTGATGGTTATTCATTTATTTTTCGACTCCCCATTGTTATGGACTTATCTGAGATGTTAGAAGTTAACAGCAGTTAACAAATTTACTTCTTTCAGGATCCTTTTACTTGTGCAATAAAGATCATAATGCTATAATCGTCATAGATATTGTGAAATGTTATTTAATATTTAGCCTAATCCCTTTTGTAGATCGAGATTTTTTCATCTGAGAAATGCTTTTTTTGGAAGCTAATCGGCAGGAGTCTGTGGTAATGCCGAAGAAATAGCTTGCCTGACTAGTACACGGGGAAGGCTATGTTTTTTGAAAGTGAAATTCCATTATATTTCATTGTAGGATGGGGCATAATATAGCTCAAAGCAAGCTTTAGAGTTTAGGGTAATACCTGTCAATAGTGTCATTTGCATTCTTTAATCAGAATACTTGGTAAATTAACTTTTTTTTTTTTTGGTTGGGGCGGGGGTTTGAAGCGCTAAGCGATGTAATTTTAAATTAATGAAAATGAAAAACTTGCTTTTTGGTTGAAATGATTTCGGTTAATTGCTAACTCCGCAATGACCCTATAAAGGGGTCAAAAGCCTACGCAGTGCATGTTTAAAGGGCACAAGACGACATTTTTATAAAGAGATGGTCTTGGTTTCATTTTCCTTGTAGAAAACACCATGTCACATGCACATCGTTTTTTGGGATGTCATTGAAGTGATATTGAGAGTATGGAGAGATTTCTCCTTTTGCGAAAAAGATCGCTCCATGTAATGGGGCGATGAACTTCAATTGCCTACTTGACTTAAATTGAACGAGTATAACCTTGAGTTGAATTGAACGAATGATGCTTAGTTTAAGGAGCATGAAATGCAATATTTGCCCCATTTGTTTCTTTTAAGATAATTTTTAAGAAAATATTTCTTACAGTTTTTCGGATCAGAAAAATAAGTTAATAGAAAATATTTGTCTAGTCAAAGGAAAATTAAATTATTTTTTTAAGAATAATTTTTCATTTTCAAAAATAAATATTTTTAGGATATTGATAAATTTATAAAATTTATATTTTTTAAATTTATTAATAATCTTGGCCATTATCACCGGTCACTATTCACCACCGATCACCACTATTGGTTATCACCTTTATCTGCCACCAGCAGTTTTCATAATTTATATTTTTTTTTCATTAATATTTAATAATAAAATTTTTAAATTATAAAATCTTTATTATTATTAATATTTTTTAGGAAAAATAATAGAGTCTCTAAGTTTTGTACTAATTAACGCTTAGGATATTATTTCAAAAACTAACTTCAAGATCCTTCCGATTATTCCCGTCAACAGAAAGATTCTTCCATTTAAAATTAACACTTTTTCCTGCCAAACAACTGTGGAATTCTGAAAATGCCCTCATTTACAAAATAAACTTTAACATTAGATCTAGACCTTTAGACATCCACCAAAAGGGTCATTTACTTGTCGACCAACTTTTCCCTCCCCATTCCAACTGTCAAATCCAATAGCTAAGCTCCACAGCCATCAATGGCAAATCAACACCAACAAACCACCACCGTCTCTAAAATATTCCCTTTAAATTTTACACTAAAGCTCAAACTCAGAAACCTATTAAAAACACTGGAATCTAAATATTGTCTTTCTTCAAGTGGCATCAAATCTAAAACTTAATTTCAGATATTGAGAGAAAATTGAAGGAAACAAAGGAGGTTTCAACAGCCACCGTTGTCGTCGTCGGAATTACTGGAAATGCAATAAAATCGAGTTGATCAGAGATTCGATTGTCGCACATAACCACTGTCGTTGCCACCGGAGTTACTGGAGAAAGGAGAACATGGTAATATATAAAAAAAAGTGTTTGGTCGAAGGATTTGAGATTTGTTTACCTATTAGATTTACTTATTTTAGATTTTTGGATTTTGAAATTTGCAATTTTTTTTTCATCGTTCTCTCCTTTTTATTTTGTTTTGCTTCATTTTACTTAAACATTTTTGCTTTTTTTTTTTCTTTAATGCTCGTTAGAGGAAAATACACAAACAAATGAGAAAATAAATATCCAATTATTTATGTTTTATCTTTTTTTTTTTTTTAAAATGTGCAGTAATACTAACCTTAGTAGTATTGGCAGTAGTGGTTCTTGTGGCGGCAACAATGGCAATAATTATTTATATTCAAAGAAACTAAACAGTTCCAAAAGGAGGAACATAAGCTGCGGAACTAGAGAAGATTTACGGAGAACAAAAAGAGAGGAGTGATATAAATAACCAGAAAATCAAGAATGATTTTTAAGTAAGGATATTTTCAAAATTCCACGTTCATTTGACCCAATTATTATTTTTCTTATTTAGAGACCTCGAAATTGGTTTTTGAAAACTGATATCATGAGTGTTAATTAAAAATTAAGGACTTAATTATTATTTTTCTTATTTTTTATGTTCTTATAAGATAAAAACTGATTTAAAAAATATTTTTCAGCAAGTTATTTTACTTAAACAATCAAAGCACATACAATGTAATCAAATTCATTTTTTGGTGTTAAAAAAAGATAATTTTTGGTGTAATATTTATATTACAGATATATTTAATTTTAATTGTATCATTTTTTGTAACAATTCAATTTATTGCATTAGAATAAAATGAAATATTGTAATCAAAATAATCAATTTTAAGAATTAAAATCAACCAATTTTTAAATGGTAAATCGTTAAAATTTTGGTTCGCCTTGCACCATAGGAGTAAAGTATGAATTCGATCTTTTTTTTTTTGTTTAGTTTTTTAAAGATACTACAATCAATTTGAAACACTATGAAACCTTCCCTTTTATTTTTAAAAAATTATTCATAAAAAGTAGATTAAACAATACTAAATTATAGTCATTACTCATTCGTGGTAAATTTTTCTAAGGATCTCAAATATTAAGAAATTGAAAAGGTATTTTTCGAAGAAGCCATCCTCTAACATGTATTCAGGTTTTTGAATTTAACACAATTTTCGAAACCAAAACAATTAATCTAAATCTTGAAACTTAGACCCACTTTTAAAAACAAAGTTATTATACGGACCTTACATTAAATTTGATTTGACTAAAATTAAATATCTCCGAATCAAACGCAAACTAACAAAGTGGCGATTGGGCCGAGCCCAGTCAAAGTTTACCCAAACTGGACGACCGAAATCAACAGACTTGCAACTTCATCAGTCAACATAGATGATGATCACGAGATCAAATGTCATTCTAACATGGACCAGCAGCTATGCTATCCACCACTGAAACGCCATTCAACATGCTATAACCCGTGTTACTTTACGTAAAGGAGACAAAGACACGTCGAAACGCACAAGATAAACAACCAAACAGCAAAAGCTAGTTTAAGCCGTAGATGACTAAAATTCTATGCCCCGCAAAATTTGAATAGATTAGCACTCAAACCACCACCATCAAAACTAAAATGGAACAGATTCGGTGTAAATATGAAGATCAAGTGCACAATATCACCCACCGGAAGGAATTAACAACGATATCCAATGTTCAGCTTAAGGAACAGAAGAGCTACTAAACAATTAATTTAAGAACTTTGTCAAAACATCCATTGACAACACCCAAAATACAAATCTAATTAACCAGGCATGGAACACAAATGATAAAAGGGAAAAGAATAGTTCCTCAAGTGTATTGACTGCTATTCTCACGGAGAATCCAGGCACTTGATCAATCTTTACCAGATGTAACACGAAAACAGAAATGTAATGCCAAAGCATGTATAAAGCTTCAATAGCATCATGAAAATAAGGCACATTCAAAAACGCAGATTGATATAACAAACTAAAAAAGGGCAAAAAAATAAAAATAAAAAGAAAGAAAAAAGAAAGCTTGGTACGTTCACAATTCATAGCCAAGACAAGAATACCTAAATCTCAGAATAGCAAGCAAATTAGCAACAAACACCTTCTCCCATTAAAAACATAGAGCGGACAAGTTCGATCCTAATTTGCAGTGTAGCAGACTGCCTCACTGCTGTTCTTCAGTGGGTTTAGCTGCTTCTTTAATCTCATCAGCTCCATCATCCTGAATTAACAAAATAAATAAATAAATAAATAAATAAGAAAAAGAAATAAGAAACATTAAGATATAATTTTATATAAAAAAAATTAAGAAGAGAAACATAGAATGGAACAGAGAATTACCTGCATGTCTGAGGTCCACAAAGTGAGATTGTCACGGAGAAGTTGCATGATCAAAGTGCTGTCCTTGTATGACTCCTCACCCAGGGTATCCAACTCAGCAATTGCCTCATCAAAAGCCTTAATAGTTTCAAAGAAGGGAAATAAGCAAATCAAATAATATTCATCTAAAATGGCAAAGATGCATTATGCTGAATAGTCGAGAAAATAGAAACATTTAATTTGGAATTGGAAAATGGAATCACAACCTAAAGCTAATTAAGACATCCAACAAGCTAAATAATTATATATTGGCTAATTATCTTGAATGTGGAAATGAAAACAGCATGAAAGTCATAAGCTCCATGGACGATATACCAGTTGGTTTCAGTTAACAACAATTAGCTAAAAGCATATGATGCATAATGAAGACAAGAATCCAAATTCTAACCTGTTTAGCAAGATTGCATGCGCGATCAGGAGAATTCAGAATCTCATAATAAAACACAGAAAAGTTCAGAGCTAGCCCTAGACGGATTGGGTGAGTTGGAGCCAGTTCTGCATTTGCTATATCCTGCAAAAAACAAATCCAGAATAAATGGGAAGTATATGATGAGATATTCAAACAAATCCAAATGAGTCGATGCAACCGTAGCTTTAGCCGAGTACCAATACAAGACATAATAGCAATACTATTCACGCAAGAATAACATTTTAAAGAATACAAGTAACCTAATCAGGAGTATCACCAGGACCATTGAAACATAAAAGTTCTCACGATAGCCTGAATTGAAGTCCAAAACCATAAAACTTTACTCGGTACAACCTATCCAGAATTTCAATCTAAGTTCCAAAACCATAGAATACATTACACATTCACCAGAGCCAACAAAAATAGAAAAACGAAATGCATATAAATGCGATGCGTAAAACAACTTTAATAAGCAAAAATCCTTTGGTAAAGGCGAGCTAAAAGCAAATTATCAGACTAATCCACATAGAAATTGAGCAAAACAAGAAATCTAAATCACGGAATCGCAAATCAAAATCATATTAAGATGCTAAGCCAAACCTGAGCAGATTTGTAAGCAGTAAGGGTACTTTCAGCAGCCTCCTTCCTCTCAGCTCCAGTTTTGAACTCGGCAAGATACCTATGATAATCACCCTTCATCTTCAAATAGAACACCTTGGAATCTCCTGAAGAGGCAGAAGGAATCAACCTCGTGTCGAGCAACTTCAAGATCCCATCGCAGATCGAGGAGAGCTCCGACTCGATCTTGGCCCTGTAGTCACGGATCACGGAGACATGGTCTTCGTTACCGCGGCTCTCCTCTTTCTGCTCGATAGAGGAGATAATACGCCACGAGGCACGTCGAGCTCCGATCACGTTCTTGTAGGCGACGGAGAGGAGGTTTCGCTCCTCGACAGAGAGCTCTTCGTTCTCAACTGAGGCGGAGACCTTTTCCATAAACTCTACCATCTCCTCGTAACGCTCGGCCTGCTCAGCGAGCTTGGCCATGTAGACGTTCTCTTCTCGAGACGTAGGTGCTACCGCCATTGTTGAAAGAAAGAAGAAAAGAAAGATCCACAGAGGAAGAGAGAGGTTAGATCTGGTTTTTGATTCTTGGAGAGGTAGAGAGGCGGAGTTGTTTTTGAGAGAGAATGGAGGGGCTAATTTTGGGGACTAGTGGGGGGAAGGGAAACGCGATGATTGCGTTGGGGAAGATGGAGGGATTTTGAAGAGATGAAATGAGGACCGTTGGTTTATAAAAGCCAGTGCTGGGGCAGGGGGAGTTTGGCTGGCAGGTGAATGGCAAGCTGGCAGACACGGGGATTGATTTAGCTAAAGAGTAAAAAGTTTTTTCCTTTTTTATTTTTTGGGCCCATGGAGAGTTTGAAATTTGAAAATCTGGGCTTTTCACACTTACTTGGGCTTGGTAGCAGAGAACAATTTTTTTAAAGTAAAAATACGTTTTCATTTTCACTTAATCCGGTCTATGAGTGCACACATAAACTAAACTGAGATGAAGGTTTTTAAATTTTTATTCCGATTGAGTATAGGTAAATATAATCCATCGTGGAGCCAATTTAAAGAGATTAAGCATTTTTTACATTGTTAAACTCTTCTTTAATAAAAAATTTTTTTCATTAACAAAATTAGGAAAGACAAAAGAAATGATTTTAAAATAATTGGTGATAAGTTATTCTTTAATATAAATAAATATACATCCTTTATGCCTGTTGTTCCATTGTAAAAAGAATTCAACAATAAGAAAAAGGCAAAATTCTCGCAAATCTAATGTATTTTTGCCACTAAACTATGAAGTTTGAAATCTCCTGAGTATAACAGTTTGATCCTTTAACAAAGTCAAAAAGACAAGCAATCAAAAAGAAGAAAGGTGAAGATGAAATATGAAGAAAAGATGGGCAAGACATGCCATGACCCAATTAATCTAAAGATTAGATAGAGTCAGAGGATAAGGAAAACAAAGGAAGAATAAGAAAGAAACAGAGTGTCAAGCACTAGCAGAGAATTCTGGCAAAAAAGAGAAAAGTTTAAAGTAGGGAGAAAGATTACCCTTCTAAGTTCTACCTCTTCCTTTTTTTTATCTTCTTCAATTTTTATATATAAGGTAAGATATATCCAGCCGTTTGGTCAATATATGAATACATTGAGAAGGAGGTTCAGTAATGTCGAAAATTCTATTTGTTTCTATTCGAATTTGTCCAACTTGAGATTATGAAAAGATATTCCCACGGCAACAACAGATCATAATTAATGTTAGGTTTGGATCGGATAAGCGCACACAGCCTGGCACGACCAAAGCTTCGACAACGATTTGCGGACTTCTGTAAAATTGGAGAATATTCTTTAAATATTGATTAGTTTTATTGTGGAAAATAACCTATTTTTTTTAAAAAAAAATACTATATAATAATTGCTGCGAGAGGTGGTGGCAGTAAATGATTGTTGTTAATTAGCGTGATTGATAATTGTGGCTATTAATAATGAATAATGAATTAATAAATAAACATGTAATAATAAAATAATGTTCATAAAATGTTTTTCAGGTAACTTTTTTCGAAGTCCAGTTATTTATTTCTTTATATTGCAAGATTTGTGTGGCTTGACAAGTTCATTGATACCGAATTTCATTTATTTCAGTAGTTTATGTGTTACAATCAGAAGGCCCAAGGTTTTCTTAATTCGAACCATCAAGTTCTGAAAACTACTCTTGTAGCCATGGAAATTGGATATTTAGACTTGACCGCGATTTGTCGGTCGGACCAAGACTGGAGACTGATTCAAATCATAACGTGAAGTTAATCCAACGTCTATCCTGTCCTGCAACTTGATTCTATCTTCACGTTTTTTTCAAAGAGTACAGGATAGTTTAGAAGGAAAAGTTCAAACAAGTAGACCAACGTGCATTATTTGGTATGCAAAAGTGAGAAGTGAGAACAACCTGAAAGTTTCTGAAAAAGAAAAATGTGAGTTATCCACTTCCCTGACCCTGATCATGTGAAACTTCTTTTTCTTTTGTATCAGGAATCAAATTCAAGTCAGATATTCATTATTACTATGCTAAATTTGCAAAGTCATATCAAAGTTAGATCAATTGATAAAATTTCCCCTCTTGATAATTTTTCAATATCAATTTTGAATGAAATAAGTTTACTGTTCATAATCATAGGTACAAATAGTTTGTAAGATCAAAGAATTCAATTTTGATTTGCTGCTGCTATTTGCTACGTTAGCGGTGTATGCAAGAGACAAGAGTAGACTTCTATATGCAGAATTTGAGAAACTGAGGGGTCATGGCCTCTCTACCACGGCACAAGGAAAAGACAACTTGCTTTACGTTGTAGCTTCATTTCTTAGACTTAATTAAAGTGTCTGATAATCATTTTTGCATATAAAATCGTATAATTATTTTACTCTATCGTTCTTAACTGTATCATTAAATCAGTTCTATTATATATTATACTCTTTCCCTAAATAGTTTTATAGTTTGAATTGGATTCGATCGAGTTTTCTAGAACAAATTTGTTTTAGCCCTTGATGCTTGTCTACCAACAGTAGTAAAAAGCTTTTACATAAACAGTTTCAGGAAAAAAGCACATAATAGCATGAAAAGCCACTAATTTAGCTTAAAGATAGCTTGTAAAGTTGTAGTTGGAAGGTAAAGGAAAAGCATTAAGCATGCTTCTAAATATGTATGTATAGATTATCTTTTTTTTTTTCCTCCATGTTTAAAACAGGAGACAGTTGCTGTTGTCTCCTTGCCAACTATTTATATAGCAGTTTGTAATATTAGACATGATCACCAGCTATTTATTAGCCAGGCATAATAATGCTCCCTCTAAGGAAGCTTGATGGTTTTCTGAATCAACATGCTACTTATTCTGATAATCAAGAATAATATATAGTCCCTTACAAAAATTAGGATCTTGTTTTTACTTAATGTACTTTGATATGTATATAATTATTTAAATATATTGCTCCCACCGTTTATCACAGCCAAAATGTATTCAATGATTTATGAAATTTGACTAGTCTTTATTCACAGAAGATACGAACTTGCTACCTTATTTTAGGAATGAGAGTATCGAATTACTCATACCAAACACTTGGTTTAAAACTATTATTATACTATCAAGTAAAATATTTTAATATGATTAACTATGTTTCCACAAATATATAAATAATAAATTCTATTTTTTAGTTGAAATCTATATAAGTTTTATTTTTGTTCTGTTAATATGTTATCACATGAATCAACTTTCATATACAAAATTAGATTTATTACTAATAAGAAAATAACATACCGATCTTAACATACTAAAATTAAAATGTTAATTTATTATTCTTTATAAGTTATTAAAACATTAAATTAAACATACAAACAAATCACTAGTCAATAATAATTCACTTACCTCTAAAGTAGGGAAAACTCCATTTACAATTTACAAATGGTATTTATATATTTATTTTGAAAAGAGCAAATGGTATTTATATTAATATTGTTTACTGATCGATGTTTTTATCCTTTCCTTTAATAATTAGCCCATAATTTATACATTTAACCACAAGCAAAGGGCAATTGTTGTGTGTACAAATTGTTAGGTTCAAGAATTCCCGTGACCTACAGTTCCAAGAAATCCATTAACAAACAAACAAGCCCACCGTAACTTCAAAAAAAGTCAAAAAAAAGCCCCTGGTTTCTTTGGCATGCATTACTTACGTTTTCAATGTATTGCTCATTATCAAATTTATGACGAAAGCCTCACCCTTTTTCTATATATTTATAATAATAACCAACTATATTAAATCGAAAGTTGATAAAATTCTGTATATATATATATATATATATATATGTACAAAAAAAAAAAAAAAAAAAAAAAATATATATATATATGTTACAAAAAAAAAAAAAAAAAAAATCAACAATGGAAATGGAAATGGAGAAGAGCAAAGTGCAAAGACTATTTGATGCCTGTAACCATGTATTTACACAAAAAGATCTCCCCACTTATCAACAGATTCTTTCTCTCAAAAATCTCTTAGGTATGGAGGATATATATAAATGATACATAGGCATGATCTTCCATTTACTATAAAGTGTAAATTACAAATGATAATTATTCATTATTATTGGTTGATGAATGCAGATACATTTGAAGCTGTTGATGTTGGTATCGATGAATTTAGGTTGCCTAGATCTCCAAGTTCGAGCCCAGAAGAAGGTAACAATAAGGACTTGATTTTCGGGCAAGGAGTTGCTGAAATAACTTACATTCACATCCATGAATGTGATAGATTCTCAGTGAGTATATAATTTTATTCATTTCTTCATTTCAATTTGACAAAGATTCGAATGAGTTGCGATCTCTCGCAACCCTGATAAGACGAACCTATGTAAAATTCTAACTAGCTCATACAAATAATTGTTTACTATTTAGATTCATATATACATATTACTATAAGTATGAAATATTTACACAAGGGGGTTTTTAAATTTTTTTTTTTTTTTTTTTTTTTTTTTTTTGTAATGTCTGAACAGATAGGGATATTTTGCTTTCCAGCAGGAGCAATATTTCCTCTCCATGATCACCCTGGAATGACTGTGTTTAGCAAGCTCCTTTATGGATCTATGTATGTAAAAGCTTATGATTGGTTGAAGGTGGACAATTCTAGCTGCCGAACAAGTAAGGATTTTTCCTTATTTTTTATTTTTATTATTGGTTTTTAGCCAGCTTAATTTTAAAGACTTGGTCAGACAAGAAATGACAATTAATTAATTTGGTAAATTAGAGCTATAGTTGCAAAATAGACCAATGTTAATTTAACCACGCATGTTGTTTTATTTGAAGAAAAAAATTGATTAAGGTTCGATAATCCGTTGCTTGTAAATTGAAATGGTGCGGGTGGGTGCAGTTGGGGTAGCAAGGACAGTAATGGATGGGATATTAAGTGCACCAATCGAACCATCCATTCTATTTCCTAAAAGTGGAGGAAATATCCATTCTTTCACTGCATTGACACCCTGTGCTGTTTTGGATGTGTTGTCCCCTCCTTACTCTGAAGACCATGGCAGGCCTTCCACTTACTTCTCCCAATATCCCATTCCTTCTCTATCAGGTAAATGTATAATTAAGTTTAATTTTTACGCTATAGTTGGTACATAAGTACTTAAATATTATGTAATGAAATAGAATCAAAATTATGAACCTGCAGGTTACACAGTGCTTGAAGAGATAGAGCTTCCAGGTGACCTAGTTGTCATAGGAGCACCGTATCTTGGCCCTTCCATCGTGGACGCCAGCGATGACAGATCAGTCGAGCAGAACTAATGTATCATATGCATACCCATGCATGTAGATATTTGTTTTGTTACCTTTTGTATTTTTTTTTTTTTTCTTTCTGCCTTTAGATCTACACAAGGAATATATTACAATATGCTATCTGCCAGTCCCGCGATCAATTACAATTTCAAATACAAATTATATCGAAGTCCATTAAGGACAGCCCAACATATAAGGGATAGAGATTATAATTACAAATTTCAATGTTAGGAGGAGGATCAAATAAATGAAAATATGAATTTTTATTGGAACGATTTATTTCTAACTATATACTGGGGAAAAAAAAAGAAAGTAAAAATGTTTAAAAAATTCTTATTTTCATTGATTTGATTTATAGGTGGAGCCATAAATCTGGTCTAAGCAAATGTTTTCTGAGCGTCATTCAAGAGTATAGATGTGCAGTGCATGTGTTTGATCATGTCAAAATAATGGTACAGGAAGATTTCAGTTTAGTTAGTTAACCAATCTGTTAAAGGATTCCATTTTTAAACTGAGGGCAGCCATAGAAAACTATTTGGTTGTAACTCGCACCAAGTAATATTGTACTATATATAATGACATATATCATTCTAATAAATAGTTTTCAAAACTTAGTACAGAAGGAAAAAAATCATTTGTTCAAGAAATACGATGATTTTACAGGCAATTTTAGCAGTATTGAGCGTATTGGCTGAACTTTGGGCTGGGAAAAATAAAAATAATAAAAAAACCACCATTAATTTATTTTTTTTAATGGAAATGTTAGGCATTAGTTCTGATACCAGTTTTTGGGCATCAGCTCTGATACCACTTGTTGGGCCCTTTCAACCAATTAAGAGAAAATTAACGCAGCAGAAAAATAGAAATGAGACACACAGAAATTTAGTGGTTCAACCCTCAACTGTTAAGGCTACGTCCATGGGAACAAATTCCGAATATTCTTCCACTATTAAAAATAGTAGGTACACAAAAGAGAGTAATACAAAAAATAGTGGCACTCCCAAAAGTGTTTCCCAAAACACTTCCATAATAATTTCCCTCACTATTTTCCCTCCCTACTGGTGGAAAACCCTCCTAAAACTAGATAACTGCTCTCTAATATTTTTTTTTTTTCCTTCTTTCTGTTGTGTTTTGCTTGAGGCTCAGTGTTTTGCTTGAGGCTTCACCACCTCTATTTATAGGAGAGGTTACGAGAGAGCCGTGTATAACTCATTCACGGCTCTCCATTTTTGTCAAAAATTGCATGTCAATTTTTAGTTTCCTTTTTCTTCTTCTGCGGCCTTCTTTGACTGCCAAAAAAACATATGTTTTTTTTTCAAATGTATGTGGGTCCCACATGTCGGAGGGACCCCACAACAATTCCCCCCTCCCAACGACATGGTAGGATTCTTCATTCCTGCTGCTTCGACACACAACTCGAACTTCTCCTTCTGCCTTAGCTGTTGACAGAGCAACACACTTCTGTAATCTTGACTGCCACGACACGGCTCCCCCTGCTAATGTGATTGGATATCCTGAAAATCCATTTTATGCAGTCCAATGTTCCTTTCCAGGATTTGAAAGAAACTGATTCACTACTCCAACTGCGTGAGCAATATCTGGACGTGTACAAACCATGGCATACATCAAGCTTTCAACTGCTGAAGCGTATGGAACCTTTTCCTTTTCTTCCTTCCATCCATCCATAAAATGGCACTATTTAGAACTCAATTTAAAGTGATTAGTAAGAGGACAACTAATCGCTTTAACATTTTTCATTCTAAACCTTTGACGTACTTTCTCAATGTACTTCTCCTGTGACAACCATGATTCCTTGGCTCTTTGATCTTCATGCCAAGAATTTGCTTTACTGGTCCCAAGTCTTTCATAGCAAAAGACTTACTTAGTTGTTTCTTCAAGCTATTAATTCTGACTTCTTCAAGCTAGTAATTCTGACCAACAGTCACTATATCAACCACATAGAGCAAAAACAATGTAGTCATTATCAGAGAATTTCTTCATAAAAACATAGTGATCTGAAGTAGTCTTTCTGTAGTCTTGCTCCCCCATAACAGACTCAAACTTCTTGTACCATTGTCTCAATGCCTGCTTCAAGCCATACAGGTAAACTTGGCCACGATTCCGGAACCGGCGGTTCCGGTTCTAGAAAAACTGGAACCGGAACCGAACCGAAAAGGTCCCGTTTCGGTTCCGGTTTGGAACAATCTGGTTCCGGTTCCGGTTCCGGTTCCGATCCGGTTACAAAACCGATGATTCCGATCGGTTTTCCGGCGAATCGCATAATTTTAAATTTTAAATTTTGAAGGCCTCAAAATCAATACCCTTTCTTTGATTGAATCCTTTCACAACCAGTCTAGCTTAGAATCGTGGTTTGGGACTGTGGTTCTGTCTGCTTGATCCTGAATAACCCCACTTGTTCTTCAAGCTTTCTTGCCTTGGGCAACTTCACACCAGCTCAAATGTTTCATCCTCATGCAAGGATTCATTTCATCTTGCATGGCTTCAATCCAGTTCCTCTTGTGTTCATTTTCCATAGCTTCTTCAAAGCTTTCAGGTTCTCCTCCATCAGTCATTAGTACACACTCATTGACTGGATATCTAGTAGATGGTTTTCAGACTCTACTAGATCTTCTTAATGTTTGAGAACCTTCAGGTGCTGATGGTTGAACATGAACACCATAATCTTCATCTGGTTCATTTTTGTTAGGAACTTCTGGATTTTCTAACTTTGGCACTTGTTCTTGTGGAACATTTTCTTCATCTCCAATTTGTCTGCGTTCTGTTGGAGGGATTCTCTGTATGTCTGTTGAGTCTTCATCAGATCTATTGGCACTCCGCTTCAATATCTTCAATAGTCTGATTTCAACAAATACTGTGGGTCTTGTATATGTATGGCACAACCCATGTATGCAAAACAACCCAAGAGGGGGGTTGAATTGGGTTTCTAAATAAATATAAATTTTTAAGAATTTTTAAAAACAAATATAGAATTCTAAGTGCAGCGGAAATACAGAACTCGTGAAGAATAGATTATGAATTAGAATCCTCACTGTTCTATTTATCAAAAGATAGAATTCTGTGCAAAGTGCAGCTATTCGATTAGAACGCTTCACATGACTTATTCAATATTAGAAACTTATTTTATGAAAGGAAAGCTTTGAAATTAGAACTTTCCTCCAATAAAGTTTAGAAAAATCATATAAGACTGTGTGAAAGACAATTATGTATATTTAAGAACTGCTTCACAAAGCCTTAATCAAGTACAGAACTACTTTTATGATGGAAAGTTATTGTAATTAGAACTTCCTCATAAGTTAGAAAATTAATTAGAAACCCAAGCAGTGAAATATACTGTTGTATAGAAGAACAAGTTAAAACTTGTTATATTCACTTAATCAGAATTCTAGAGTTTCTAACATTCCAGAAAAGATTAAGGCTTATAATCAGTTTTTAGAACATCATTCAATTTTCAACTTTAGCATTTCTAATAATAAACAGAAGTGTAATAAAACCAGTATCAAGCAACTTCAGAAATTAAGATCAACACAGTGATTTATGTGTTCGGCACTAACTCGCCTACATCCACTCCCCAAGACGCAATCTTGAGACCCAACATGTTATCTCTTTTTCAAGGGTAAAGAGACAAACACAATACAAGGCAATAGATCAACCACCTAGATCTACCCTTTTTATATCCACTAGATTTTTTCAAAAGGTTCCTAGTTAACCTCACCTTTCTGTTTTGGCAGAGTCAAGAAACTTCTCATTCAAGACATTAAAATCTCCACACAAGGAGAAGGTTGCTTGATAACTTTCACAATAGCTTCTCACCTAAGCTATAACACAAATGTTTATCAAATAAAAACCTGTCTACTATAGATTACAAAATCTAAATAGACAAAAAGAAATGCATATATAAGCACAGGAAAAACAGTTTATCAGATTAGAAAATCGTTTAAAACACAGAACCGTTTTTCAAAAGTAGTTAAAAAAAATTCTTTTCTCTTTAAAGATAAAAACATGAATTGTAAAGATGAAAAGAAAAATGGGGGGTAGAGAGTAAGTTTTGAGAGATAAAGACGTGATCAATGAGAGAATGCTCTTAAAACGAAAACTCTTACTTCCTCATAGCTCAAGACGTGAAAGCTCCTATTTATAGAGAGCATCGTGTTATTTCATGCGCGGGAAAGAGGAAGAGAGCGTTACGCGATAGAGAAGCACACGAAATCTTTGAGTTACCAACCAAATTTCGAGAAGAAGACACACGAGTCTATATATATCCGAGCGCCAGAGAGGCTATCTCCTGAGTGTATATATATCAATATAAAGATGGCGTGGACTAAAGAGCACAGAGCTCGATCTTCAAGAGCCACCACACTATATATATATGATTATTAGAAGTCACACGATATTGCGGCCAGCAAGATAAGAGATATATATATATAACATTATCGACGTAGATGTCCTCTAGATGTAAATGATAACCCACGAAGCCGAGTCACTATATCTGTCGAGTGCGCAATAAACATTAGCCGACCGTGAGGAGACATAAAGAGTGTGTTATCCTGGAAATATATAACTTCGTCACTATAAGCAGTGAGTGTGTGGATTTTTGAAGGAAAAAATAAATTTATATGCTCATTATCGAATTGTTCTCATCTATCCTACAAATGTCCTAAATACCGTAGCTACTAGATCTTCGAATAAACTTTACAGCTTCAATGTAAGGAGCTTGCTTGTTACGATTCCTTCCTAAAAGAATCTGCTATAAAATAATAATTACACAAAATAATATAATTAAATTTATTGGTTTTGTATATATCAATTAATAAATCCCAAGATAAATTTTGACCCTTGAAGCAACAAATACAGACATCACGATTCTTAATAATCGTCTCTGGATTGGGCATAAAACCTTATACATAAATTTGGTCTTTGGCCATAAGCCCCAGTGAATAGACGATCCCACCGCTAGTCTTGACATGCCATAGCTTAGACCGTCATTCCTTCAGGATATGCACGAACGGGCTTGCAACTAAACACCCGCAAATGATCCATAGGAACATCATTTCCTAACTCCACAGTATCTCTCTAAGTATCTATTAGCAGGAGGAATAAAGAGAATGCTCTTTCGACCCCAATCTTTGACAAAACTATCTGCTATTAAGAAACAGTCTACCTCTTCTCATCAATAAGTTCTATCATCTCTATCAGTTCACTCCAAACTGTCAGGTGCAGGGCGACTTTATTGCGAGGTGGCGGTGAATGTCGAGAAGTGCAGCCAGTTTGCAGAAAACATCAAGAAGTGGCGAGCTCAGTGAGTAAGTGCGGGCCTGGCCCGCTACCATTTGAATCTGCCTGATACACTTCAGCTCTTCTTGCTTTGTCTGTCTCCTCAATATCAAGTTATGAAACGTCAATATGTATGCGTCCAGGATTCGTTTCAGAAATGAAGGTCATTCGATAAACCTAGTGGTCACATAATATCGATTGCCACCATATGACATTCGTACAAGAATGGATTAAGCGTCCATCGACATAATCTGAATGAAAGGGATGACAGGATTTAATACATTCTTCATTCTAGAAAGGAGGGTTAGATTGCTTGAAGAGCTACTGACTGTTTAGCCTTTCCCCCCATACAAGACATCGACACTTGTTCTAGGTAACTATTCATACCAAACCAGGTAGTACATTTTTTATCCGTTGCCAAAGGTTGATTCTATATTACTCAGTTGGCGTAGTCAGCGTTTATGCCCACAATTCACTGTACAATCATTCTCCACAATCATACACTCAGAGAGTGTGCTTGGAAGACGTTTCGCATGGCATATACGATACAAAATTTCGGGTTTGTGAACTACCGCCTCGAATAGCAACCTTTAGGGTGACGCTCTAAAGCGGTGGCAGGGGACCATTGGTGAGTGGTTGAGGCGCCGTGGAGTGCTGGACAGGTGCTGGAAGGGGCTACAAGAGGAAGCCGTGTATTCAACTCCTATCACGAGAACACTGAGAGTTGGACAGCGCATCGCGCGAGCGACCTCTCAATCCCCTGCACAGTCTGTCTGATCCGGTTTCACACAGACCAACACGCGCAGGCCTATTTTTAATATACAGAGCAGGATTAGCGCGGAGGATATCACTCTATATATACCCGTTAATCCGAATTAGACTGATGGACTGATCATTTTGCTTGTCCATTTTGACTTGCGCAGAAAATCATCACCAAGATAAAATGTATACATGAACAGTAGTATACGTGAATAGTGACTGTATACTGGAATAGTAACTGTATGCGTGAATAGTAACTGTACATGTGAATAGTACTATGCGTGAATAGTGTTGGGCTTATTTACAACGGACTCAACAACAATAACGCCAATAGTACTGTTTACATCAACTTTGAGTTACTATTTTACTATTCATCATTAAGTCGATTCTGCAACGTCTTTCGGAGCAGACAACACTAATGAACTTGTCGTAATTTTCTCTTCATCATGGTATATTTATTTTCAAAATATATCCACGAATCCGGTACCACTATCTGACCGGCTGGACCTACCGAAAACTTCGGCTCTGATACCATTTGTTAGGCATTAGCTCTGATACCAGTTTTGCTCTACCCATTTGTTGGGGCCTCTTCAAACAAAGATTAAGAGAAAATAACGCAGCGGAAAAAATAGAAATCGGGACATGATAGAAATTTACGTGGTTGCCCTCAAGCTGTTATGGGCTAACGTCCACGTGTCGTATATCGGACAAACTCTCGAATAATCTTCCACTATTAAAAAATAGTAGATATCAACAAAGGGGCTACGTCCACGGGACAAACTCCGAATAATTCTTCCACTATTAAAAAATAGTAGATACACAAAGAGATTAATACAAAAATAGTGGCACTCAAAGTGTTTCCTAAAAACACTCCATAATAATTTTTTCACTATTTTTCCATCCCTAGTTTTAGGAAACCCTTCCTAAAACTAGATATCTCCCTCTACATTTTTTTTTCCTTCTTTTTGCTGTGTTTTGCTTGAGGCTTCACTAGGAGAGGTTACGAGAGAGCCGTGTATAATTTATTCACGGCTCTCCATTTTTGTCAAAAATTGCATGCCAATTTTTAGTTTCCTTTTTCTTCTTCTGTGGCCTTCTTTAACTGCCAAAAAACCGTGTTTTTTTCTTTTCAAATGTATGTGGGTCCCATGTCGGAGGGACCCCATAGGAACTTTTGCTTATCATTATCTATTATCAATATAAAAAATAATAACATTCTGAATAAAAGCAGAAGGGCCAGAACTCTATTCCAATAAACCTGGCATAAAAATAAATATGCATGCTCATTTGTTGATTTAGCAAATAGCAAATATGGTGGAAGTTGATTCTTTAATTTACAGAACTACAAAATTATTCAATTCAAAAAGTCATATTTTCAGTTTGGTTATAATTACAACTTCATTCTTCTTGTTTAGTAAATACATTTAACAGTTTTTAAAATTTAGTTTCATTAAACTATTAGTTTAATTTTTTTTATCGACAAAGTGTTATGTTAAGAGTTAAATAATATATTTAATTATTTAGTTCTTAAAGTTAAATACAACATTACTATCCAATTCTCACTTTTTACTGAGCTATTTTTATTCACTCATTTAATAGCAAAAATAATAATTTTTTTTTAAATAGAGTATTAAATAGTTTAACGGAACTAAACCATATGAATTAATTAGTGTATTTATCAAATGAGAGAAACCAAATTGTAAGTATAGTAAAATTCGGGAACTAAATAGTTATTTTACCTATACATATCTTGCAAGGCTTGTCGGCTCGAGGCTATGACATTTAAATTAACTGAAAGCAAAAATAATAACAATAAATAGAAAACCACGAGCTATGAAACTTGTTTGAGCTCGGCTGGTGGAGTAACAGTAACCCATTTGGATTTTAGGCCTTCAAGAAGATTGAATCCTTTCATACATTTCAACCCAGCTTCGTGGGCCACCCTACAGCCCTTAGGCTTTGACTGTAACCGATCTTACCGCCCAAAATTTAGCGCCCGGTGATGGGTCTTCTATATTTCTGTACGATGGTTTTGGTCAATCTTTTTCTCACCAGGGAAACCAATTTTCACACTTTCCAAACAGAACGACAGCGCCACACCGACTGACACTTCATTTACCTTTTGCTTTTCTTGTCTTTCGCTCTTCTCCCTGTATGTATTGGTTTACCAAAACCATTCTGCACCGTTCTTCGCACGTGTAAACTATCTCCATGTCTCTATCTTTATAATCCGCAGTCAAACACTGATTGTTGAACCTGAACTTCTCTCTGCAAGACTTTCTATGTCAATAACTTGTCAGTTACTCTAAAGAGCTTTGGAATAAAGAATTAGAAAGTATTACTATTAGTTTATGCTCTGTTTTTGAAGTCGCTGAGCTTGAGAAGAGAATATTTCTTTGCTTTTGCTTTCCTTGTACTTTGTTTTAGTAGGTATGGAGCGTTATGAGATTGTGAAAGATATTGGGTCAGGGAATTTTGGGGTGGCCAAGCTGGTTAGAGATAGATGGACCAAAGAGTTCTTTGCTGTTAAGTTCATCGAGAGAGGCCAAAAGGTCTTTTTTTTTTTTTTATGCTAATTTTGTTTGCTTCTTTAATTTGTTTCGCTTCACTTTCCTTAATTTTGATCTTTGCTTCATTTCTTGGTGCTAATTTTCGAAATTAAATTTGTTGCCATCATCTTTTTGTCATGTGGGTATTTTTGTGATGGGACATGAGTTCATGGAAGATTGGTTCTTTTCGTTGTTGCAGATTGATGAACATGTAAAAAGGGAAATTATGAACCATAGATCATTGAAGCATCCCAATATAGTTAGATTCAAAGAGGTTTGTTAATTGTTACTGAAATTTTTGTCTTGTGAGGGCTAATTCTCGTTCATTGTCTTGTCTTATAATTGTTGGGTACTGCACTGTCAAGGCAATAATGTCTAACCATATAATTCCATAAGATACTCATACTTGTTGTAAGGACTCTGCTTACCTGTTTTATTATTTCCTTTTATGATCTAGTAAGTTGCAATTGGAAATGTTCCCTTTCACATATAAAACACACGACAATCTAGATAATGAGTCTAATATTTCCTTACCTTCCATTCCTTTACTTCCCTCGATTTTCTTGAGAATCAAACTAGTAACAGAAGCCATGTTACTTTACACATCCTCTTCACTTTCAATTCAAGTGACCAGACCTAGGTGCTTGTTTTGGTTTGATTTTGTGGAGCACCGACCCAATTGAGTTTCAGATCCTAAAAGGGAATTTTAATGAAAGGGATGTCCTGTAATTTGTGATGGTACCATTTGCAGGTTCTGTTAACGCCTACCCATCTAGCCATAGTCATGGAGTACGCTGCAGGAGGAGAACTCTTCGAGAGGATATGTAATGCTGGTAGATTTAGTGAAGATGAGGTAGTGAAAGCAAGAAAGATCATGCAAATCATATCTCTCTCTCTCTCTCTCTCTCACTCTCTTATATCAGAAAATATGGGGTCTTTTGGATATTCAATGGAAATGACGTGTAGCATTTGAATATTTATGTGGATTTCATTTGTTAGCTTATTATTCATTTGATGTTTTACATTCTGGAGGTTTTGTGTCTATTTGAATCAGGCAAGGTTCTTCTTCCAGCAATTGATATCAGGAGTTAGTTACTGCCATTCGATGGTATAACTGTGTCCCTTTGTTCATCAATGTGTCCTTATCTTTCTACATTACTTTGTAATTGTATTATGATCTCTTATAGCATCTGATATGAGGGTTTCGTAATTTACAGCAAATTTGTCATAGAGATCTTAAACTTGAAAATACACTCTTAGATGGCAGCACAGCACCACGGGTAAAAATATGTGACTTTGGATATTCAAAGGTAAGCTTCTTATCTTGATGGTGCTGAACTGATAGTGTTCAGATATGAAGTTTGATGAACTCTTGATTGCTAGTTATCTTGATTTATTGTGTAGTCAGCTGTATTGCATTCTCAACCAAAATCTACAGTAGGAACACCAGCTTACATTGCTCCTGAGGTTCTGTCTAAAAAAGAATATGATGGGAAGGTAATACCCTTGTCTTTCTTTCCCTTTTTTTTTTTTGTCCTTTCAGTTTATGTGCTTTTACTCTTTAGTTGCTGGTCAGCCATCTGTACCATCACTAATCTGCAAGATTTATAGATTGCGGATGTTTGGTCTTGTGGAGTTACCCTGTATGTGATGCTAATCGGAGCATATCCTTTTGAAGATCCTGGTGACCCAAAAAACTTTAGAAAATCAATTGGGGTGAGTGATTACACAACGCAATTAACAAATAAACTATAAAATTAATGCAATTGTTAAAGGAATGCATGATTTATGGTGGAAATCTTATTAAACTACATTATTAAAGTACTATTATTAAATTACTATTGCTTTTTGCAGAGGATTCTGAGCGTCCACTATTCAATCCCAGATTATGTCCGAGTTTCTGTGGAGTGCAGGCACCTCTTATCTCGAATTTTTGTGGCGAATCCTGAAAAGGTAACTCGGCCTTTACTTTGCAAGAAAATATAGATATGTTGTCTGCTGTTATAAGAAAATAATTATATTCTGTGACAACATTATACCTTTGAACCAGAAGATAAAAAGGTGCCTAAATGTTGTCACTCAACCCCTGATTAGCATGTGATTTTGAAGTTTCTTGATACTTGATTAAGATTTGTGTATAAAAAGCTTATCTATATTTATAAAAGAATTCTTTTTTTTCCCCAACTATTCAATGGCTTTTGTTATGGTCATGGTTTTGCTTTGTTTGTATGTAGAGAATAACCATTCCAGAAATAAAAAATCATCCATGGTTCTTGAAGAACTTGCCCATAGAACTAACGGAAGGAGGCAGCTGGCAAAGCAATGACGTGAATAACCCATCTCAAAGCATTGAAGAAGTTCTGTCTATAATCCAAGAGGCAAGAAAAACTGTTGAGCTGCCAAAGAGTGGAGACAATTTGCTTGAAGGAAGCATGGATCTTGATGACATAGATGCTGATGTTGATTATGATACAAGTGGCGATTTTGTGTGCCCTTTATGAGCAATCTGAATAAATAAAATCATACTTTTTTGAGGTATTGTATACATGATTATAGGCATCATATTTTCTGTTAATGGATGAGTCCCTTTGTGTAATCCTTGTTTAGCCACATGGCATTTCATTTCCCTTTTTGTAAATCCTCTCTGTTGCTTTATTTGCAACCTTCAGTATTAAATATAAATTTTTGCTTGTGATGTGGTTGTATACTATTATTCAATGAATAGTCTCAATCATGCCTTCCTGCATTGTTGCATCAGATATCATGTGATGGGGAATTATAATATATATAATATATATATTTTAGGATTGTACAGATGTGCATGTTGACATGGAGGGCCATGATCCAGACACTTCCGGAGCTAAATTGCTTGTTCTTGTTGTTAATCAGAGGATTATTATACTGATACGAATATTATTTGTCTCCTAGCAAAGCACCATCAACATACTCCAGGTCTGCTATACTATTTAATTGTGTTATACAAGGAGAACCCATAAACATTCTTATAAAAGTTGATTTACTTTCTTTATTGTGCAAAATTTTTACATCCTTCAATTTATTAGACCACTAATTTTAAGAATTGAGTTTTGAAGTTAGATTTGTGTTAATAATATTGGAGGGTTTTTTTTTTTTTTTTTTTTTTTTTTTTTTTTTTTTTTTTTTTTTTTTTTTTTTTTTTTTGGAAATCTACGGAGATCGGTTATGTTTATAAGGGTTTTTTTTTTTTTTTTTAAATGTATTATAATTTTAATAATCAAATTCAATCAATATATATATATATAGTCCACGGGAAAATGACTCCTGTAATAAAGACCGGACATGAAATCATAATAAAAAATGTATAATAAAATTTGTTGATCTTATATGAAACTCTTGGAAGATTGGACATTGAAAGAATATATATGGATAAACAAGCTCGTTTGCTTGTTCATGAATTAATTGTTTCCACGAATAAAAATTGCTAAATTTAATGGAGAAAATGAATTTAATAGAGAAAATTTAATTGTTTCCTCTTTTCATTCTCCCAAATCCGAATCATTGTTGCGTTTTATTAACCTATAACTGCGGTATGTTTTTCATTTTCGGTAAATTAGGCTCCAGCTTAGATGAATTTTGTATCGGGTTCTGGCCCAACCCAATAAGCATCTTGAGGTTTGAAACCTTATTATGAGCTCACATGGGTATTCAAAAAAAGGCCCATTCGGGTGTCTCTTAAAGTGATATTAACTTAAAAGCCCCACTTGGATCTACATTACCAACACAGAAATATTAGCCCACGTGTACGGCAGATATGGTAAGAAGCACAGAAGATTTAACTTTTGGTACACATATTAGAATTCCCTCAAACCAATAAATACCAAACTTAACCCTTCTCAATAAACCCTAGAAGCAGAAGCAGAAGCAGAAGGCAAACTTTCTCGCGCTAGCGTCTCATTTTTGGCACAGCCGCCTCTGCTCGTACTGGACCAAACATGAAGGTTTCGATCTTTGCAAACTTTTCTCTGATTTCAATTCGATGAAGCCTAAAAATCAAACTCTGAAAGTTCAATTTCGTGATTACTAATAGAAGACTCTGTGTTTTCTTTATTCCTTTTTCAGTTCAACATTGCCAACCCCACTACGGGATGCCAAAAGAAGCTGGAAATCGACGATGACCAGAAACTGTAAGCTCTTGTTTTTCTTGTTAAAGTTTTCATCTTTATGATTATTTTGGAGATTTGTTTCCGCTTTGTTAAAGTCTTGTGAGATTACTGGCCTTGATTTTTAGTTAATACAATGCTCTCAGTTAGATATTATGGATTTCAGCATTAAGCATATGATGTTGGCTATGATTATTTATTGTAAGTACCCCAGCAGCTATATTGTTTATAGGATTTTAACCTTTTATAATAGCATTTTTAAGAACTCTCTCTCGTAGGTGTAGTCGAGCTGGATCCAAAGGGTTGAACTTTCCCATTTGGTTCAATAATTAACCATCAAAGGTAAATGGTTGGGAAGTGGGAATGGAAATGTGATGCGAACAATTTCTTTCTAGCATAAGTTGCAAGTTAAATTAGCCTGATTTTTGTTTATAGGTAGAGAATGTTTTGTTGACTAATATTGGTAGATACGATGGAAGAATTAGATAAAGCATTTTGAAACTTTTATGTAAATGGTTTATATTATCCTTGGTAAATGTCTGTTAGGTATGTTGTCATGTATGGTTGTCTGTTAATCCTTAACTACTTTCCTATATTACATATTACTTATTCATATTGATATTGTATTGTGATTCTGGTTTTTCAATGTCTTAAATGATGTTCATGCATAATGTTCCTTACGTTTTGTTCCTTTTGACTCTGTAGCCGGGCTTTTTTCGACAAGAGGATCTCACAGGAGGTCAGCGGAGATGCACTTGGAGAGGTATGCTTTATGCATGTGATAGTTTGCTACATATTGGATGCTTATATGTTCTCTTTTTATCCATTATCCTGTGTGTTTTTTTCCTTTTGTATAGGAATTTAAGGGTTATGTTTTCAAGATTATGGGAGGTTGTGACAAGCAAGGGTTTCCCATGAAGCAGGGAGTGTTGACTCCTGGCCGTGTCCGACTCTTGCTTCACAGAGGTTAGTGGATGCTTTTATTTTGGAGTTGACATGATAACTACATGCAGTGTTGGTGCATTTTGGCTTATTTGAAAACTTTTTGTTCAGGTCTTTGTTTCCTTTACTTAATGATGAGAAGAAATTCACTTTTGTTTGGACAGGAACCCCTTGCTTTCGCGGTTATGGAAGGCGAAATGGAGAACGCAGGAGGAAGTCTGTCCGCGGATGCATTGTCAGCCAAGACCTTTCTGTTTTGAACTTGGTAATTGTGAAGAAGGGAGAGCAAGATCTGCCTGGACTGACAGACACTGAGAAACCAAGAATGAGAGGACCTAAGAGGGCTTCAAAGATCCGCAAGCTCTTTAATCTCTCAAAAGAGGATGATGTTCGGAAGTACGTAAATACTTACCGCAGATCATTCACAACTAAATCTGGTATGCTTGTCACCTTCCTTGGTTAATAGTTGCTTTATTTGTTGTGAAGTACATTTTTTTTATGCCCTTGGTTTAAAGTTATGTATTCTGTGGTTCAGGTAAGAAGGTTAGTAAAGCTCCCAAAATTCAGAGGTTGGTTACTCCATTGACCTTGCAAAGAAAGCGAGCAAGAATTGCTGACAAGAAGAAAAGAATTGCTAAGGCCAAGTCAGAGGCCGCTGAGTACCAGAAGCTTCTTGCCACAAGATTGAAGGAGCAGAGAGAACGACGAAGTGAGAGCTTAGCCAAGAAAAGATCCAGGCTCTCTGCTGCATCTAAGCCATCTGTTGCAGCTTAGGTCCATGTTACTTAAAATCATGGAGTTTTGTTAGCAAGATGAAATGTTTAAGGTTTTTATTTGAATTTTCATACCTTGAGGTGTTTCGTTTGATGATTATGAAAAGTGCCTTGACGCTTCTTAGTTCATTGAATTCTTAATGTCATTTCGACAGTTTTCTATAATTTCATGGGAATATTATTGAATTTTGCATGAGTTAATCAACTTTGTTTCTCTGTTCATCTTTGTATTTTTATCTAATGATCCAGGACGAAATCCTGGATTTTTGGCATTTTCCATCGATTACTCTGTTATTAACCCTTGATTTCCCATTGTGAGTGGCAATACCATAGATTAATTTGAGACTGGTTTCTTGACAGCATACAAAAATTATCTTAAATGTGTTTTGTCGATGGCTGGGAATGTTTAACTGGGAATGTTAAACTAGTAAATATTTTGTACGTACGTGTGTATTGCCAATAATTATCAGATTTTTTCAATTAATTTGACAATGATCACATTAAACCGGTGAAATCCTTTAGTTTGGTTTCTGCAAAGTATGTCCTTCAAATGCATTTTTATTCCACAATTTACCGTTAAAACAATTACGCTGACAATTGTAAACATTGTATTATTCACACGTAAGTCTGACAAAAATTCCCATGAAAATACCTATTTAACTTGATGTGGAAAACCAAAAAAAAAAAAAAAAAAAAAAAAAAAAAAAAAAAAACAATTACAAAAAAAAAAAAAAAAAAAAAAAAAAACAATACAAATGGACCTATTGAACTAAAGGGGGAACAATACAATAAAAATGACTTAGTTAAGTTATTGTCAAATTCTGTTTACTGAGTACCAACAAATGCTAAATATCCAGAGTAGGCTTAATATGCAGCAGTTAGACCTCAATTAGACGACCCGCAACCTATCAAGAGATGCCCTTGTAGTTATTTAGTTCTCCCCAGACCGTCAGCTCAACCTCCTCCCACGACTCTGCCATTCTTAGTTCCTTCCACATGCTGAAAACAGCCCCCAGGACATTCTCTTCATGCAAGATACAGTAGCACCTACAGGAACGTAACCATCCAAATGAATCATACCACTTGAAAAACTCATGCTACAATTATACTAAACACCAACCGACCAATGCAAAAACACTAAAGCATGCAACACGCAAACTGCTGAGGTTTATCATTTTTATACATGTTACTGTAGGACAGTGAAAACATGCAAGATTATGACCATCAGCCATTACAGATGATTGTAAGCATTTTCCTTCATCCAAGTGCCATTAAGGAATGATCACTGCCACTACCAAGAAAAGCTCCTGATTATGCATATGGACTGCTGGATTATATTATATAAACTTATGTTTCTATAAGTACAAGAATGTCATAATATTCAAGGTGGTACGGCATAAAATATACTGCAAAATACATGAATCAGTGTCCATTAAATTTTAGATAGACCAATTCCAACCCCACAAAGCTATAGAAATTTAAATAATTTTATCTAAATGTATAAAACTGAGATTATTCATACCATGAATATCAGATTTAATATATAATCTAAAAAATAAATTTTAACCTGGTCACAAGTAGGGGAAAGAGATTGAGAAAGGAAGAAAAATCATCAGAAATCATGTACTTACATGGCATGGTATGAAAGTCGTTCAAACTTCTCACTGCCCTTTATCGGTTCATGCTTGCTTGTTAGCAAAGGTAGTTTATAACTTTCTAAAAACTGCTTAAGGAGACTGGAATCACCTCTAAATACGTCCAAGTATACAGGTATTAGGTCATAAATGCGGTCACCTGCATAAGAAATGAAGAATCGAACTATGTAAATAATTATTGATGATCTCATATTTCACAAGGCGACAGATCATTATGTCAATTTAACTTATTTATTTTGGTTAGCTGAAATCAGCTACTTTTAACATGCAGGACAAAACATTAGGTGCCAATACTCAAGGCTTTGATGGTTTTGAGTTCAACTCCTCAGAAAGTTACTTCAGTGTATGGCATTGTCACAACAGAGGTAGAAATGGTAGTTTTGAAAGCCTAATTTCCAGTTGAAGAGTTCATTGACAATATGTGATAACATAGTATTGATATAGGATACATGGAATAGAACCAACAGTACAGTAAATGACATTTCAATATGAAAAGGAAACCAAATAAATGAGAAGTACTCACCAATAGAAAGATTACTAAAATCAAGAATGTGGCTGGGATGCCATGATGTAACATCTCCACCATCTTTATAGCCATTGGAACTGCTATCCACCAGACAAGCATCTCCATTTTTTCCACTGAAGCAAGAGGTAACGAAATTTGGTTCTATATGAATATTGTCATCCATAACATCTGAGTGTATCCAGGAGCAAGGTTTACCAACTTTGCTAACGCCATTTTCATCCTGTAATCAACTAGGAGTAAGAAGTTGCAAATCAACAATGATGAGTTGCATCAGCTAAAATAGATTTTTCCATTTTACATACTAACAAAATGATATTAATAATGGTACAACAACTAAAAGAGATGGTGGGATATGGGCAAAACCTCGTAAGAATCCAACAACTTTGTAAGATCATCAGGGATATATTCATGAACCTTTTGTATTAGTGTTTCTGGGATTGGATCTCCCCTACAAAATATACATGAATATTTCTTAGTAGAAAGGGATATTGTTGTCACACAGTTTTGGTACTACCATTTGAAAATAAATAAATTTATTTTTTTATGGATATGGGCATACCAATCCTTCAAGCGGCTTGTGACATTTTTCTTCTTCCTGGATAGAGTTCTGATGAAGATTTCCCATTCTGCAGGAATGTCAGATCTATAGGAAAGCTCCTCCCAAGAACCATTGGCAAAGGGCAATCTCATTTTTGGTTCAGCAACTGACAAAGTTGACTTGTTAAAACGTGGATAGGGTAGAAGATGAAGGTAATGCAATTGTTCTCCCAGAAACGAAGCCAAACTTAGAGCATCTTCCCATGATAGTGTATCTCTTCTGCTAACGGAGCATATATTAGATGGTACCAATAAATATTATTTCTAGCAGAATTAAAAGGCTCCAAGTATGGTTGTGATGACTTACAATTCAGCAAATATCTTTCCTTTGCATCGTTTCGTGACAATGAATGGCCATATCTCTGAGCAGCCAGCTGATTTTGCCTGTTCATTTGCTGACATCCCGGCTTGTCTGCATTCATATTGTTTCTTGCCCCACACACCAAAAGGAAGATCGTCCTCTTTGCAATTCTCTGGAATAATATTGCTCATGCCAATCAGATTAGGCACTCCTTTGCCATCCCAAGGAATAATTTTGTGAGTTCCATTCTCAAGATAAAGAATCCCGCTTGCCCAAATTTCAGGAACATGATTTTTCAAAGAGGAGTTGGCTTCGTGCAGCACATCATAAAACTCAAGCTGCAAACAAGCAATGTGGAATTAGACCATCCTGCAAGGCAGCTGACAAGGAAAAATAGATATTAAAACCATACCTCACTGCCTATACTATACATTGAAGCTTCCAGACCTCCTTCAACAAAGATTTTAACAGCACAGTCTGCTAAGAGATAAACCTGTTGCAAAATATAATAGTTACCAACAGCTCAAGGAGAACAAAAACTTCCAATTCAGTGAAGAAAATGTTCTGTTAATAAACATATTATAGATACACTAACATGATTCCTAAAATTACTGTTCATAGGAACAGTAATTTTGGGAATTATAACTCTGCCCTTTATCTGTACAGGTTGAGAGTTGGGATTTTTTTTTTTTTTTTTTTTTTTTTCCCTTTATCTGTTACAGGTGAAGACGTGGGTGATTTTTTTTTTTTTTTTTTTTTTTTAGTTTCAATTACATTTTAAAAAATAAAATAAAGGAATTGTGTGATTTTTTTTTTTTTTTTTTTTTTTTAGTTTAATTACATTTAAAAAAATAAATAAAGGAATTGTGTGATAGAACGTTAAAGACACATTATGCATTTAACAACAAAATTATTCTTTAGATTAATCCCACTTTATATTTGAAAGTATCTCAAATTAAAGACGCATTGTTAAAAATTATATAGGATATACTTAATAAAAAAATAGATATATCAACACCTTCAATTTCCTCATGCCTCGCAAATATAAGTCAAACTAGGCTGAAGAATGACTAACGCTTTGAGGATTAAAATCTTAATATCTTGTTGATTGAATTAACATCAAATTCAGATGTGAGGTGACTCATGAACTGACTCAAATAGTCTTTCCGATGGAACTACAAGGAACGAGTTTTGTTTCTCTTATATGGTAATCCAATGTGCTCTGCGACCAATGAATTTCCTAATCATGGATCCCTCCTTTAAACCAGATATCATTTCCAGCTGCAGAATAGCTGAATGATAAATCCATAGAAAGCATTAAATCAAAGTGTCATGAACCATCTCCCACATTGTCATTGCAACAGCAATTAGGGGATTCCTAATGCATCTGTTGAATCCAATGACCCCAAAATAACTCCATTAGCACTTCTGAAAGAGGCAACTTGGCATTGTAAGTGCTATCAGAATCAATCTAGACTCAACACCAAGCAAGTGGCGTGTTGTTCCATTCTAATTCTATTTTAAGTTAATTATCAGCCAAAATTGTTGAGTTACTCCACATGCCATACCCTGGAAGCACATTGATTTCAAACAGGGAAACACGTAGTGACAGTGAGGGAAAAAAAATTCCATGGTATATTTTGTAGGTCCATTGATCTGATAAAAAAAAAAAAAAAACTCTAGCTAGCACACTTTTGGTGATCAGGGCACGGTATAACAACAAATATCTTTTGCTTTTAGCATTTGAATAAATGAGCATGAAGTGGCAGGTAAGCTTCCAAAGGGAAACTTCAAACAGAAAAGCTGTTACATATATTATGTTCCATCATGATAAAACACGTACCGGATTGCTGCCCGTGCCAACTGGTAGCTTTTCATCATCTGTGGGAGGAGGTAAATTGTGGAACATACAAATTTCTGTCAGGCAATTGAACCATTTGTCTGCATTTAGTGTTTTACATGCTCCCTAAAAGATAATTCAGAGCAAATTAGAAATAGTGTAAGGTATCTTTTAACATAAAGGACTATCCAGCTGACAATCCGGATCATGGTCTCCACCACTAACACATGGTTTTGTGATATATAATTGTGGTAGATGTATATCATTCAATATTATCAATTACAGATGTATAATGACATAAATCATAGTAATTCTAAACAAAAAGGTCCACATAAGGCTTCCTCAATAATTTGTCTCTAATTGTTCAAATAATTGTTCACAACAACGGAATAGATTCCATGAGAAAGACCATCAATTTCAATCTTTACCCTGATGATTATTGACATTCCAAAAAGGAATAGAGCATACAAAACATCCCACTACTTTTGGTAGCTTATTGTGGTTTACAAGATGGTCCTCTTAGATTCCTTAAGCTACTTTTGGTAAAGTATGTCAGGCTTGCCAAAAGAAAATTGCTTCTTTCTTTGGCAAATAGAATTATCAAAGCATAAATATGAAGGGCAATAAAAATATTATACCTTCCATACAAGCCCTCTCATTTCTGGTTTTCTGATCCAAAGCTTGGATAGCCATTCCCTCATTTCTCGTTGTCCTATGGAGTTGCCTGGGCTCCATAAGGAATTGTAGTGGTCTCTGTCCTTAGACAAGAATTTGCTTAAGAATTCTATGTCATAAGAAAAATCTTGTTTCCACAACCCATAACTTTTAGAGTTACCATTCTTAGTTTCATGTTCTGGATCTTCTGCAAGTTCTTGAATTTTTACCCTCTTCTCTTTCCTTGTCAGGTCTGGGTCACTCGGATCATCTTTATCACACATTGCACTTATTTCAATGTCTTGTAAACCACCTTCATCAAGAGCCAACAATCCAGCACGACAAACTCCTTTATGCCGATAACCAGGTGCCATATCCAGACATACATATTCAAAGTTTTTAGAATTTACAAAATTTTGTGTAACAGCAATAGTTGTTTCAAGATTCAGAACACAATGCCACCATCCACTTGGAACAAAAATCGTTTCCCCAGGTAGCTGAGTACACTCTATTGGCTTGTCTTCATCAGCAAGAAGTGGATAAAAATCTAACCACCACTGTATACAGACATACAAAAAAAGAGGAAGGTTGACTTCAAATGTCTTAGCAAGGACAACAAGAATCACAGAGGAATATTATGTGTTCAACAGGCACCTGAAGTGATGATGGAGTGTCAATATTTACATCTCCATCTTCTTCATTTACATGCACTGTGACACCTATAGGTACCCTGCCAGGAGGATACATTGCCCACCTATTCAAACACAATTGTTACATGGTCAACAGATATTATCTCCATATTAAATAGATATCACACCTAATGTAATGATAATTATAACACCAATAAAGCATCAAGTCAATGAATGAAAACTCAAACTGACCCTGGGAATACAAGGATAATGTGATCCACACAAGTGGAGGTTTTCAATCAAGAATCACACAGATAAGAATCCATGAAAAGACATACATAAAGAGCGCCTAAAATAAACAGGGAAACAAAGCAGGGAGCCTGTTTGAGTGGGAGTAAGCTTCCCAAACCAAATGGGATGGACAAAAATAGCGATAACTCAAAATTCCGGTCCTATTAAAGGTGAAAAAAAGTTGAATGGTCATGATTCTGTTGCACAAAAATAACTTGGCACGAATGTGCACCTCATGCCTGAAATGGGCAAAGGCTAAAGTAATTTATGAAGACAGTCCCAGCATCATGGGAAAAAAAATCTCTCCTTTGTCAATTTGGCAACCCAAACACTAAAACAAACTACAGAATCTTAGTAGTACCATACTCAGGAAAGTTTGATTGTTGAAGGAAACAAAAGTAGAAAGTAAGGAAGACACGTTCTCTCAATACAAATTGCCTGCACACTGTCTTCGCCCTCATATCCCTATGAGCAAGAAGCAAATATCAGATTTTACTGATAAGATTGCAAAAATTGCTGAGCAAGTGGCTACAATACCACACAAGAGATTTCATATGAATAGAGAAAACTCCAAATGGCTATATTAAGTCTGAGGTTTAACAAATGGATCAGGTTCAACCTGCCTGATATGAAGCCTGCGTTAGTGACAATTATATCACTTATCGGTAATAGTTAGCACTTACTATAATACAATTTTTTTTGGCACCACTAGATGGAAAATTTTACATTGCACCATAGAATATCTATCATATATATAGCTAATGCAATTGAGGTATAGGAAACCAAAAACCGATGTCATCTTCAGCGACAAATTTTTTATACATGCCTCATATTTCTTTTAAACTTTTGTTTGGAAGTATCTTTCTTACAGCCAATATCTTCAGCGAAAAGGTATAAAAAAAATGAAATATCCATCATATGCACATGGTTTTATCTGGCCTTGATTACCATCAGATGAAATCTGACACAGAATTTACATTAAAAATAATGCATTAAACAGAGAACATCCCATGTATGTATACATGCTGTTGTCAACAAGTGAAGCGCTAATTTTACCTTTTACGGCCACATAGAAGAGTATTCCAGGCACTGGTGAGTGCTGGATCAACATGCCAAGATGCGCCAGACCTCTCTGGCCCAATAATAAGCCATCTGAAGGGAGGCCGCTTCTCTTTATCTAGTATTTCAAAGAAGTCTTCTTGAAATAGATAAGGCACACTGTAATCCTTCAATAAGCTGGGTGCAGTTTCCCCAAACTGCATTTGCAGAAAGTCAGGCTTAAATGCCTTATGTAAAGGAAAAACAACCACACACAGAGTCCTGAGCAATACCTTGTCATCAAAAATATATAGGGGATCCTCATCGTGCTGAAAGTTCATGTATGAGACATAATCCTTGAATTTCATTGAAACTTTTCTGGAGCTCCTCTGAGAAATTTTAAAAGCGGTATCTCCATATTGCATTGACAATTGATCAATTGTCCATGTATTCCTTGCTTGCCAATGATCAGCCAATCCAGCAAGCAAAACCTGGTACATTGTGCGGCATAAGTCCCGTAAACAAAATTAAGAAGCGGAAAAAAAATGGTAGTACTGATTTCAGCAGCCAACACGGAAAGATATAAAATGATGAAAGGACACCTATAGTAGACAAACAACAAACATTTGGACAGAAAAAAGATTGTTGGTTACAAATTCTGATGCATTTTATCTCATGTGTTCATATTAAAAAGAAGTTTCTAGAAAGTGTACCCAAAACAAGATAAAGGAATTATATATTTCAAGAAAGATAACTATAGTACGATATTCCTGAAAATCATGTGTATAAATTAACATACATGTGAAATGAGAAGTTGTTTACATAATTTGTCTATTCCTAGTAACAATGGAAGACCCAAATATCAGAAAATTACTATAAATGAGCCTAAAATGGGAACAGGAAAAACAAAAATATGGACAAAGGTGAATGTATAGAATTCCCTAAGGCATGTAATTTTAAAGAGTTAAAATATTATCCTCTCACTCCAACTAATCTACAGTACAAGACAATTGTCACTATACCGGTTTCCTCGCATCGTATTGATGAAAAAATTCTTCTGAAGACAGGTCTTTCTTTCTTTCCACATTCCCAACATCAAATGAAAACCCAGACAAACTAGTATTACACCTGTATAATCTTCTATACAAGAACAAAGAGTAGAAACCTGCATAATCATACAGAAGAACTAAGCTAAATAACTGCGTCCTTAGATGTAATCGTCACGAGAAAACACAAAGAAAACTGTGCTACAAGTACATACCATCAAAAAAAAGTTGTTTTCCACAGCATTCTTTATATTCATCAGGCACATTCTCTCTGTATACCCCAAAAAAAAAAAAAAACCCCTCATATGTTACATGTGGCAGGAAATTAAGAAAAATCATATAGTTAACCTCTTGAGAAGAAAATAAGTTAATATTAGCACTCTCTAAAGGAAAAAAAGGATATAATTTTAAATCTCAATAAATAATCTCTTAAAAAAAAACATATGCCGCAAGTAATTCGAAGCGTGACTACTGAGACATACAAATGCAACGTGGTTTTCTTCCAGGAGCCTCCGTACTGAAGCGGGCCATTGGCTGTATTAAGACATAAACTCATCCATAGTGGTTCTTCATTGCAAAAAATGTACATAACGCTGCACAGAAAGAACGAAGAAATGAGAAATGATGAAAAGACAAACATACGCCTATCCCATACCAAAGAAAAAAAAAAAAAAAAGAAAAGAAAAAAAAAAACCATCAGTAACAGAATTAACAGATCATTTAATTTTATTTGAAGAACTTAACAATCAAATTAGAGATTGAAAATCTAATGTTGCCAATAAGGTTCAATTCTGGGAATAAGAAAGTGGCACTTAAGCGTCACTTCCAGTCAGGATTTATAGAGAAACATATTATCAAGTCAATTGAAGAACTATAAATCCATAAATTAGAGAACAGAATTAAGAGAAAGAGGCATAATATGAGAATATATTACACCTGCTAACACAAGAGAGACGAGCTACATCTCGAGGAGTAAGATACTCCAGAATAGCACAGATGAGTTCATCGGGAAGGACTTTGAGGTTGCCAAGAGCGTCCGGTCTTCGATCTCTAATTTCAAAACCTTGAACTTGAGAATTCTCCATTGATGAAATGAAACAGAATAGAAGTATCAGATATTGGATCCAATTCCTTTATAAACGTTTGCGATTAACTTTAGAGGTAAAACGCGGAGAGTTGCCGTTTGAAGAAAGCGCGCCTCGCTGTCGAAAACTTAACGAGATGGATACCGTGTCCACGTAATATTCACGCCACTTTCCTTTTAATTTATTGTTCTTTTTCTGCTCTGCAGTGTTCACAGTTTTGGAATTTTGGGGCCAAAGAAAGCCCATTAGTGTCGTGAAGTTTGAATTCTGGGTTGGGTCACAAAATATCTGGGCTGCATTGCCAAGATTTAGTTGCAACTATATAACGGTATTTTATATGGACCTAGCCCTTTACTGCATATGACTCTGTTTGCCTAGGGAAAGTAAAATAAGTATGTAATAATCAATCAATGCATTTTTTTTCCTAGTTATTTTTCTAATCTCATGTTTTTGAATGAAAAGAGCGGGAAAAAAAAGAGTATATTTCACATTAAACAATGTATTTTCCTAACTTATTCATCATTTTTTTCATTCCCTTAGACACTTCTTTCATCATTTTTAAACAAATAAAAAATTCATTTCTTGTTCTTTTCCTCATATATTTTCTTTCCTTAAAAAAAATATCTATTTTTCTAAGCAGAACCTATGTGTCCAAAGTCATAGATAACATATGCATATAATCGGTTTTTAATTTTTAATTATTAATCATAGGAAAATACTTATTTATACATATGAGATGACCTACACTAAGCCATCTGCACCAAATAAGTATATGAGATTGACTTATTTAAAACTCATCATACATTAGATATGGATAAGTCATTCTATTAATTGAATACATGTTTTGCCGTGGATAATAATTGCCGATAATTTTTAGTTAATAAATTATAAATACTGACGTTTACTAAATTTTAATAATAATCTATACCACATATAAAAGTGGGGATCAGAGAAAATAATGGGATTATTTATAATGTCCTTAGTGAAATTTTAAATATTTTAAAATAATCTTATTAATGATCAATTAAATTTTATTTGAAATATTATATTTAATAGATAATTAATGTTACGATAATACCCTTAGTGAAATTTAAAATGTTCTAAAATAAATTATTAATGACCAATTAAATTTTATTTTAAATATTATGTTTAACAGATAATTAATGTTAACTGTATACCAATTAAATTTTATTTTAAATATTATCCTTAATAGATAATTAACGTTAACTATATATAATGTTACCTGGAATATTACCAATTAAATTTTATTTTAAATATTATCCTTAATAAGATAATTAACGTTAACTATATATTTTAATAAATATATTTTATTTAATAAATATATTTTATTTTTAATTATTTTAATCTTATATATTAAGGCTATATATGAAAATTAAATATGCCTTTATTTATTATATATGTTTTTAGTTTTATTCATTTGAGGATTTAAATTAAATGTGATAGCTAAATACATATTACATATTTCATGTATTTATTATAAGTATTTTGCTCTCTTTAACTTAATAGATAATAAAATAAATTTATAATCTATAATTTACGTAAATGTGGGAATAGAGGATGGAATTATGGAATTTCCAAAAGTAACTTTAGTTTAATTTGGAATTCCTAATATATCATTTTAATTCATTTTTTATGCATTTTAATTGGAAAAAATAAATCTATCTATCCTTTTGAAGGTCTTTTTTAGTTGTATTTTTAATGTTCTTTTAATCGAAGAAAATACATTCCATTTATCCTTTTGAATATCCTTTTAGTTAGATTTTTATGCATTTTAATTTGAGAATATATATTTTTATGCATTTAATTGAGAATATAATATATATATATATAATATATAGTATATATATATAATATCATATATATTATATATATATATATTCTAATTGATCTAATACATTAGTGTCATTTGATCTTATAACATTATTGTCCAATAATTTTTATAATTAATAGTTTTTTATGTTCTTAATCATATATTCTCATGTTATATTATTTTTTAGGAGGTAAATAAAAAAAATCTTAATTCAACTATTGAAATGGAACTTAAATTCTCTTAATTTATTATATTCTGAATTTTTTAAAATATGATTAAACACTTTATTATTAGAATCTATTAGTTAATTTCACTGAAAGTAAAATTTAAAATATATTATTTCTCTTTGATTTATTATTTTTTATTTTTTTGGAAATAATTGTGTATACTTATTTGAATCATTTACATATTATTGTATTTTAAAATTTTTAAAATTTAACAAAAGCAACGGAAGTATGAAATTATAGTATTTGACTAATATTAAAAAAAAAAAGAGAATTTTTACTTTTTTAGTCTAATGAAATCTTTTTTGAAAAAAAAGGCTATAAATGTTTGAATTTGTTATGATTTTTATTTTCAGCTTTTCTATATTAAAAATGAAATAAAGAGAAAATTCATGAGTTTTTTTTATTCAATATTTTATTCTTTTCTTTTTGGAAATTATGGAATTTTATTTAATCTTTCTATGATTTAATTGGATATATTTTCTAAACATATTTTTAAATAAAATATAAAGATAATTAGACCTTTCAAATATTTATATGAGTTTGTAATTTTTCAATTTAATTTCATTTATATATTTTTTAAACTTGAAAAATTACATTTTATTACTAATATTATAGTTTAAAACTTTACATATTGATTCCTATGTATAGCAATTTATTTTTTGATTTTATACAAGGACATGGTCCAAAATATTACATGCTATTAATAAAATTTCAGCTTAATTTCATCCGGCGAAAATAATTGACATAAAGATCAAAATCATATCTTATATTGCGGCTGTGCATAATAAATCTTAATTTATTAGCATTGCCAAATTATAGAACATTTTGCAGTATGGTAAATACAAATTTAGAGTGGATTTATATAATTAATTAATAATAAGATTATATTTTTTTATTGAAAGGAGAAGCAGAAATATCATTTTCTTTTCGATTAGATATTACAATATAGAACATGTTAAAAAAAATTCATTGTATATATAAAGTGCAATATTAATAATCATTGTATTTATTTTAATGTAAATAAAAATTTATACTTTAATAATATAAATAACAAAATTAAACGAGTATATAGCGAGTAACATTAATGTGCAACGCACGTCATAAAAGAATTAGCGGTTATTTAAATGTAAAGTAATTATTAATATATAATTATTTATGTATATATATACATATATTATTTTTTAAGGTGCACATATTTAGTTTTTATTTTAATTATTATATAAATACAAATATTAGATATTTATATAACGTAAATACATCTGATGTACCCAATTTAAAATACAACTGATAGAATTGGTCTTAAGAGGGAGTTTCTCTCTTTGACATCCTTGCATGTTACAATTCGGTGATGATTACTGATTGCTACTATAAGTACTAAATCCAAAGAATCTGACCATAAACTTTTTAAGAATTAATATCACTTGTATTTTTGCAGAAATAGACGTACGAAACAAAAAAATACTTGCAAAAATATTATTATAGAGGACGCAGAATCCATCATCTTGTATCAGAGTTGGTCTGGATTCTTCGCAAACCAATATAAAAGCAAAACTAAATTGAATTAAAAAATCAGTAATTGCCATATTGAATAATTCAACAAAGACTATTTCATGTAATCCACCAAAAATCATAAATTTCATATTTTTAGAAGCAGCCTTTTTAATTTTCTTTATTCCTTCATTTCTTCAGAGTCTCAAACATTACTGCCTTCAGTATACACATACAACACATTATAAATTAACTTGAAGTTATAAAGTTCTACTAATACAGGCTTTAACAACTTTATGCAAAGGGGGAAAAAGAAAAAAAGAACATATCGGTGAGCCTTCAAATGCCATTCTCTACAGGCTTATGGGAGCAATAGAGGGTTGAGACTTGATCCTTCTCTTTCTAAGGCGCTCTGCAATGATGAATGCAAGCTCTAGAGATTGTGAAGCATTGAGTCTAGGGTCACAGTGGGTGTGGTAACGCGAACTCAAGTCATCAAATGTCACAGTTCGAGATCCCCCGATGCATTCTGTCACATTTTGGCCAGTCATCTCTAGATGAACTCCTCCAGGGTGGCTTCCTTCTTGGTCATGCACATCAAAGAATGCTCTCACCTCCGCCTGTCCAAATAAAAGATAATTTAAAGCAACGACATTGCTGTGAGACTATGTTTTTATCAGCTACATAGAAACCATAGAATATTGACACGAAGTTTACTGTACATAAAATTCTATTTCACAAAGAGAAACCCCAACAACAGCAACAATCTCAAAATTGCTCTTTAGCATGGTCTGTAGCAAAGGTGTAAGAAGGACCACAGTCGAAAGCAACAGTTTAAATATTCTAATATTAAAAAATGGATTTTGTCAAACTTGCACAAAAAGATAATATAACCACCGACCCACTGATGCATTTCTAGCTTAACCATTGATTGCACACTTAGAAATATCAATTGCCTAATCTGCCCCCCTTTACAATTAGTCGTTTTCTCACCTACCACACCTTTTCTTTTATTGCCTTCATTTGTCTACTTCTAGAAAATCAACCGGTCTTAATTCAAAAGCTACAGCGTACCCCACCATGTTTACATTAGGCCAACTTGTCCAACACTTGAAGATGGCCCACAAATACAAAAATAGGTACTAAATTAATTGCAATCATTAATTGGAAATAATAGCTTTTATACCAGGATAGTAATGCCAAATACGGGAGGAAAAAAATGCTTCTCATATCAGTTACCACTGAACCACACATAAAATAACAAAATAAAAAGCCGTTCAAAAACTAAAACTTTGTCCTATATTTGGATTTCAGATGCTTATCATATATTCTTGTCGCCATAGAATAACATTTCCTCGCTTCAGTTTCGTTTTAATTTTTCCGCACGTTGAAGGTAGGGGTAAATGTCTATACAGCATATAATTTAAACTCCTGATAATTATTCCATATGGAGTGAATGTAAAAGTATGCAAGTAAGATTGAAATCATACCCTGATGGAATCAAATGGTCGAGTTTTTAGACCACAAGGAGCCTTAATGGTGTTTCCATGCATAGGATCACTGACCCATGTGACAATTTGCCCAGCCCTGCGAACTGCCCTAATTAGATGGGGAAGCTTCACTCTCATATTCTCAGCTCCCATTCTTGTAATAATTGTTATTCTTCCTGGTTTGTTCTGAGGATTCAGAATCTCAATGAGCTTAACTAGCTCATTTGGATCCATCTTATCACTCACCTGAAGCAAAGAAGACAAATTGCATGAGAACATAACCATCAATTACATAAATTGTCAATTCGAAGTCAGACAGTTGTCAAGTTACAATTCATGAGAATAAAAAGAAACAGAATTTAACAAGTTGATAAGCATAAAACCACATTTTCCCGACATATAATTTTAAAAAAATTGTTAAGTCAAAGTTTCATTTATTTGTTCAATGTTTATGGTTACCACAAATATGAATTAGATAGATTAAAAAAGAGAAAGTTAACCTTAATGCCGAGAGGATTTGCAACTCCTCTCAAAAACTCAACATGAGCACCATCTAGCTGTCTGGTACGTTCCCCAACCCAGAGAAAATGGGCAGAGCAGTCATAGTATAGGCCAGAAGTTGAATCGAGCCTGGTAAGTGATTGCTCATATGGCAGAAGCAAGCACTCATGGGATGTCCAGAACTCAGTTGTTGTCATAATAGGATGGTCAACAGTGAGACCAGCAGCAGACATGAATCCAAGGGCCTCATCAACCCGGTGAGCAAGTTCCTTGTACCTATCACACCAATAAAACAATAAACGTATTTTAGATTAAGGCAGCCAAGGTGAATCAAAGCCTAACTAGAATTTGAGAATTAAAAACTATTTAATAATCACATCACATCCATCAGCAATTCTGGTCCATGTTTCTACTAAATTTGCAGTTAAAATTTCCAATATGGCAACTGAACTTCAATTCATGACGCCACTAAGAAAATCGTTCAATTTGGTTTTGTTCCAATAAGGTGTCTACAGTATATTTTGATAGAATTTGTATTAGCATTTTGATTCAATGGGTAAGTATAATTTTTTTAATCTACGTAAAATTAAAAGTGAACTACAAAACTCTCTTGGCTTAATCATTAAGTAAAAAAACAAATTAAGCATAGCTATTTAATTTTACAGCTAGAAATTGAAGTTAACTGACCTAATCAAGAATCAAGCTTAGCAATCATATGGGTGAAAATAAATCCCATGTGATCTTAATGGGGAAAGAACAAGGTTGTGAATGAATCTATGTTAAGCTAAAAACAGAGCATATAGAAACATGCGAAACTAATGTTTGGGTTCCAGATATGCATTTGCTAAAACACATTAAAACAAAATTTCGGAACATGTCAGACTACAATTTAAGGTGTAGATAATTCCCAACATTAAACCGGACAGTAAATCTATCAGATTATGTAGTAGTAAATTTTAATAGCTGATGTGAAGCCCACACCACACAATCAGACTCTAAAAAGGCAACAAACACACAAACAGCAAAAAAATCAATCCTTCAAGTGACTCTCATTTGTCTCTACTCCAGGAACTTATATTCTATCTAATACCAAAATCTACCACCCCACCCAAATAAAGAAATATGAATAGAAGTACACTAAAGTTGCCTAATTTGAACAATACCTATCTCCCTGTTCGCTGTGCTCAGCGAAATCAAGATTCCACTGGGTTACCCTCTGCATAGCAGCATATCCACCGGTAGCAAATGCTCGAAGAAGATTCAAAGTTGCTGCTGATTGACAATAAGCTCTGATCATCCTTTCCGGATCAGGAACTCTCGACTTCTCATTGAAAGCATCTCCATTTATGTTGTCCCCTCGGTAACTAGGCAACTTCACTCCATTCTTTTCCTCAAAAGGCTCCGATCTTGGCTTCGCAAACTGACCCGCCATCCTTCCCACCTATAACAGTAACCAACATGTCAATTAAAATTAAAAGAAAAATCAAAAGGCTATAATTTGTTTTATTTTCTCATTTGGTAAAAGTAAACGGACCTTGATAACGGGCATTTGGCCACCAAACATCAAAACAGCACCCATCTGGAGGAGAATCCTGAAAGTGTCACGGATATTATTGGCGTTAAACTCCTTGAAACTCTCTGCACAATCTCCCCCTTGTAATAGAAAAGCATTTCCCATTGCAGCCTCAGCAAGCTTCTCCTCCAAGCTCCTAGCCTCACCGGCAAACACAATCGGAGGGAAAGCCTCGAGAGTCTTGAGCACCGTTTCAAGGTCCTCCTTGCTCGGGTATTCCGGTAACTGCAGAGCCTTCTTTGACTTCCAGCTGTCGACGCTCCATTTCCCAGGAACCACATTGATTGTTGTCGGCGCCGCCGCCGCCGTTGCCGCGGCAGCTGCTGTAGAAGTTTTCGCATTCTGTTGTTTTTTGTCAGGGACAATCGGATTCTTTGAAGGATCGGCGGAATGGACGGCGGAGATGTGAAGGACAGATCTGGTAGGTAAGACAAAAGAAGGTTGGTTAGGTTTCTTGGGGGAAATGAAAGATTTGGTAGGAATAATGGAAGTGCCAGTAAGAGACATTTTGTTTATTTTTGCTTTGCTTTTGTTTGCGTTTCTTGTTGAGGCTTGGTTTTTGACTGTGAAAAACCAAAAAGAGGTATTCAAGATTTTTAGATTGTCCCTGAGAAGAGGTTGAGAGACAGATGAGAAGGGTTTTATAAGGATGGTGGCGTCTGGTGGAGATACGTGTGTGATGGCGTTGGTGGTAGTTGAACTTGAAGAGAAGAGAAGAGAAGAGAAGGGTATTTTCGAATATATGTGATTAGAAGAGTGTTTTTTGGGTATCTGTAGTTCTTTAATTGGGACAAGTCAATTTATTTTAGTAAAAGAGATTTCTTCACCAACTAATCGCCACTTATTGTAACGGCGGCAGCTTCGTTGGCTCGTAGCTGACCCCAGCTGAAATATTTATTATATTCACTTGTAATGTGTTTGTTTGGCCTTACGAGAACCGTTTTTTTTATAACTTATAACCGATTCAAATCTAGATTTATTATCGATTTAACAAGATAAATATATCAAAGTTTAATATCTTAAACTTAATGAAAGTTATCTTTTATTATCAAACTCTTATCTGCTAATGTGTCAACTTAAACTTAATGAACTAGAAACAGAAGCATTAATGGTGGTATACTGGTACTGCCACCTTATAATTACCACTGCTCATGCCTTATTAATTAAAACTTTTTTTGCTCAGTATTGACTACTGATTTGTGAGCTCCAAACCCATGTAACTTTATATGTTAATTTAAAAAGGACAAGAGATATTTTTCAGGAATCCAAAGAACCATGTGCATATAAAACGGCAAATATATAAAAATGCATGAATACCATAAAGATGATAAGTATGAAATTCTGATTTTGGCAGTACATGGGGTTGGCGGGTTTGGAGTTATATTTAATTTTAGAAAAATGCTAACTTTTTCTAGACCTAAGTATCAATTATATTAGCTATGGTAGCTTTTGTGTCACAAGAGCACAGGACTCTACACACTAGTCGTTTTGGTGATGGACAATTACCTACTCTTCAGTCCTTTTGTTTGTTCAACCAAAATTTTGGCTGAATTTCTTTTTTTTTTTTTTTTTTTTTTTGTTTTGGTGATGGTACAAAATTACTAGCTCTTTCAGTCCTTTTGTTTGTTCAACCAAATTTATGGCTGAATTTCTTTTTTTTTTTTTTTTTTTTTTTTTAATTATGGGCTATGCAACTTCTTTATAAGCAACTTTTTTTTTTTATGAATAAAAAGTTGTACTTCTTCCCTTTTAAACCTTAAAATATAAATTTTTATATCTTGTTTTTTTTTTTTTTTTTTTTTTTTTAATTATGGCTATGCAACTTCTTTTAAGCACTTTTTTTTTTATGATAAAAAGTTGTACTCTCCTTTTAAACCTTAAAATATAAAATTTTTTTATCTTTGAATAAAGTCTTTCATGCTGTTCTTATTGAAGGAAATTACAAATTACCTTTTTTTTAACATATTTTCTGAAAGTAAAACTCATCACAGTCAGATACACTGCACGTATTCTGTAAGTAAATGTAAAAGTAAAATGGATTTCTTAAAATTGACGAATCGTTAACTAGATAATCTTGCTGATATAACCAACTCAAAATGTATATAATTATAGTTATAAGATAAGCTCTAATGAGAGCATTCAAACTTATAATATCATATTTTTTTTAAATAATCCTTTTCTTAATAAATTTGATTCTTTTTAAGGTTTTCTACGCACTTTAACATTATTTAGTGAAAACTCATTTTAAAAACATTTTTTTTATTACTGAGTTAGTTTTTTTTATGTAGTTTCATTTCTATAATTAAGTTAACAATTATATTTTAAATTGTGAGAGTGTTTATTTTGTAACGAATTTGGAAAATATTTTTTTTATTAAATATGAGAAAAATGTAAAAAAATGTAATTTATGAAAAAGCCACCGGTAATAGGTGGTAAATAGTGACTGATGGTAGTGATTACGTTGATTCATAAATTAAAAAAAATATAGATTTATAAGATTTGTCAATATTCGAAAAATATTTCGCACTCTCGAAAATGAAAAGTTATTTTTCTTAAAAAATGATTTAATTTTTTTTTATCATGAAAATATTTTCCGTTGACTTATTCTTCTGAACGTCCTAAACAACGAAAAATTGTGAGAAATATTTTTCTGCCACTAATTTTACAAAAACAAATGGAATCTAAGCCTATGCTGTACGGATGGAATAAAAAGTAATAAAATATTAATTTTTTTACTTTAAAAAATAAAACTAAAAGCAGAAAAAATCAATTTAATCGTGGAACACGAGGAAGAAAGACCAGGAAACAATCTTAAATTTTTTAATTTTGAAAGTAAAAAGTTGAACAATTTATTTATTCATTCGGCTAAAAAATAGGATAAATTGAGCCAAGCCAAAGAGTTGGTAACGAGGCTTGAAAAAGAGATCACCTAACCAAAGTGATTTGGTGGGTGTCTTGTCAAGAAAAATGAAGTGATAATGGCCCAAAGGCCAAATTTGATATTTTATTGTAAAATTACAAGCAGACCCTTTTACTGACAAAAAGCTACCCACACCACATAGGATCATGTGGAGGGTTAAACTTAGAAATCAAATAATAGGTACATGTACTCACACTCACCTACCCTTTTCCACTTCATACACATCATAGGCTTTCTCCTCCTTCTCCTACCCCCTAAAATGAAAAGCCCCCACCTATCAAAACTTGAAAAATGAAAGCTCTTCTTTCTTTAAACACAGACACCTCCCTATCCATACCTTATTGGTTATATGCCACGTTTCCTACCGACTCCAATATGACTTGGCATATTCTTTCTCAGTTTTCACTGATGCTGTGTGCTGAGCCAGGTAAACGACTTCTCTAGGCTCACAGCTGGTCATTTTTTAGCTCAAGGACGAGATTTGTCAATGCTGGAGGAAGTCGCAGTCTCAGTGTTAGCACATAACTAATATGTCTCGTAGCCAAACGACCATTACCGATTGCAGTAGGAATTTGTATCCCGGCGGGTAGGCTGGACTCAGTTCGGCAAAACCACTAAACCGGTTGAGTTCAGTTTTTTTTTTTTTTTTATGTTTTTTTATTTTAATAAAAATTAATATTTTATCACTTAGGTTGAAAAAACCGAATCGAATCAATTTCATTCGGCTTGATTTTATATAGTATGATGACAATAAACTTCAATGTTTTATTAAAATCATATCATATTATTGCATACCAACAATCGTGAAAAGAATTAATAACTTTATTTAGTAGTCTTTTGAGTTAATATTTAATATTGTTGATGTCTTGATGAGATACTCTACAGAAACGTATAGTTAATTGTTTAGCAGCTTATCCTTAATTTCTATTTAGAAAACGTTTTTTTTTTTTAAAGGATAATGTCATCGTGAATTCAATAATCAGACAAATAAACTCATTTTCACTTCACATAAGGAGAAATCAAGACAATTTTGTTTGGTGAAAATTGACCAAATAAAGAAGCTTCAGTTGAAAAATTCTTAAAAGAAGTCACCGACCTACATGTTCCTCTTTGATTCAACGCTTTTGTAAGAGGTATATATATATATTAGTTTCACAAAAATAAAAAGAAAGGTTAAAGTTTTTTTTTATTCAAAGTTGTATTTTTCTTTTTTTTTTAAGTTTTTTTTTCTATACTATGATTTACCAACTTAGTTTTAATTAATATTTTACTATAACTTACCTATATTAAATTATTTAAATTGTTACAATTATTAATTATATATATTAAAACACGTCATTTTTTTAATAACAAAACACAGTATTTGAATTGTTTAAATTATAAGTGCAACATAAAGTCTAACCATGATTAGTTGAATGTTCATATTAAAAAATAAATTATAATTTCTATGTATACCGCACTTTTGATTTACACTGTTTTGTTCTTTTAATTCTTTAGTTTTTTGTTTTGTTTTTTATTTCTTCTCTTATCAAAACTCCACTGTAGATACATTTTATTTGCATAATTTGACAAAACAAGTATATTAAGAATTTAGTCAATAAAAATTATTTTGCCGTTCTTTACTCTTAATAAACTATACTAAAAGTCTTTCATTTAATGAATAATTATAAATGTTATAAAGTCTTTCATTTAATGGAATAATTATAAAGAATTTAGTCAATAAAAATTATTTTGCCGTTCTTTACTCTTAATAAACTATACTAAAAGTCTTTCATTTAATGAATAATTATAAATGTTATTATAAAAAAAATAATTGTTTACATATTTAAATTTAGAAACCTTAGAAACAATTTAAAACATCTAAAAAAGGAATAACAAACAAATAAAATGGGACGAAACAGTATAAGAAAAAGGGTTTTTTCACCTCTCTCAATCACTTCAGATTTTACTATTGTTAATCACGTTATCCATTCTTTTATGGGTGTAAATTAAAAGTTTTCTGCCTTGATCTCAATACGGCTTCATTTATATGATGTAAAGAATATTAATTTTTTTTGTGACAAATTATAAATATGCAACCTTTGTCTTCAAAGGGAGTTGAGTTTTTTTTTTTTTTAGATTATCATCATCACTCATCCTATATACTCATAAAGTAGGGAACAAATCTTTGTAGATTCTAAAGTAACTTCACATTCAAAAAAATCAAGATGTAAGAAATTAAAAAAGAAGCAAAACTTTTTTTGACATTGGTAAGAAATTAAAAAAAATCAATATTTGTCCTTTTGAATTTGAAAAAGATCTTCCGTTATCAATATTGTTTGTTCATTCATCATTCAAACATTTCACATCCATTGGTAAATTTTTTGACATATAAACATTTTACACCATTGATAAATTTTTATGTTAATATAAAAATTACATGTCATATTACATTTATTCAAAGAAAATCTTCATTTATTAAATGATAATGAAAATGGGCCATATCTGTAAATAAAATTTGAAGGGACCAATATCCGTAAATAGAATTTGAAATCCTGGGTAATTCTTAATGTCATAATATATCTAAATTACTTTTTGAAATAGTAAAAAAAAATGGGAACAAAGAAAATAATTTGTAGCATGATAAATTAAATTTTTAGCTATTTTGTTGGGCTCTATTTGTTTCTGAAAAAAAAAAATTTTTTTGAAAAATATTTTTTTGTTTTCCAATTTTAAAATAATATTTAACCAATTAATGAGCATAAAACAAAAATAGAGATATCTTCTAGTTAGCATTTAATTGCGCATAATTAAATATGATTTTATCT